GGCTAATCCCCACACAGTCACTTTACTCACAAATCCGACTTAATCCCCTCCACAAGCCATTCCGCATGTCTCATTAACAATTACCATTCAGCTATCACTTAAACATATTTTCCTCACATTTGCCTTGTTTTTCACACCTCTCGTTTCAAAACGGGATCTCGTAACACAAAAGGCTAGCTGACCATTGTTTCATTTCAATAACAAGCACCTGTTAATTCAAGCACAAGGGCCAGGGCTTACAGAGGGTGGAGGGTGGGTGACAAACCTCCATTAGCTATTGTCCTAGAGGTACCTGTCACAGGGGAGCTGTGAAATCATGGCGGGCTCCGTACTGTTTTGTAATTGGTGGTTTGTGACACAGCTCTATCAGATCCAGGGTGTTATCAAGCCAGGAAACGACATGGAAATTCACTCCACTTTTCACGGTCAATTGATAAGTACAGTGTATTGATTATCCTGTGATCACACATGGCCTGGATTTCTCTGTATTGTACTGCAGGAAATAATCAGATACCGAATACAATTACATGGTCATAGCTGTTGACCTAATGACCAGTAAACAAATGCCATGTACTCGGCTTAATTATATATTAGTCATTTTTTCTAAACCAAAAAAACCCGCATTACAAACCACCCTCAATCTAAACAAGGCTCTAACTCTAGAAGCAATACTAAACCCACAAAATAAACTAGAAAACTTCAAGGCCTTATGCGTATTCTTAATAAAAACAGAACTAATAAAACGCATCTAAAAACACAATAACCTACCAAATCAAAATCACATAAACAAACAAACATCCACCATACCCAGCTCCCTTAGTTCTCCTCCCCAATCCCATCGGCATCTATTCCAAATCTCAAAATTCCCAAATTCTATATAAGCAACCCCTAAACCCCCTTCTTGGGTTGCACAGACCACTTTCGGAAACACATTAAATGGCCTGACCGGGCCCGTGTGCGAAATACGCATCTGTCGGAAAGCGCACGTTAAATCTCCAAAGTAAGTAAGTAAGTAAACCAAAGATTTCAAAACCATGACCATTTGGACGATTTACTGATGTAGATTACAGGTTGACATTTGTCTCATGTTTGACAAAAGACAAAGCGAACAAGACATTCAATGTCAACTCACTATTTTCACCTCACACAATGTCTGATTGGTTTATTATACTTTAAAGTGGGCAACTAAACTCAGGTCAATGGGGAAACCTGCCAGGTTTGATTTAATTTTATCAAAATTGATTTATCTGACAATTAACTTTATTGTTATTCAATCTAGTAGTATTCATCTTAATGATTACCATAAGTAAACAGACACAATGTCTCAGTCTGATGCACTAGCATCTAGACTATAACCTGTCTCCCTACAAATATACGTGAGTAGTCTGTCTTACAGACCCTGATACATATCAAATACCGCCCATGCAAGTCAACGTTTGGCAAGTCTAGATTACTGCAGAAAATGAAGAGAGTCACTGGGCTCCCTTTTATTATATTTTTATTAAGATAACTGAACAAGTATTTTTTCTGTCGATATGTTCATTTCAGAGACTACATGTTAGTCTAATACGTGGGCATAACCCTAGGTAGTCTTCAAAGGTTTTCTATTATACTATATTTTGAACATTTACAAACAGCATTGTTGGCTAATCTATTGGCCTTGTTGTCATATCAAAATACATACAGAAGAACATTAATCCATAGACTCATGAACTTAGTCAAAACCCTCAATAAGTAAATGCATTCAAAATTCACATTAGTCTGGGACATCTAAATTGTGCTGAGGTATGGTAGTCATGGTAGTCCTCAGGCCATTTAGTGAGGTGGTTGAAAAGGGTATAAGTTCCCATCCTTACTTACTTTGGAGATTTAACGTGCGCTTTCTGACTGCAGCGTATTTCGCACACGGGCCCGGCCAGGCCATTTAATGTGTTTCCGAAAGGGGCGAAAGTGGTGTGTGCAACCCTAGTGGGGGCTTTAGGGGTTGCTTATATAGAATTTGGGAATTTTGAGATTTGGAATAGATTCTGATGGGGTTGGGGAAGAGAACTAAGGGAGCTGGGTATGATGGATGTTTGTTTGTTTATGTGTTTTTGATTTGGTAGATTATTGTGTTTTTAGATGCGTTTTATTAGTTCTGTTTTGATTAAGAATACGCCAAAGGCCTTGAAGTTTTCTAGTTTATTTTGTGGGTTTAGTTTTGCTTCTAGAGTGAGAGCCTTGTTCCCATCCTTGGACATGTCTTATGTAGCCAGCAATGCCCTGGGTCAGCCTATTACATTGACTATGGTAAGTGCACATGTCTCAAAACAGTCAAGGAATGAATCAACATCAAAACAACAACAGAAGAAGCATTCAGTGCCATAGAAAGACTGGTTATGATAACAACAATACCTGACATAGGTCACCTAACAAGATGGTAATTAATTGTACTGCCTGAAGTGTTCACAACGGGTACAATGAATCAAAACACTTCTACATACTTAGAGGAAGGCCGACAAATGGTACAATAGTTTACTAGCAACTGCTTGTATTTATATAATTAAAACCTTACTTGTTACAGCTCAGCCTTTTGAAAGGGAAATCTTAGTATGGGGTCTGAACAATTCCCCACACCGGTATCCCCCCACCAATAAAAGGACAATTCCATCCACACAACAATAACTTTATTTGTTTAACAGTTAGACAAAGGCAGATTAGGGTGTTATAAAAAAACATGTTTTTTGCATTTAAGGTGATTTGTTTGTACTGTATTATAGGGATAGGGATAGATGTGAAAGAGTCCCAATGGATCACATTGAATCGGCTCAGGTGCCCTTTTGAATGTTTACTTCTTTTACGGCAAGAATGGGTTGCTGAAGATCTATTCTCATCCGAATCTGTTCAATTGTCATCACACAAGCTGCTTCACTGAAAAGCTTCCAGCCAGTGACTGAATAACCAATTAAAGGCCATATTGTCATATACTACACACGATGTACTGCCATGTATATTGATTGCTGATTAAGTGATGTGTCACCTATGTGTATATAGCTTGTATATTGAAGGCACATTTCTGGGTAAGCGCTGTATGTGTATATAGCTTGTATATTGAAGGCACATATCTGGGTAAGCGCTGTATGTGTATATAGCTTGTATATTGAAGGCACATATCTGGGTAAGCGCTGTATGTGTATATAGCTTGAATAGTTAGGGTACATCTGTGCTAATTGACTTCACATTGTCTACCATGGTTAGAAATTACTGCAGGCACTGGCTTTCAATTGCCCCAATTGTCAACAGTGGTTAGAAATTACTGCAGGCACTGGCTTTCAATTGCCCCCAAATTAACGTCAATTTGATGTAAACTCAGATTGAGATGACCTCAAGATATATCTTACCAGTGACAATAGATGTCACAAAGTGACTTGCCTGAGCGTGTAATACACATGTATAAGGAATCTGAAAGAAGCTGGGGTGCAGACCCCTACTTAGAACGCATATTCAATTTATTCTTTCAAACCCGTAATCTGGATCCGCCAGTGTAAGCTGCAATTAATGATTCATGTATTCCAGCTATTTTGAAAATAAATTGGTAAAATGTTTGTTCTATTTCTCAATATGGTTTAAACATATTTATTTTCACAAAAGTGTGAAAATGGATTGGTAAACAAGCGAAGCGCTTATGTAATACCGCTCCATTACACATAGGACATATTACAATAAATACATCAATCAAGGTTAGATGTAACAAATAAATTGTACATGCCAAGCTAGATGTGTACATATATAAATCTATTTGCAGTTTATTTTAAACAATCATTTAATCCGCCAGTTTTTAATATAAAGTGTTGAATAGAATCTAATAATAGCATTTGCTCTTCCTTACTCAAATCCGAATTTCCGCATAGCACTGTTTGTAAAGAATAACCATGTTGATAAAAATACATTTCACTTCGAAAAGCATAGTAATTTGTACACACAGAAAAGAAGTGTTGAGCATATTCGGTATGATATCCACAAGAACAAGTTTTTGTATCAAAGATATGTCTATTATACTTATCTGCGTTAAGATCGCTGCAGCCAAGCCTGAGACGACTGAATGATTTGGAATAATCTGCTTCCATAATTTAAATCCCAGTGCATACCATTATCTCCATTTACGTCAAGCAAATTCTTAAATTGTGTAACGGTCTCTGCCCCCATTAGGTTTTCTGGTAACACATTCCAAAGTTGTGTTGTAGCTGGTATAAATGAATCTGCATAAGCTTTTGTTTTACACTTCACTGTTTCAAGATTAGTTTTATCCCTTAAATCATAATTTGTGTTTTCCGAAACTGTATTAGGAATAAGCTACAAGCCTCTCAATATGAAATTATACAAGTGATATCCTTCAAATTAAAAAACTGAATCATACATGTTTATTGGCTTTGTTTATGTCTCCCCCGACTCACGAGTAACACTGCTGCACTAAACCTGTACATCACTACAGCTTTCAGTAAAATCAAAGAGCTAAGTAAGAGAAAAGTTGTAACTTTTTTGTGTGAATGTTACGGATATGTGCATCTCTTATTGTTCAACGAACGGAATGAGTTTGGGGGACAGTAAGTACCAAATCAACCAGAACACGACGGAATCGGCACACCTGACGTTTGAGCGGAAAACCAAATCTCTACATAACCAATTTCTCTGAGTAATTGCTTTTGAACAATTCAAATAAACAAGGACACGACAATGGGACGTAGAACTACGCCAAAAACTGATTTGGGATTAAGTGGACTGAACTTGCCTGCCGAGATTGAATGAGAGCCGCGCGAATCAAGGTAGCCCAAATCCTCTTACCTGCAAGCCCCCATTAAACAAACATTCTCGCCTCCCCTTGTTCGACTTGCATGTAAATAATGCACGAATTACAGGGCTAATCACTCAAATTTACCAAGAGATGACTTTCACAGCAAATAAAGAAACTGCAAGAGAACACATATTCAAACTTTGGAGTAAATAAAGAGTCAAATACTTACAATATCCTCAACATATTCCTCACCCGACAACACAAAGTGCCTCCATGTTTTCAAATATGGCTATTCTGTTTCCCGCCTTCGGAGAATCTGTGATGATTTACTTGTCAAGATCTTTTAACTTTACTCATGCTTACTTTACCCAAAATTATACCCTGTTACATTGATTGCTGAAACATGGAGAATGCCTACGAAAATGAATAATTATTCCATGGAAAATAACACAGTATGATGTGCCTTTAGTCCGTGGAAACTGATAGAAAGGGGGGACAAGAGAATAGCCACCGGAAGTTGTTCCAAACATTAATTGGAGTTGTTACATTTTGCATTTTTGTTTTGGCGAAAATAGAACAATACGATTAGTGGTAATAAATATTGATTTTATTTATAATATTGAGGTTTTTAAAAATTATAATGGAAAAATGAACACATCAGTCACATGATCACGTCACATGACTACTCTGGACGTGTGTGACCTTGGCGGGAAGTGACACGAGCTGGTGAGCAGAGTAGGTCAGTGTTGCAGTAGGGTGCACGTCCTAATAGTTATTATGTTTTTATATAATGACAATACTGTCAACAGTTGTATTTACTACTGGTGTCACGAAATACTCGGAATCTAAACGGATACAACTGAAACATCGCACGCGTATGAAGGCGACATGGCATTGTCCTATTTACGAAATAATACTGATAACGATGATAAAAAAGTCTTAAGTCAAGATCAGTGACAGTACCATCGTTTGTCTTGGGAGTCACCTCCATACATGTATCAGGCCAATTTAATATTCAGGTCGTGTGTGCATAGTTGAAACAGTGTACGTTTTAATATATTTTCTCAATAAGAAACAAATAATATTGTATACCGTATTCGACGTAATAAGCGCCCAGGGCGCTCAAAATTAGAAAATAGGGGGCTCTTATTAGAATATTATTTTGAGTTGAAAGATCGTAAATTTTGTGGTTTATGCTGACAGCCTGAAATGTTAATATACGACAGATATATTTTTCCAGAATTTAATTGCCCATAATTAAGGGTGCATATAACATACGAGTGTGTATTATACACGTATAAATAAGTCTTGTTTACATGAATCAATTGGAAGGGGTGCTAATTGAGATTGTTCTGTAACCAATATATTAGCAACTATTGCCGTGGGCGCTTATTGGAGCAGGGCGCTTAAATTATTACGTTGAATACGGTACATCTTTTTTTTTATAGAGCAAATTGTATGTAGATCTAGATCCATGTTGTTTTGGTATTGTTAATGTCAGTAAACTGTATATCACTTGACCAACCACCGGTCTGGGTAGTTTTGTGGGTACCCTTCAGGACCCACCTGACCCGAGTACCCGAGTTACCTGTCCCAGCCCTAGTATGTTGGGTTTTATGATAACATATGTTGAGGCTACTTCTTGCCCCGCTATCAGTTGATGAAGTTGTTATCCCTGTTACCGATTCGACATAATAAGCGCCCAGGGCGCTCTCAAAATTAGAAAGAGGAGGCTCTTATTAGAATATAATTTTCGTGAAAGAGTTGAAAGATCGTAAATTTGTGGTTTAGGCTGACAGCCTGAAATGATACAAAAGAAAAGTCTGTGCGTATTAGACACGCCAGATATATTTTTCCAGAATTTAATTTCCCGTATTTAAGGGTGCATATAACACACGAAGGGTGCTAATTGGGATTGTTCACTAGCCAATATATTAGCAAATATCCACGTGGGCGCTTATTAGAGCGGGGCGCTTATTACATTGAATACGGTATTCCTTGTCATAATGATGTCAACTTCTAAATATCAAGGGGGCGGTCGGGTAGCCTAGTGGTTAAAGCGTTCGGATTCCCAACATGGGTACAATGTGTGAAGCCCATTTCTGGTGTCCCCCGCCGTGATATTGCTGGAATATTGCTAAAAGCGGCGTAAAACCATACTCACTCACTCACTCTAAATATCAACTCTCATCTTTGATTTTCTTCAATAACATTTTTGGCCGTAATTAAAAAAAAAAAAGTATAGTTGAAAATAGTTTCCATTAATTTATTATGTCAAATAGCTATTTTCAGTCGATAATGCATACCCAGGGTACATGTATATGATATTCCTTTCGCTGGTACTTTCGAATAACTCTGCATACTTGGAAGGAGAGTTGTACTGGTTATCACCATGACAGTTTAAAAATGATGATGTCATAATTAACCTAATTAGTCATTATTAATGGGTCATTGTCAAGGATAAGATGTAGACTGTGCAAGTCTGCAAATCAACTTGTTTGGTGTATTGTGAAATATACTTGTCCAGTACACAGAAGGTAGCATCAGCATATATCTGTAGTACCTTATTGGATGGCCCCTTCAGCCTTCATTAGTTCCGAGGGGGCACAAGTGGCCCAGTCGTCTAAGGCGCCGCGATTCGCTGTGCAGAGTTGCGTCCCTTGGGCACGCCAGAAACCTATGATTGTGGGTTCGAATCAAGGTTGGCCCAGATTATGTTTCTAGGTTTGTCAGCACCATACCCGTGCTTTTGGGTTTCACCGAAGTGGTAAATGTCTGAGACCTGCATCACTTCGGGCTTTCCTCCCACATTAAGCTGACACGCCGTGATATAACTGGAATACTGTTAAAAGTGGCGTTAAACCCAACTCACTCACTCATTAGTTCCGATCACCCTGTCTAACATTACTACTGATGCTAGTCAGAAGCTTCAAGTGATCATCTTCCCAAGTCCAGGGAGTTAACTGACTGTAAAAGTCCAGTTTCCACCCTTGCCGAACTAGGCTGGGATTTCTGGGCTCGATTGTAGCGCCACAAGTGGCTATTACAAGTTACGTCCCTTCTTTGTTCCTCCTCCTGGCCAATCAGATTCCACCTCTCATATCGCTTACATGCGCTTCAAACAAAATGGCAGCGCCCAGTCAAGACGAACTGATCGATAATCAAAATTGGTCTCATTTTAGGAAGTGCATCAAATCACATGAGCTCCTTGATTAAAAACATGAAAAGATTTAGCAAATATCTGTTGAATGATACACATGTTTTGCAAATCCTGCAATCATCCGAAATCTGTTACACGATTTTGATTGGCCTATGCATAGACTCGTTAGTCCAGCCAAAATATAACTCCATAATTCAAGCCTAATTCAGCAAGGGTGAAAACTGGACTTTTATAGTCAATTAACACCCTTGCCTTGGGAAGATGGTAATCTGTGGTCATTAAACATGTTCAGATATTGCCAAAACATTAATCTTAGGGATTTAGCACAAATCATGACAGCTAAAAAAGGGTGGTTGGAGGTGTTAGCCATGTTTTGGGGCTAGGGGAATGTGGTAGTGGATTAAGGACTAGTTATATTGTTTACAGCAATGAGTGAGTGGGTGAGTTTGGTTTTACGCCGCTTTAAGCATTATTCCAGCAATATCACGGCGGGGGACACCAGAAATGGGCTTCACACATTGTACCCATGTCGGGATTCGAACCCAGGTCTTCGGCGTGTCGAGCGAACGCTTAAACCACTAGGGTACCCGACCGCCCCTTACAGCAATGAGTAAAGAGCTCTGTAAGTGCCACTCCGAGATGGAGATTTCTATGGCTTCTCATCTTGGATTGTGTTGCATCAGTCACTTACTGCAGCACGATAGCCTGTAGACTGACATGTAGGACCCGTGAAGATCCGGGGTAGAATAGGTCTTCAGCAACCCATGCTTGCCGTAAAAGGCGACTATGCTTGTCGTAAAAGGCGACTAACGGGATCGGGTGGTCAGGCTCGCTGACTTGGTTGATGCAGGGTCATCGATCCCAATTGTCTGGTCCAGACTCGATTAATTACAGACCGCTGTCATATAGCTGGAATATTGCTGAGTGTGGCGTTAAACAACAAACCAACCAACCAACTGACATGTAGTCTCTGAAATGAACATATTTTACAGATAAAAAATGTTTTTAATTATAGTTATAAAAATGATATAAAAATGAGCCTGGAGACTCTTCATTTTCAGATACTAGAATCTAGACTTGCCAAATATTATAGACTATACTGGATATATTTGTTTCAGGGTCTGTATGACGGACTAGATAGCCTGTTATGTCTCCCTTAGAGCAAGAGGTGGTGAAATGGGGTTTAACGTCGTGTCCAAAATTATTGCACCAACATAGCGAAGTGCATGCATGTGTGTGTGGCTGCTACTAGTCCGGACTGATGCTGATTTATAGTGCTAGCTCACTGAGATACCATGCCCCAGTTTAACATGAATACCCCACTCAGACACAGTATACTGACTCCGAGCCGACCAGTCCTTGTTTTTGCCCCTTAATGTTGAGTGTCAGACAGGGTAACAACAAGTACCTTCTTTTAATGTCTTCTGGTATGATGTGGCTGGAGATCGAACCCCAGACCTTCTGCTCTCCGGGTGGACGTTCTACCACTGGACCACTGAGGCGGTCTTACAGCAAGAAGCTGAACAGATTTGATGACTGGGCAGCCTACTTTGAATGCAATTAAAGGGGCTCAATCTCCACAAGCTGGTAGCCATTCATCAGTGACTGTGTCAATCAGAAACACTGTGTGTGCTCAGACATGTCTTTTTGTCATGTAATGGCATGTCTAAAAATTGCATAAAAGATTAAAAGGCACATGCCATCAGGTTTTCTTTTGAGTAGTAGTACAATATGCAATACAGTATACAATACAATACAGTATACAAAACACTTTACAATACATTATACAATACAATGTACAATACAGTAAACGATGCAATATACAATACAGTAAACAATACAATATACAATAAAGTATACAATACAGTATACAATACAGTATACAATGTAATATACAATACAGTATACACTATACAATACAATATAGAATACAGTATACAATACAATGTAATGTACAGTATACATTACAATATATAATACAATATACTATAAAGTATACAATACAATACAGTATACAAAACACTATACAATACATTATACAATACAATGTACAATACAGTAAACGATGCAATATACAATACAGTAAACAATACAATATACAATACTGTATACAATATACAATACAATGTACAAAAGAGTATACAATACAGTATACAACACAATGTACAATAAAGAATACAAAACAATATACAAGAATACAATTACAATACAATATACAATACAATACTGTATACAATACAATACAGTATAGAATACAATTTACAATACAGTATACAATGCAATATACAATACAATATGCGATTCAACATACAGAACACTATACAATACATTATCCAATACAGTATACAATACAATATACTATACAATGCAATGCAATAAACAATACAATAAACTATACAGTACACAATACACTATACAATTAAATACATAATGTATTATACAATGTGCAGTACAATATACAATACAATACAGTATAAAATACAATATACAATACAATGTAATGTACAATGCAATATACGGAATGCAATGCAATAAACAATACAATGTAATGTACAATACAATATAGGCAATGCAATGTAATAAACAAGAGAATAAACTATACAATACACAATACAATTAAATACATAATGATATATTGTAAACAACACAGTACACACTACAGTATACTTTTATATACATTACATTTCATTTAATGCAGTAAATATATATGATAGTCAATACAAATACTTTGCAATATACACATGCAATGCACAACATTACATGTGGTGTCTGAGCAAATCAATTTAGTGGCAGTCCATCCAGAGTTATGGCCCCTGTTGAGTATTGTAAGACATGATGGTGGCAACCACATAGGCTGCTGTAAACTAGGGCTGGGACGGGTAACTCAGGTACCCGGGTCGGGTGGGTACTGAGTAGGACCCAGTACCCACAGGACTACCCAGCCCCATAGTTAGTCACGTGATATATTATTTCATGACAAAAATTCACTATATAACTACGTGGTTACACAACAATTTTAAGTCTCTAATGTTTGCATTTCTTCTTGACTATGAACACGTTCCTTCTGACTTACATATGTTTGAACAAAGCTAATACTTCAGTCAACTTCAGTGTATGCATGACCACATTGTTTTCTACGTGTATCTAGATACACTCTACCAAGGCTATTGTCAGACTATTCCCAATCGGACATTTTGTACCTATCTCTTGACACCAACAGCGGGTACCCGGGTAGGGTCGGGTGATAGGGGTGTGGGTACCCGGGTAGTAAAATTGGACTCGTCCCAGCCCTACTGTAAACATGGCATGCTGTATAATGGTCAGATTTAAATGTTGTTGAGTGGAGACAACTGTCTCGACAACATACTCTTCATAAACAATGAAACAATATCAACAAGTAATACCGTATTCGACGTAATAAGCGCCCTGGGCGCTCTCCAAATTAGAACTAGGGGGCTCTTATTAGAATATTACTTTGGTGAAAAGAAAAACAGAGTTGAAAGATAAATTTCGTGGTTTATGCCGACTGCCTGAAATGTTTGTGTACGACAGATATATTTTTCCAGAATTTAATTGCCCATAATTAAGGGTGCATATAACACATGAATGCGTATTATACGCGAAAAAATAGGTCTTGTGTACATTGATCAATCGGAAGGGATGTCAATTGGGATTGTTCACTAGCCAATATATTAGAAAATATCGCCGTGGGCACTTATTAGAGCAGGACGCTTATTACGTCAAATACGGTACACATTATATACACAATACACCACAGAAGTATATGTTTTTGTTTAATGATGCAGAGGTTGTCACTTTGGAATTCCTAAAATATTCTGTTTGACCTTCAATAACATGAAAAAAACATTAAACAAGTAGAGCCAGACTTTTAAAAAAAGTTGGTTTACGAATTCCATAATTTGAAATATAAATATTAAAAAGGAAAGCACTTTTTTTATTATGCTGACCAGAAATAAGTAAAATGTTAACAGCCCCAGTCATTTTCTGTCTATATTTATATGTGGATTATTTAAGTTTTGCAACTTCAATATAAGACCAAGTCGCAGAATATCTTTTGCACTTTTATTTTTCAATATAATCTTCATTCACCTCAATACACTTATTCCATTTGTCCTTCAAGCTTTTAATACCACTTTCATAGAAATCCGCAGATTGGCCCTCTAACCACGCCTCTGTGGCAGCCTTTATGTCCTCGTCATCCTGGAAGCGTCTTCCACGTAGGGCAGATTTCATTTGCCGGAACAGGAAATAGTCACTGGGGGCTAGTCTGGGCAGTACAGTTAAATCACTCCCCCTACAGCCCAGACTTAGCCCCCAGTGACTAAAAGCTTGAAGGACAAATGGAATAAGTAAATGGTGTATACACTTACTCCTTCATCAGGTGAATAAATGCTATGAAGTGCAGAACCTATATATGTACATGTAAGAACATGTTAGTTTCAGATTTTGATAATAGTTTATAATATTTGATGATAAAAACAACTTTTCTGGTAATTTGATTACTGCACGTGACTTCTTGGATGTAGCGTGACCTTGGCGGGGAGTTGTTTGACCTTTTTGTGAAATATTACTGATAGACAACTTATTATATCAGAGACAGTTATCTGTATTGTCCAGTCAGCGCCCTCAGGGTAACCATCTCATTGTTTTAACTGTATCAGGTCAAGGCCAATCTGTTCAGACCGAGCTCACCTTGACATGGTCAGTGTGAGATACATTACAGACTTAGCCCATCGTCTGTCCATCCGTCCATCCATCGTCTGTCCATCCATCCATCGTCTGTCCATCCATCCATCGTCTGTCCATCCATCCATCGTCTGTCCATCCGTCCATCGTCTGTCCATCCATCCATCGTCTGTCCATCCATCCATCGTCTGTCCATCTGTCTTTTAGCATTGAATCTCTTTTTCTTCAAATCTACTGGACATATTAATATCATTTTCACATAACATGTTCACCAGTCCCTTGCTACAATGAAACGTCCGAGACCTGCATCACTTGGGGCTTTCCTCCCCCATTAAGCTGACACGCGGCGATATAACTGGAATACTGTTAACAGCGGCGTTAACCCCAACTCACTCACTCACTCACCTTGCTACAATGAAGTCAACTTTTTACTTCAAATATTCAAAATGGCCATTACAGCATTTTAAATTAGTAAAACAGCCATTGCAACAATATCTCTTTGAACAATATTGTTTTTAATTATTTCTAGACGATGTTCATAAGATCCTCCTTTACAATGGGGTATGGTTAAAATTCAATTTTTTTAATAAATATTTTCATTGTGCTTCTTACAAATAGGACGTTTGTAATAAGATGAATATTCAATATTGCAGCTATATGACGGCGGTCTGTAAATAATCAAGTCTGGACCAGACAATCCAGTGATTGATATCATGAGCATTGATCCAGTCAATTGGGATACGATGACATGCATCAACCAAGTCAGCGAGCCTGACCACCCAATCCCGTTAGTCGCCTCTTATGACAAGCATGGTCGCCGTTTACGACAACTTTGTCTGTGATGTAGCAAGTCATGCTCTTCTTACTTGGCACGATCATTTATTATCCCAGAGTTTGAAAACAGGGGATTTAGCGATCACCGAGTCCGTCTGTTTCTGGAGTAGAAATCCAAAACTGTTTAATATTTCTTGTTGAAACTTGCTATATAGATCAGTTGGTACCTTTTGATGATTTGGGATTTTATGTCTTAATTATCCCCCGCCCAACGAAGTTGGCGGGGGATATAGAAACGGGCTCCATCCGTCCGTCCGTCCGTCACGTTTTGTTTCCGGAGCATAACTCATAAACCGATCAATATTTTTTCATGAAACTTTGCAGGTCTGTCAGGTACATGCTGAACTGGTGCCTTTTGCTATTAAGAAATTTTAGAATTTTTTATTTTTTACGTTTCCATGGCAACAAGATGGACTTAAGTTCTGTGAGGGTAGGGTTCGTTTCCGGAGCATAACTCATAAACCGTTCAATATTTTTTCATCAAACTTTGCAGGTGTGTCAGGTACATGCTGAACTGGTGCCTTTTGATATTTAGAAATTTTTAGAAATTTTTATTTTTTACGTTTCCATGGCAACAAGATGGACTTAGGTTCTGTGAGGGTAGGGTTCGTTTCCGGAGCATAACTCATAAACCGTTCAATATTTTTTCATCAAACTTTGCAGGTGTGTCAGGTACATGCTGAACTGGTGCCTTTTGATATTTAGAAATTTTTAGAAATTTTTATTTTTTACGTTTCCATGGCAACAAGATGGACTTAGGTTCTGTGAGGGTAGGGTTCGTTTCCGGAGCATAACTCCTAAACCGTTCAATATTTTTTCATCAAACTTTGCAGGTCTGTCAGGTACATGCTGAACTGGTGCCTTTTGCTATTGAGAAATTTTTGAAATTTTTATTTTTTACGTTTCCATGGCAACAAGATGGACTTAGGTTCCAAACTCATCTTTTTTTTACAATTTCCATGACAAGTTCCACCTCGGTTAAAAAAGGTTAGGGTTTGTTTAGATATAATTATGTCATAAATTCTGCAACAGGGTAGGGGGATATAGCCACGTTAGTGGCAAACTCTTGTTTTTTTATGTGTTCATGACGACAAGTCGGACTTATGCTGAAAATGAGGGTAGTGCTCGTTTCCGGAACAGCACTCTAAAACTGTTGAATATTTCTGGATGAAACTTGCTATGCAGATCAGTCTAGTGCTGAACTGGTGCCTTTTGATGATTTGGGATTTTGAAACATACTGAACGGTGTTAGTTTTTTCTTCAACTAAACTGAGGGTATCTAATGCCAATGAATCAAAAGTGGGGTACCAGTAGCCAAACTTCATTTCCGAATTGCACCAGACCACAAATACTGGTAAACATAATTTGTCCTCTAGTTTTACAAAATATGATTGTTTCAAAGTAGTGATAGGCTTCACCCATCATGAGATGTCCTGGTGCTATGGTAGAGCGCATGTCCTGGTGCTATGGTAGAGCGCATGTCCTAATATGTAGTTATATGCACCAGTCAACTTGAGATTTGTCAATCCGGATCTTTTATGAATAAAGGGTCAAGATTTGACCTCATTGAAAAGTATAAACGGAAGCTACCCGTGTAACGGATTACTAAAACACTTGACCCATTATCCAGATAAACTATTTTTTATCAAAGTCAGTTATCTGTCTGTATCGTGACGTCCTTGAATGTAACGTCAGCCCACACTGCCTAGGGGATCTGTAGGTGGCGATCATTGTTAGAACAAGTCGCCACAGTAAGTCTTCATATGTTTTTGTGAAGCAAAGAAACTTTGGGATAAAGACAACTGGTAAATATTATTGTTTCAGAAAAAAAGTTTTATTTTGAAATTTGGTGCTTGTGATTATTTTGTGAATACATGAACCTTTTTTATGGATAGTAACTTCTTTTATTCTTTGTACGACGTTTCAGAGCTACTTCTAGCTCCTTCTTTCTCCTTGAATGAATGGATTCATCTGATGAAGAAGCAAGAAGTAGCTCTGAAATGTCCTAAGAATGTTTCATGTTCTCCCCTCTGCTAAATGCCTATCGGGGCGGTTGGGTAGCCTAGTGGTTAAAGCGTTCGCTTGTCACGCCGAAGACCCGGGTTCGATTCCCCACATGGGTACAATGTGTGAAGCCCAATCCTCGTGTCCCCCGCCGTGATATTGCTGGAATATTGCTAAACGCGGCGTAAAACCATACTCACGCACTCACTCGCTCTCAATGCCTATCAAAGATTTAAATATTTTAGTCATACAACATTTTTAGCTCAAGGTCACAAGGTTCACATCTAAAATATTTCCTCTCACACAGAATTCTCTTTATGTAATTGGCTGTGAAAAGGTAGATTTTTACACATGAGAAATAAGAGGATTTGTTTGTCTGTTGTTTAACGCCGCACTCAGCAATATTTCAGCAATATGACAGCAGTCTGTAAATAATCGAGTTTGGACCAGACAATCATGATATCATGAGCATCGACCCACACAGTTGGGATATCATGACATGCATCAACCAAGTCAGCGAGTCTGCCCCCACCCGATCACGCTAGTCGCCTCATATGACAAGCATGGGTTGCTGAAGACCTATTCTTCCCCGGATCTTCACGGGTCAGAAATATGAGGAAAGATAAGGTGAATTTGACATTCTGGTGTTTTTGAAGCACAGACTTACTATTACACAGTATATGGTTACTAATATGTTTTTTAAATTTTTTATTTCAGAATAAAGAAATAGATATTTATTATACTGCTAAAAAAAAGGTGAAAGAACACCGATTTTGTTATCCATAAATTGTGTCTACTTTGACAATAGTTAATCTATCAAACCATGACAGATTAACAATAGTCATATGAAATACCACGTATTCTTTTACTTCTTTTCAGCAGAATATATGATATAGAAAAATGTTAACAGTAGGTGATCTGTGTTTCAGCTTAAGTGTCAGCGCTGTAGATTATCACGATGCCTGCCACGCCCAAGGAGATCCACCCCGGGGTGCCTGATTACAGCACTGTGCATGAGCCAGTCGGGGACCTGTTTCCCCCGGTTACCGTATGTACTTGTGCACTGCATTATGGGATTGCTTAAACCGCCAGTTACAGCCTTTCAGCACCCAAATCGGCTTCCCACTTTATGTTCTAAACATTACATTCCTCTGCCACATACAATTATGGATAAGGGGTCATATGGCCCTCTGCCTCTCAGCTGGTGTCTGCTGACAATTCTCAGGTCAAGTCAGAGCCAAATATCACAAAATCATACAAATACAAATACATTTAGAAGCTGACTACAAACAACTTGTGTACCATATCGCAGTTCATTAGAGGTGAATATGTGTTATTGATGCATATTGTACATATGGCTGCTACGGAACATCGCAGGACAACAGGTCTGTGGGCTACAAATTTGATAATAATGAAACAGTTACTGCATAATAAGAATATATCCAGTCAAAGTGCATATCCTAATCAAATGACTTATATACATTAATCACGAAATAATGTTTCTTGTAACCATGTTCGTTTATAGAATAGTTACATTCACTATATATACAATAACAAAAAATGTATTTACAAAACGTAAGGTATACAAATTCAAGTGGACTCCCCTATTCCCGGGGAAAAGTACATTGCAAATCATCTAGATCCCGAGGGTGACAATCGAATGGAGGAGGGCACATGCCCCTACTGTTTTATCAAACCCTGTGTAGCCACCCTCAACGGAACAGCCAGATGGATGGGACTAAGGGTGAAACGATACACCGATATTCCGATGCATCGCGATACTTGACCCAAGATACGATATACGATAAACGTGGGCCCATTTATCGATACGCCACGATACGGAACGCAAATCTCAAGTACAGCGTTTCCTCGGTATTGTGCCTTTCAATAAACCGCTAACTTGGTTATAGCGCGCGCTAACGCATGGCTCCCAAAAACGTACTTACATTTTTAATAAGCTCAGGTTTTACACCGACAGATGTTTTTCCCCATCTCATAAAACATTATCAGCTGATCACCGCAAGCACATAACACCGAAAATACCAGTCAGCAAATCCGAATTGAAGTACGCAATTCAATACCATTATTATACTATCTTGTTATTAAAACGTGTTCATTGTATATCTGGACTTGTGTTTGTAATATATTTTATTAATTTTATTCAAAATTTCATTTAATATTGTTTTCATTAAGTTATGTGAAATTGTGTGTGAAGAGATACAGCAACCATGGTCAGATTACCGCTTTTGACGCATTAAAACGAACTTTAGTTGCTAGAGAATGGATACATATATAAAAAATGCCATACTTCGACTCGTTAAAAGTAATATTTGTGGCAATTTGGCTAATATATGTCAACATAACGTTATCGCAATCGAAATACATGTAGCACGGGAAGTCCCTAGGGTGACTGGTCAAATTGTTCCATACGTTAAAATATCCTGCAACAGCAATCACCTGTACCAAAATGCTACACTTGTGGTTCTTATAATTATATATATAATTATATAGTAAAAGCTGCAACTAAGGTAACACGATATTGGAATAAATTATTCCTGATAAAACAATAATTTCAGATACAATTTCTTCGACCATTGCACCAAAATTCTTTGAAGTTGTATCACTGGTGGAGTACATTAATTATTTTCTGGTGTTTGAACTTTGAATTGTTTTGAAGGAAAGTTGAACAACTTCAGTAGTCTTGTTATTATTAAATAATTTTGACTGTTCCAAAATCATGAAAGGTTCAATCTTTACATGCTTTTTAGTCTTTTTTTTTTTTATCATTGCGTATCGAGATACGTATCGTATCGTGACCAGAATATCGAGATGCGTATCGTATCGTGACCTTCCTGTATCGTTGCAGCCCTAGATGGGACATGCGCTCCCTCCAAGCCCTAATAACTGCACCATCAGAAGAGCTCTCTACTATAATTTTTTGAAAATAATTGACAACTGTAACGGGTGGTAAATACCAGAATATGTTCAAAAGAAGATCAGACTGTGTGATGAACAAATAATGCCGGAATGTGTGTTGACACTTGTGCGAACAAAATACCCAAATGGGATAAATGAGCCATATATGGGACACAAGTGGTGGCGAACTGACTTTGTTATTTTTCTCTTTGTATATATATATTATCATTGATATTCTTTTAGACTAACATTTAGTCTCTGAAATCTTATATTACACAAAATCCTTCTTGACTCTAAAAATAAAAAAAATTCCCTATGCTGATTTCAGAATAGAGCTAGCTTGAGCTGGCTAGACTTGCTTTTGTATGCATTTCTAGATTATTATTTTTTCATGAAATAAATATATTCCACGGTCATGGTGCAGGACTAATATTCTTTCAAAAACTGCAATTAATTTCTTTGGTGAAAATCAAAATTTTGTAAAGCATAACACAGTAATGAAACTCTTGGCTCATGTAACTGACTATGGCAATACAGTATCCTTATCAGACAAGTGATTGTGTTTTGTTTACATAAAGAGTGTAATTGCTCCTAAGAGGTCAAATGTGTGACTTGTGCTGTGTCTCAAAGTTGACAGGCCTTCCGTTCCCTCCTGGAGGAAAAAGTGGCGGTTTAAACACGAAAAACAGGGAGTTTGTCTCAGATTCCATATTAAATGTCCTTTCCGTTCAAATTCAGAAAACATTATTAGTTTTGGGTATATTTTAATGCTCTGATTAAGTATTTTAACAAAATCGACAAAAGTTTATGGATTACGTCTTTATTCTACTGCAATAGCGACATTTTGTGTAGGTCCTCATACTGTTGTCTAGCAAGACTGAATAAGAAACATGGACAGGTAAGGTGAAATTATGTTTAACGTCGCGTCCAAGATTATTGCACTTATATAGCGACGTGCATGCACGTGTGTGTGTGTGTGTGTGTGTGTGTGTGTGTGTGTGTGTGTGTGTGTGTGTGTGTGTGTGTGTGTGTGTGTGTGTGTGTGTGTGTGTGTGTGTGTGTGTGTGTGTGTCTGCTTGTACTAGTCCGGTCTGATGCCGATTTATAGTGCTAGCTCACTGAGATACCATGCCGCAGTTTAACATGAATACCCCACTCAGACACAGTTTCCCTGAAACACAAGTATTGTTGCAGAACAAAGCCGATTGGTCTAACTTCCGTTTGACTAAAGACCAGATTGCCCAGTTCAACAAAGATGGCTTCCTCCTGAACGTGCCGATTCTCACAGCAGAACAATGCGACAGAATACTAGATGACTACAAGTACTTCACGGTGAGCACTGAACAGACACTTACTATATATATATATATATATATATATATATATATATATATATATATATACCACCTCCAGCTGAGAGCTGTTCTGGCAGTAACTATATATACCACCTCAAGCTGAGAGCTAACTATATATATATATATACCAGCTCCAGGTGAGAGCTGTTCTGGCACTAACTATATATACCACCTCCAGTTGAGAGCTGTTCTGGCACTAACTATATATATATCACTTCCAGCTGAGAGCTAACTATATGTACCACCTCAATCTGAGAGCTGTTCTGGCACTAACTATATATACCACCTCCAGCTGAGAGCTAACTATATGTACCACCTCCAGCTGAGATCTGTTCTGGCACTAACTATATATACCACCTCCAGTTGAGAGCTGTTCTGGCACTAACTATATATACCACCTCCTGTTGAGAGCTGTTCTGGCACTAACTATATATACCACCTCCAGCTGAGAGCTGTTCTGGCACTAACTATATATACCACCTCCAGCTGAGATCTGTTCTGGCACTAACTATATATACCACCTGCAGTTGAGAGCTGTTCTGGCACTAACTATATATACCACCTCCAGCTGAGAGCTGTTCTGGCACTAACTATATATACCACCTCCTGTTGAGAGCTGTTCTGGCACTAACTATATATACCACCTCCAGTTGAGAGCTGTTCTGGCACTAACTATATATACCACCTCCAGCTGAGAGCTGTTCTGGCACTAACTATATATACCACCTCCAGCTGAGAGCTGTTCTGGCACTAACTATATATACCACCTCCAGCTGAGAGCTGTTCTGGCACTAACTATATATACCTCAACCAGCTGAGAGCTGTTCTGGCACTAACTATATATACCACCTCCAGCTGAGATCTGTTCTGGCACTAACTATATATACCACCTCCAGCTGAGAGCTGTTCTGGCACTAACTATATATACCACCTCCAGCTGAGAGCTGTTCTGGCACTAACTATATATACCACCTCCAGCTGAGAGCTATCTATATGTACCATCTTAGGCTCGTGTTATTACTTCTCTGATGTCTTCTATTTCCATGTCCATCAGAATGAGGACAAGAAGCACCCAGGGATGGACTTGTTGTATGAATACCATAGAAACCAGACTGGAGACCCTTCCAGGGTCCTCATGCACTGTCTCGGGCACTGGCGGATGACCCAGCTGTTCCATGACCTGGCCTTCCTCCCCTCGGTGGTTGTAAGTATGACATCATAACAGAGCTGTTCCATGACCTGGCCTTCCTCCCCTCGGTGTTGTGTGAAATCACCTGCCTGACTATTTCATTCTTGCTATCGACAGGTGCCTGCATCACAGCTGCTGGAACCGACAGGGAAGGAGGTACCGGTCCGATTCTGGCACGATCAGCTGTTTGCTAAACCCCCGCATCATGGCGGAGTCGTCGCCTGGTGAGTATGCAGCCACCATCTTGGATTTCAGAATCAGAGCATAAAACACTTGAACATTGTTATTATGGTGTGAGTACAGTTTTATTACCATGTAGGGAATCAAACCCAGGCATTTGGTGTGACCAGCAAACACTTTTACCACCAGGCTACCCCACCTCACTCTAATTACACAGAAAAATATAAGTTAGGAGCTGACAACATTGTTTTCTCATTTGGGTGGCCCAGTCATCTAAGACTCTGCAACATTCACAATAGGGATCACGAGGAATTCTGTGTTCCTGGTTACCAGTAATTACAAGTTTTTCACCGGTAAAATTAGGATTGGACAGGTAATTTATGTGACTGCCAGGGGCGGTCGGGTAGCCTAGTGGTTAAAGTGTTCGCTTGTCACGCCGAAGACCTGGGTTCGATTCCCGACATGGGTACAATGTGTGAAGCCTATTTCTGGTGTCTCCTGCCGTGAAATTGCTGTAATATTGCTAAAAGCAGCGTAAAACCATACTCCCTCACTCACTCATGTTACTGCCAGTCCCTGTGTCTTTGTTGAACAAAACATCGGCGATATTCATATAAGCATATTTTTCAAACGAAGTCAGCTTGTCTAGGGTTTCCCCTTTAACATTTGAATATATATTTGTTGTGACTTAGTCTCGAAATATTAAAAAAGAAGAAGAGAGAATTGTGATTGAACTTTGTGTGAATGACATATAGATCTAACTAAGTTACTTCAGAGATGACATCATTGCATTGAACATGATGTTGAAAGAATTCAAACGAGGTAATTTGAGTTTAGTTTTTGGATTTACATCTTGTACAAAATGGGGGATATACCCTAGGCCTTCAACACGATGGGCCAGTGCTTTGACTGCTTGGCTTCAGTTACCAATCTTAGACAAGACCCCGTCAGTGGTCTAGTGGATAGAGTGTCTGCCCAGAGAGCGAAAGGTCGATTGTTGATCCCCTGGCCTCGTCATACTGTAAGAAGTTAAAAGACGGTACTTGTTACCCTGCCTGCGTCTTCTCTGAGGCAAGAGTGTCCAGCAACCTCTTTCAAAGCCTAGTTTCTACCCTTGCCATATCTGACCTGCTGACCCGTGAAGATCTGGGGTAGAATAGGTCTTCAGAAACCCATGCTTGCTGTAAAAGGCGACAATGCCTGTTGTAAGAGGTGACTAAGGGGATCGGGTGGTCAGGCTCGCTGACTTGGTTGATGCATGTCATCGATCCCAATTGCGTGGATCGATGCTCATGATATCAATCACTGGATTGTCTGGTCCAGACTTGAATATTTACAGACTGCCATCATATAGCTGGAATATTGCTGAGCGCGATGTTAAACAACAAACAAACAATCAAACAAACAAAATCAAGCCTGCTTTCCTTGGCTCGATCATAGCACCAGCTTGGGTAGAAAGTTGTGTCCCTTGTGATGAAAATGCGATATCCAAGCAGATTTCAAATGACTTCACAAAGATGACAACCACAGCAGGCAACCTGGTCAATCAGATAACGAAAACTGGAGTTAAAAAACAGTGAAGTTTGCAATTTAATATGTAAAAGTACTTGGGCAAGTTGATTGAAACTTTCAACCACTTCAAAAATATTTCTCAGACATATTTTTGCTTCAGCTTCAGTAGTACAGGTAAGTACAGTTATTGTGGCTACAAGTCCAAGCAGTAAGTTTTCATTTTGTTGTGGCATGTTATAAACTGAGGGGCAAAAGAAAGTATACCGAGTTTGTTTATTTTGTAATTGAAAATTGAAAGTACTGTTGTTAAATTATGTCTGTTTGATCATCGCTTATTCCTGCAAATGTTTGTACAAATTAACCTGTGGCTGGGAAATTTTGTGTAAAAGTAAATTGGTTCAATGAAGACTTGGGTAAGAGATAAATTTGCAACCTGCCACGTTTGAAATGTGCTGAAAAAAGCAAAAAATTATTGATTTTCAAAGATAACATGTATAAGATACCCATCATTCGTTGTGTATTCTGCCAATTTTCTTTTTTAATTTTTAAAAGTTTTAAATCAAATTAATTGTTTAAGTACAACCTTGCGGAAGTATTTTTTGAGTGCTTACTAAGCACCAGTACAGTTACTTTTTTTGAATAAAATATCACCCACTCATTTTCAATAGAAGATCAAACATATGCTAAAATCAGCTGAGAGGTATAGTTTCTTTTGCTCCTCAGTATATTTTTTAATATATATCATATTATAGTTTGTACGTATTTGTGAAGTCTTGCTGTCTTCAAAGGGAGCTAACTGCTGTGTTGCAGGCACCAGGACTATTCCTACTGGACACGCACTAAACCTATGATGCATTTAACGGTAGGCGGCACTTACTGCCTGCTTGCCCCATTGCTTGCAATGACCTGCTTACCTCCCTTGCTTGTACCAACAGTCTCAAAATGGTCACATGTCCAATGCTGAAAATGCTATTGTTTTGTAATATAAGACCGCCTCCGTGTATAGCGTCCGTCCGGAGAGCGGAAGGTCCGGGGCTCGATCCCCAGCCGCGTCATACCAAAAGACATTAAAAGATGGTTCTTGTTGTTACCCTGTCTGGCGCCCAGCATTAAGGGGCTAAATCAAGGACTGGTCGGCTCGGAGTCAGTATACTGTGTCTGAGTGGGGTATTCATGTTAAACTGCGGCATGGTATCTCATTGAGCTAGCACTATAAATCGGCATCAGTCCGGACTAGTACAAGCAGCCACACACACACACACATACGTGTATGCACTTTGCTATATAAATGCAATAATCTTGGATTTGACGTTAAACCCCATTTCACCTCACCTCACCTCCGGTAATAAAATGTTTTAGAATTTCAAAAAATTAGTGGCAACAGAATTTAATCATTGTCAACGCTTCAGAGTTCCTGTTTTGGGGGGGCACGGGTGGCCCAGTCGCTGTGCAGAGTTGCGTCCCTTGGGCACGCCAGAAACCTATGATTGTGGGTTCGAATCCCGGTTCGCCCCGATTATGTTTCTAGGTTTGTCAGCACGATACCTGTGCTCGTGGGTTTCACCGAAGTGGTAAACGTCTGAGACCTGCATGACTTCGGGCTTTTCTCCCACATTTAGCTGACACACCGTGATATAACTGGAATAATGTTGAAAGCAGCATTAAACTCAACTCACTCACTCCTATTTTTGACCGAGGATTAAAACAACAGCCTGGTTTCAGGGAGAAGGAAACCGGCGCAGATTATGTGACCAACTATGAGATAATGGAACATTTTGACTTCTCGTTATATTTTAGAACTACAAGATTAGGAACACAAAAATACACACGCCTCAGTTCACATTTATTACAGAGATGTATGAAATCAAACATTTGGACTCATTTTCTGCAAAGCCCCATTTTCCGTCTTATAACTGTTATGTAATGATAGTAGTTTTTAGAAATAATGTCTGATTAATTGGAAGAAGAGATGTAAGCTGTAATGTTTTGAAGTGGTTTAATTACATTACGAACCAACGAGAAACATATTTTTTTGTACAGTCCACACATATTGCAATTTTTATGGAAGTAAGTTGACGTCAAACGTCCCTCTTTATGACGTCACAGCGCAAATGTATCCTATCTCCCATAAGGTCCCTTTCCTCCTGGTGTGTCGCATATCTCATCCAACATTTGCTTCCCTCTACCCTGCACATTGCTTTGTTATCAGGCGTGGTGAGGCTTACAAAATGTACAAAGAGAATGGGTTGCTTCCATGCATTACATACCACTCAAAAGAAGTTAAGGAACACCTGATTGGCTGGTCAAGTATACTCGGAGTCAGTATACTGTGTCTGAGTGGGGCATTCATGTTAAACTGCGGCATGGTATCTCAGTGAGCTAGCACTATAAATCGGCATCTGTCCGGACTAGTACAAGCAGCCACACACACACACACATGTGCATGCACATCGCTATAGAAGTGCAGTAATCTTGGACGTGACATTAAATACAATTTCACCTCACCTCACCTCACCTCACCTCACCTCACCTCACCTCACCTCACCTCACCTCACCTCACATCACCTCACCTCACAATATAACTGAATTGTCAGGCTGCCATCATATAGCTGGATTATTTCTCTGAGTGCGGCATTAAACAACACACACACACACACACACACACACACACACACACACACACACACACACACACACACACACACACAAACACAGACACACACAAACAAACACAGACACGGACACACATCACACATTTCAAACACATCACACACACTCACTCACTCACACAAGAAGGTAGAGTTGTCAGTGTTTATTCTACCTGTGTTTCAGGTTCACATAGCTCTGGATGAACAGTTTGAACAGAATGGGGCTCTCAAGTACATCCCGGGGTCTCACAAGTAATTAATGTGTTTGTTTGTTTTCATTATCAGTTTTTAATACAGAATCCGTGATACAAAAAGAGAGAGTCTGACCCTGAGGGGGCTACTCTCTTGCTGCATATGAAACCTGTACGAAGTTAGTAATGGTGATAGTCGGCTGATTTAGAGACACTGACAAGATTCAGGATATTCTTCAGGAGTTTTTTGCGAAATAAATTTGAAAAATAATTTTTAAAAAGTCCCATTTTTAAATATATGTTTTTATAATTCCTTAAAATGTTATGGGGGCAAAAACAAGGACCAAACGTGTGCTCCGGAGTATTAGGGATTTGTCATAATGAGTTGTGTTTTTAATTTTTTTCCGATAAATTTTCAAAATGTTTTAATGATAGTATTTTTAATAATATATTTATATTGAGAGTGACCGTAAATGAGTTGGTTTTCTTTTACATTTTACTTATTTTTTGTCGGAAGAATGAAAAAACACACTGCTTCTCATTATTATTTTTTCACATTTAGATTTTTGGAGGTTATGATTCGGACATAAATCAAGTTTAGGAAAAAGTCTGTTCTGACAAAAACATTAATTATTATACTGTGGTCTAGAATCACAACCCTAAAATAAAAAAGTGACATTATTCAAGGGAAGCAACTCTTTTTAAAAAAGGTTTATAATATGAAAGTGTTATTGTACAGCTGTGATCTTTAGTCAGATGTGAACAACATGTGAAACTTCCTATATTATCATACAGCTTACTGATTTGTAGTTTAGATGTGAACAAAATGTGAAACGCACGGTGTATTATTGTACAGCTCACTGATTTGTACTTCAGATGGACCAGAAATGGCAGCCCCCTACCAGTGACCGACTTCAACTTCGCAGACATGGAGTCCATCCAGGTTGGCAACCATTGATGACATAGTTAGTGCACGATGAGTGAGTGTGTGAGTGTGGTTTTTACGCCGCTTTTAGCAATATTCCAGCAAAATCACGGGGGACACCAGAAATGGGCTTCACACACTGTACCCATGTCGGGAATCGAACCCGGGTCTTCGGCATGATGAGCGAACGCTTTAACCACTAGGCTACCCGACCGCCCCTAGTGTATTATGGAGGAGGTGGGTTAGTCGAATGGGTAAGGTGTTCGCCTACCACACCAAATGCCCAGGTTCAATTCCCTACATTGGTACCATGTGTGAAGCTCATTCCTGGAGTCCCCTGTTAATGACAGCTGTGTCAAACCCGACTCACTCACTAGGGCGCTGACCCGTGAAGATCCGGGGTAGAATAGGTCTTCAGCAACTCATGCTTGACGTAAAGGGTGACTATGCTTGCCGTAAAACGCGACTAACGAGGTCGGGTGGTCAGGCTCGCTGACTTGGTTGATGCATGTCATCGATCCCAACTGCGTGGATCGATGTTCATGATGTCAATCACTGGATTGTCTGGTCCAGACTGGATTATTTACAGACCGCCGTCATATAGCTGGAATATTGCTGAGTGCGGCGTAAAACAACAAACCAACCAACCAACCAAAATCACTAGGGCGCTGTGTGCTGACCAACTTAGATTGGTGGTACACAACCTGAATTGAAAATGTCAAAATAGTATCTGTGACATCAAATGGCTTCAGGTCGGATTTCATGGTATTGCCTGAACTATCATGTATATATCTTCCTGAGGCAAGGGAGTTACCTGACTATAAACTAGGCTGGAATTTCAGAGTTATATTTTGGCCAATCTCATTAAAATCAGATCTTAGTTCTCGCTTCCGCTGAACAAAGATCTGAGGACATCCAATTACGGGTCACGTCAGGCAGACCTTTCGCGAACCCTGACCGACCAATGGAATGACATACAAGAAGTCGACATTAGCCAATCAGAAGGTAGCTATCTTTACGGCACTAATTTCAAATTGGCGACAACGCTTCGATACATATTTTGACAAATTCTCGCTTAAAAATTTGAAACCTGAACAAAAGAACTTTCTGGAATGGCTATAGGAGGTCTAGCTGGTATGGATTCAGTCGTTAAGCCTGTATTTATCGTTCGGAATACCCCGTGTTAAAGTTTTCAAGGTTGCATGATTAGAAATCACATTCCGACTGTCACTTTCATGATCTGGTAAGCGACGCTCTGATTGGTCGGATGAAATGTCGTTTTGATGTGACCCCTAATGGGATGTCCTCAGATCTTTGTTTAGCGGTAGGGAGAACTAAGATCTGATTTTAATGAGATTGTATTTTTGTTGGACTAACAAGTCTGTGCATAGTCCAATCAAAATCGCTTGACGAAATAGACATCCGGTTTGTAAACAACATGGATTTCAACATGGATTTTGGTCGACTGAAGGATTTGAAAAGCATGTGTACCGCCAATCGGGTGCCAACAAATATTTTGCAAGTTTTTCCATGTTTTTAATCAAGGTACTCAAGTGATTTGATACACTTTACAAGGTAAGGCCTGTTTTATCACAATATAGATCTTGATTATCGATCAGATCATCTTGACTAGGCGCCACCATTTTGTTTTGACGCAATTGTAAGTGATATGTGAGGTGGAATCTGATTGGTCAATAGGAGGGGCATAGAAGGGACATAACTCATAATAGCCGCTGGTGGCACTACGATCAAGCCTGGAAATTCCTGCCCAGTTCGACAAGGATGGAAACTGGACTTTTTCAGTCAGTTACTCTCTTGCCTCGGGAAGATGAAGGTGTAGGGACATCACCATATTGGAGTGGGAGCCAATACGAGCAGGCGAAGGTTATCTAAAATATGTCAAACTGTCATCAATTAACAAGCCACGATAATGATGTTGAATGTTTCAGACGATACTGAATGACGAAGAGAAAGCTGCCTTTAAGCCAATCACGGGCAACCTACTGAAGGGTCATGCCAGCTTCCATCATGCGCTGGCTGTCCATGGTTCCTATGGCAACAAGTGAGTAGTGAACAGCCTCCAGTAGACTGGTTTAAACTGGCATCACTCGTGACTCGTAAAACATCTCGGTATGGATAGATGGCCAGACTACTCTGATTTTGTCAATTTCAAAAGAAAAAATCTAAGGAAAAAAACATGCTATTTCAGTTGACATCTATAGATACTTATTAGAGATTGGACCGCCTCCATGGTCTAGTGGTAGAGCGTCCTCCCGGAGAGCGGAAGGTCCGGGGTTCGATCCCTGGACCTTCTGCTCTCCAGGCGGATGCTCTACCACAAGACCACGGAGGCGGTCTGGTATAGAGAGGAAATTGGTGTCCAATACTCAATGCTGGCATCAGGACAGACAGATGCCAGAGCTTAAGTAGTAATGATGTTCTAACTAAGTTCCACGGGACCTGAAAAAATGTCGAGCGCCAAAGTACTCAGATGTCGGTTTCTTGAGAGAACCGGAGAACTCAGAAACAACTCTAATGATTCCAGTTTAGACAGAGTCCACAGGGCAAATGAACTTGCATTAACCACATTTTCTTTATTTCCGATTTCTGAACATTTGAGTAAAATATCGACTTTTGACTTTCTGAGTGAGGTTTTATCCCAAGTTTAGCAATATTCCAGCAATATCACGGCGGGGGACGCCAGAAATGGGCTTCACACATTGTACCCATGTTGGGAATCGAACCCGGGTCTTTGGCATGACGAGTGAACGCTTTAACCACTTGGCCACCCGACCGCCCCTTGCTGATATAAATTATTTACTCCTCATTTAATGCCCCCCAAGTCAGTAAAATACTGCAAAATGTGTTGTATTTAGCGTTTCAAGTTCACGACTCAGAAAAGCCACTACAAACATGTGTCTACTGATAGCCTTTCCCTCTGAACTACATGCGTATCGCGTATACGTTTTGTATCGTGACCTATGTATCGTGATACGTATTGTATAGTGACCTTCTTGTATCATTTCACCCTATCACTCACAACGACAAATAACAACATATCAAGTCTTGTCGTCCGTATTGGGTGCCGAGTTGTATATTCAGCTGTAAACAAAGCATCCTCTCCTTCCCAGATCCGATGTGCCTCGCCGAGCTGCCGTGCTGAATTACTTCGCTGATGGCGTCAAATCGGATTCCAACGAGGAATTGCTCAAAGGCATTTCTATCCCAAAGGTATGGACACTTGGGTCCCGTGTCTCCATCTTACTGACCCTGACACAGTTTGGGCAAAGTGAAACAAATGAAACTAGTAATATTCAATTGTAGATTGGCATGGCTTGTCAGAGGGGTACTCAAAGTACGTGATCTAGACTACCAGTTGTCGGACTTTCATTTTTGTGGAAGCCTCGGTGGCTGAGTGGGTTAGATCGCTGACTTTGTGTGCTGGCGATTAGGTGCCTCACTCTGGCAAGTGTGGGTTCGAAACAAAGGAAACTAGTAATAATCTAACAAATGTTATATTTGGGATAACATTTTCTTAGTAAAGTACAGATTCTCATACTTTTTTGGGTTGAGTCCCATCCGGGATTTCGAACCCACACTTGCAAGAGTGAGGCACCTAACTGGAATACTGTTAAAAGCGGCGTTAAACCCAACTCACTCTCTCAATTGTTTATTTTGTTGCTAGGGTAACAAGATGGAAGGCCAGTACTTCCCCATTGTGTACGACCCTGCCTGGGCCGTCTAACACCCCTGCTTTTCACAACCTTTCTTAGAGTCATCACCGCAGAGGGAGTGCCATCGTGAATAACACATCGAGACACACCAAGTCAATTATTTGTTCTTGTTTCAAAAAGTGAGAATGTTGCGGACAATTTCATTATTTTGATAGGAAATCATTGTATTAGATTTCTCTTGGAAGATGTGAAACAATTGATTAGATACATCAGATGATTACATGTTTTTTAAACTTTTAGCTTACCTGGTTCTTGTCAGGGTAAATATACTGACTGTTGCTCATGTAATGTGATTTGTAAATGAATAAATAAAAGGATATTTTATCTAGCATCTGAGGGTTGTTTTTCTTACTTAGGAGAGATAGTGAGATTTCCAAGGAAAGGAACGGACCATTTGATATTCTGGGGGTGCCTGGGATTTTAATGAAAAAAATAAATTGTCCCAGAAATTAAAAAAAAATAATTATGCTTCAGACTGTTGAAAAAAAGATGCCTGCCACAGAAATTACATTATTGCAAGGTGTTTTTTCTTTAAAAAAATATTCAGGCTCAGTTTTAATTAAATAAGTATCTGGTTTTGCAGCTGAAACTGAAAAAATATCTAATCTCCAGACAAAATCCCAGGCATCCCCCAGAATATCCAAGGTAGGTTCCTCAGTGAAATCCAGTGCAAGTTGCGCTATGCCGAGTCGGCAGTATTCAGGCTATATGAAGATAGCCGGTCAATAATTGAGTGTGGACCAGACAATGCAGTAGTGGGAATTATGAATAACATCCCACACCATCAGGGTACAACAGCACGCATCGACCCAATCACTGAGTCGGACCTCCTTTCTATGTGTCGCCTCTTACGACGGGAATACGAACTACCGTATTCAACGTAATAAGTGCCCCGCTCTAATAAGCGCTCACGGCGATATTTGCTAATATATTGGCCAGTGAACAATCCTAATTAGCTCCCCTTCCGATTGATCAATGTACACAAGACTTTTTTATTCGCGTATAATACGCCCTCGTGTGTTATATGCACACTTAATTATTCTGGAAAAATATATCTGTCGTATATAAACATTTCAGGCTGTCAGCATAATCCAAAAAATTTATCTTTCAACTTTTTTTTTTTCACTAAAATAATATTCTAATAAGAGCCCCCTATTTCTAATTTTGAGAGTGCCCTGGGCGCTTTTTACGTCGAATACGGTATTTATCACCTACTGGGATGTTTACTGTAGGAGAGCCTGGAGTAACAACAGAAGGTGTACACTGTTTGAGGCAGTGAGAGAGGGTGAAGCTTAATTGGTTGGTTTGTTGTTTAACGCCGCACTCAGCAATATTCCAGCTATATGACGGCGGTCTGTAAATAATCGAGTCTGGACCAGACAATCCAGTGATTGACATCATGAGCATCGATCCACGCAATTTGGATCGATGACATGCATCAGCCAAGTCAGCGAGCCTGACCACCCGATCCTGTTAGTCGCCTTTTACGACAAGCATAGTCGCCTTTTACGGCAAGCATGGGTTGCTGAAGACCTATTCTACCCCGGATCTTCACGGGTCTGTGTCGAGTAGAGATCCAACAGGACCAGTAGATTTTTCTATGAGTTGCTACTTTAGACCACTGAAAAATCTTCGTCAGCATCAAACACTGGCAACGCCAATAATCCCCATTCCAGCCAGACAATTACGAACATCCTCGGTTGCTGATGTTATTCTTCTTCTCTGGAATCACCGAAAATAGAACAAAAAGAGGATTCCAAAAATATCAATATTTTTTATAAGAAATATAAACATGTACATAAACACTGTACAAACAAACAATAGCTAACGCAGACTGTAGGCAGTGGCACCGAGTCTGCTGAACGGACATGATCTTCATCAGTAGAACCTACATCATCACCAGATTCTTGTCGTAAGACGACTAACGGGATCGGGTGGTCAGGCTCGCTGACTTGGTTGATGCATGTCATCGATCCCAATTGCATGGATTGATGCTCATGATGCCAATCAGTGGAGTGTCTGGTCCAGACTCGATTATTTACAGACTGCCGTCATATAGCTGGAATATTGCCGAGTGTGGCGTTAAACAACAAATAAACAAACACTAGATGACCGTCTACACTTGGCTAGTCATCTCGAATGCCATATATCAGCATGCACTGTCGACAGCTATAAGTCAACCACCCAATCTCATTTTCTGGGAAGACATTTTGTCTGTGGATCACCATAACGTTGGACAAAATACTTAATTAATTTCTCTCTCTTTCTCTCTCTCTTCTCTCTCTCTCGATGCTTTTTAGGATTTGTTAATTAAACATCCACAGAGATCATTGTTCACATAATTCCCTTGAACTTGGTGTATTCAGTGTTCACGAGTTAAACACGTCCTTCGTGGGAGGACGTTGTTCACACTCTCCCTGTGTACTTGTGATACTTGGTGTACTCCGCGTACATGAGTTTAAACACGTCCTTTGTGGGAGGACGTTGTTCACACTCTCCCTGTGTACTTGTGATACTTGGTGTACTCCTTGTACATGAGTTTAAACACGTCCTTTGTGGGAGGACGTTCACACTCTCCCTGTGTACTTGTGGTACTCCGCGTACATGAGTTTAAACACGTCCTTTGTGGGAGGACGTTGTTCACACTCTCCCTGTGTACTTGTGATACTTGGTGTACTCCTTGTACATGAGTTTAAACACGTCCTTCTTGGGAGGACGTTCACACTCTCCCTGTGTACTTGTGGTACTCCGCGTACATGAGTTTAAACACGTCCTTCGTGGGAGGACGTTCACACTCTCCCTGTGTACTTGTGATACTTGGTGTACTCCTTGTACATGAGTTTAGACACGTCCTTCGTGGGAGGACGTTCACACTCTCCCTGTGTACTTGTGATACTTGGTGTACTCCTTGTACATGAGTTTAAACACGTCCTTCGTGGGAGGACGTTCACACTCTCCCTGTGTACTTGTGGTACTCCGCGTACATGAGTTTAAACACGTCCTTTGTGGGAGGACGTTGTTCACACTCTCCCTGTGTACTTGTGATACTTGGTGTACTCCGCGTACATGAGTTTAAACACGTCCTTCGTGGGAGGACGTTGTTCACACTCTCTCTGTGTACTTGTGGTACTTGGTGTACTCCGCGTACATGAGTTTAAACACGTCCTTCGTGGGAGGACGTTGTTCACACTCTCTGTGTGTACTTGTGGTACTTGGTGTACTCCGCGTACATGAGTTTAAACACGTCCTTCGTGGGAGGACGTTGTTCACACTCTCTCTGTGTACTTGTGGTACTTGGTGTACTCCGCGTACATGAGTTTAAACACGTCCTTCGTGGGAGGACGTTGTTCACACTCTCTCTGTGTACTTGTGATACTTGGTGTACTCCGCGTACATGAGTTTAAACACGTCTATTGTGGGAGGACGTTCACACTCTCCCTGTGTACTTGTGATACTTGGTGTACTCCGCGTACATGAGTTTAAACACGTCCTTCGTAGGAGGAAGTTGTTCACACTCTCTCTGTCTACTTGTGGTACTTGGTGTACTCCGCGTACATGAGTTTAAACACGTCCTTCGTAGGAGGACGTTGTTCACACTCTCTCTGTGTACTTGTGGTACTTGGTGTACTCTGCATATACGAGTTTAAACACGTCCTTCGTGGGAGGACGTTGTTCACACTCTCTCTGTGTACTTGTGGTACTTGGTGTACTCCGCGTACATGAGTTTAAACACGTCCTTTGTGGGAGGACGTTGTTCACACTCTCTCTGTGTACTTGTGGTACTTGGTGTACTCCGCGTACCTGAGTTTAAACACGTCCTTCGTGGGAGGACGTTGTTCACACTCTCCTGGTGTACTTGTGGTACTTGTGGTACTTGGTGTATTCAGTGTTCACGAGTTAAACACGTCCTTCATGGGAGGAGGTTCACACTCTCCCTGTGTACTTGTGGTACTTGGTGTACTCTGCGTACATGAGTTTAAACACGTCCTTCGTCCCATCTGGGAGGACGGCCAGCAGCTGCGCTATCTGGAAGCGGTCAGCGATGTCCAGCAGGATGTAGATACCAGGCAGGAGGGCTTTCTGAAACAGGACAGAATAGGGACATCAGTGATTTGGCAGGATACACTAACCTTATCCCAGTAAAAGGTGGGGTGAAGTGGGGTTTAACGTCGCGTCCAAGATTATTGCACTTATATAGCGACGTACATGCACGTGTGTGTGTGTGGCTGCTTGTACTAGTCTGGACTGATTCCGATTTATAGAGCTAGCCCACTGAGATACCATGCCACAGTTTAACATGAATACCCCACTCAGACACAGCATACAGACTCCAAGCCGACCAGTCCTTGTTTTAACTTCTTAATGCCCAGCGCCAGACAGGGTAACACGAGTACCATCTTTTAACGTCTTTTGTTATGACGCGGCCGTGGATCGAACGCCAGACCTTCCGCTCTCCGGGCGGACGCTCTACCACTAGAACCCGGAGGCGGTCCCCAGTAAAAGAAAGAATCAGGTGTTCCTTCTTTTGAGTATTATACATACAATAATACAATCTCTTTCTGGCTGCATAAGATCCCAGCACTGCCAAGGGACACAACTCTGTACAGTGACCAACCACCACTCTCTTTGTATCCATGGCTATTCCAGTGAGCAGAGGGTCAGTGGGTGAAGCATTCACACACTGATACTCAGACCCGTGAAGATACGGGGTAGAATAGGTCTTCAGCAACCCATGCTTGCCGTAAAAGGCGACTATGCTTGTCGTAAAATGGCAACTAACAGGGTCGGGTGGTCAGGCTCGCTGACTTGGTTGATGCATGTCATCATATCCCAATTGAGTAGATCGATGCACATGATGTCAATCACTGGATTGTCTGGCCCAGACTCGATTTTTTCCAGTCCGTCGTCATACAGCTGGAATATTGCTGAGTGCGGCGTTAAACAAACAAACAAACTGATATTCAAACTCAGGATCCCAGGTTTTTCTCCCTAGGATCAGATTCCCGTGTCCTCCAAGCTGTGAAAGATTCTTCCCTATGTAGGTGAGGTGAGGTGAGGTGAGGTGAGGTGAGGTGAGGTGAGGTGAAACGGGGTTTAATGTCGCGCCTTCCATCATTATTGCCCTTATATAGTGATGTGCATTCATGTCTGTACATCTGCTTGTACAAGTCCGGACTGAAGCCGATTTTTACAGTGCTAGCCAAGTGAGATACCATGTCGCAGTTTAACATGGATACCCCACTCAGACACAGATTTCTGACTCCGAGCTGACCAGGCAGGTTGATTCAGGCAGGGTAATAACAAGTACCATCTCTTAACGTCTCTATCTACTAGCCCATGTACTCTCACCTTATCTGTGAGTGAGTGAGTGAGTGTGTGAGTTGGGTTAAACGCCGCTTTTAACAGTATTCCAGTTATGTCGCGGCGTGTCAGCTTAATGTGGGAGGAAAGCCCGAAGTGATTCAGGTCTTAGTGATGCAGGTTTCGGTGAAACCCACAAGCACGGGTATGGTGCTGACAAACCTAGAAACATAATCAGGGCGAACCGGGATTCCAGCCCACAATCATAGGTTTCTGGCGTGCCCAAGAACGCAACTCTGCACAGCGAATCACGGTGCCTTAGACGACTTGGCCACCGGTGCCCCTGCTCCTTATCTGTAGCATGAGTTAGGCCTGGTGCTTAAACAGCAGCAAGTCCCCCTTATGTACCAGCTACGGAAATCCTCCCTGTTCGGACTCACCTTGACCGCTGGGAGCAGAGTAACCTTCTGAACCTCACAGGCGTAGTCGGACAGCAGGTACACGGCCACCTTGCTGAACTCGACCTTGACCGGCTGCAGCAGGCTCAGCAGTCTGCAACAACATTGTACACGTGTAGGATTACATTGTCACACTTACTACACTGTTGTAGGATTACACTGTCACACTTACTACACTGTTGTAGGATTACACTGTCACACTTACTACACTGTTGTAGGATTACACTGTCACACTTACTACACTGTTGTAGGATTACACTGTCACACTTACTACACTGTTGTAGGATTACATTGTCACACTTACTACACTGTTGTAGGATTACACTGTCACACTTACTAAACTGTTGTAGGATTACACTGTCACACCTACTACACTGTTGTAGGATTACACTGTCACACTTACTACACTGTTGTAGGATTACATTGTCACACTTACTACACTGTTGTAGGATTACACTGTCACACTTACTACACTGTTGTAGGATTACATTGTCACACTTACTACACTGTTGTAGGATTACACTGTCACACTTACTAAACTGTTGTAGGATTACACTGTCACACCTACTACACTGTTGTAGGATTACATTGTCACACTTACTACACTGTTGTAGGATTACACTGTCACACTTACTACACTGTTGTAGGATTACACTGTCACACTTACTACACTGTTGTAGGATTACACTGTCACACTTACTACACTGGATTACATTGTCACACTTAGAGTGAGTGAGTGAGTTGGGTTTAACGCCACTTTTAACAGTATTCCAGTTATATCACGGTGTGTCAGCTTAATGTTGGAGGAAAATCCGAAGTGATGCAGGTCTCGGACGTTTACCACTTCGGTGAAACCCACGAGCATGGTTATGGTGCTGACAAACCTAGAAACATAATCGGGGTGAACCGGGATTCGAACCCACAATCACAGGTGTCTGGTGTGTCAAGGAGACGCAACTCTGCACAGCGAATCGCGGTGCCTTAGACGACTGGGCTACCCGTGCCCCCTGTCACACTTAGAGTGTAATTATAATTATATTGACACACTTGTTTGTTTGTATCTTTGTTGTTTAACGCCTTACTCAGCAATATTCCAGCTATGTGACAGTGGTCTGTAAGTAATCAAGGCTGGACCAGACAATAACATACATCCCTGACCACCCGATCCCATTAGTCGCCCTCCATGGCAACCAATAGTGTAGATCGATGCTCATGATGTCAATCACTGGATTGTCTGGTCCAGACTCGATTATTTACAGACCGCCGTCATATAGCTGGAATAGTGCTGAGTGCGTCGTTAAACAACAAACAAAACAAAACTAATAACAGTGTCACATACTTAGATTATGGAAGACTTGTCCCTCCTACAATGACATTGGTACAGACATCTATGACTCCAGCATCACCATCAACCACATCATGATACAACTACAGACCTAATAGCAACACTTTACCTGGTCAGTTGGTTAGCACAGTGGACCATGCCATCCACGAACTGAGGATCTGGAGCTAGCCTGTCCTGGCAGCCATGTTGTATGACAGACACCAGCAGATGTGGACTGGTTAAGGAAATACTTGGCAGGATGCACGTGACAAATGTTGAATACAGAATTGGGATACAGATACAGATACAGATACAGAGACAGACAGACAGACAGACAGAGCCACAGACAGACTGACGGACAGACAGGCAGGCAGACACAGACAGACAGACAGACAGGCAGGCAGACACAGACAGACAGACACAGAGCCACACACGGACAGACAGGCAAGCAAGCAAGCAGGCAGACAGACACAGGCAGACACAGACAGAGCCACACACGGACAGACAGGCAAGCAAGCAAGCAGGCAGACAGACAGACACAGGCAGACACAGGCAGACACAGACAGAGCCACACACGGACAGACAGGCAAGCAAGCAAGCAGGCAGACAGACAGACACAGGCAGACACAGACAGAGCCACACACGGACAGACAGGCAAGCAGGCAAGCAGGCAGACAGACAGACACAGGCAGACACAGACAGAGCCACACACGGACAGACAGGCAAGCAGGCAAGCAGGCAGACAGACAGACACAGGCAGACACAGACAGAGCCACACATGGACAGACAGACAGACAGACAGACAGACAGACAGACAGACAGACAGCCAGCCAGCCAGACAGACAGACAGACAGAGGCAGATAGAGGCAGGCACATAGACAGACAGACAGACAGACAGACAAACAGACAGATAGAGGCAGGCACATAGACAGACAGACAGACAGACAGACAGACAGAGGCAGGCACAGACAGACAGACAGACAGACAGACAGACAGATAGAGGCAGGCACATAGACAGACAGACAGACAGACAGATAGAGGCAGGCACATAGACAGACAGACAGACAGACAGATAGAGGCAGGCACATAGACAGACAGACAGACAGACAGACACATAAATGGAAGATCAGTTCAGAAATTCTTTGCTAAAAAAATATAAACGGAAGATCACTTCAGGTATGCCACTTCGTGTGCAGGTCGTTCAAAGACGCAGATGTGTACAGATTTACTGGTGGTTTGTCGTTTAAAGAGGCAGATGTGTAAAGATTTACTGGTGGGTTGTTGTTTAAAGAGCGGATGTGTACAGATTTACTGGTGGGTTGTTGTTTAAAGAGGCAGATGTGTAAAGATTTACTGGTGGGTTGTCGTTTAAAGAGGCAGATGTGTAAAGATTTACTGGTGGGTTGTTGTTTAAAGAGGCAGATGTGTACAGATTTACTGGTTGGTTGTTGTTTAAAGAGGCAGATGTGTACAGATTTACTGGTGGGTTGTTGTTTAAAGAGGCAGATGTGTACAGATTTACTGGTGGGTTGTTGTTTAAAGAGGCAGATGTGTACAGATTTACTGGTTGGTTGTCGTTCAAAGACGCAGATGTGTACAGATTTACTGGTGGGTTGTCGTTTAAAGAGGCAGATGTGTACAGATTTACTGGTGGGTTGTTGTTTAAAGAGGCAGATGTGTACAGATTTACTGGTGGGTTGTTGTTTAAAGAGGCAGATGTGTACAGATTTACTGGTGGGTTGTTGTTCAAAGAGGCAGATGTGTACAGATTTACTGGTGGGTTGTTGTTTAAAGAGGCAGATGTGTACAGATTTACTGGTGGGTTGTTGTTTAAAGAGGCAGATGTGTACAGATTTACTGGTGGGTTGTTGTTCAAAGAGGCAGATGTGTACAAATTTACTGGTGGGTTGTTGTTTAAAGAGGCAGATGTGTACAGATTTACTGGTGGGTTGTTGTTTAAAGAGGCAGATGTGTACAGATTTACTGGTGGGTTGTTGTTTAAAGAGGCAGATGTGTACAGATTTACTGGGTTGTTGTTTAAAGAGGCAGATGTGTACAGATTTACTGGTGGGTTGTTGTTTAAAGAGGCAGATGTGTACAGATTTACTGGTTGGTTGTTGTTTAAAGAGGCAGATGTGTACAGATTTACTGGTGGGTTGTTGTTTAAAGAGGCAGATGTGTACAGATTTACTGGTGGGTTGTTGTTTAAAGAGGCAGATGTGTACAGATTTACTGGTTGGTTGTCGTTCAAAGACGCAGATGTGTACAGATTTACTGGTGGGTTGTCGTTTAAAGAGGCAGATGTGTACAGATTTACTGGTGGGTTGTTGTTTAAAGAGGCAGATGTGTACAGATTTACTGGTGGGTTGTTGTTTAAAGAGGCAGATGTGTACAGATTTACTGGTGGGTTGTTGTTCAAAGAGGCAGATGTGTACAGATTTACTGGTGGGTTGTTGTTTAAAGAGGCAGATGTGTACAGATTTACTGGTGGGTTGTTGTTTAAAGAGGCAGATGTGTACAGATTTACTGGTGGGTTGTTGTTCAAAGAGGCAGATGTGTACAAATTTACTGGTGGGTTGTTGTTTAAAGAGGCAGATGTGTACAGATTTACTGGTTGGTTGTTTAAAGAGGCAGATGTGTACAGATTTACTGGTGGGTTGTTGTTTAAAGAGGCAGATGTGTACAGATTTACTGGTGGGTTGTTGTTTAAAGAGGCAGATGTGTACAGATTTACTGGTGGGTTGTTGTTTAAAGAGGCAGATGTGTACAGATTTACTGGTGGGTTGTCGTTTAAAGAGGCAGATGTGTACAGATTTACTGGTGGGTTGTTTAAAGAGGCAGATGTGTACAGATTTACTGGTGGGTTGTTTAAAGAGGCAGATGTGTACAGATTTACTGGTGGGTTGTTGTTTAAAGAGGCAGATGTGTACAGATTTACTGGTGGGTTGTTGTTTAAAGAGGCAGATGTGTACAGATTTACTGGTTGGTTGTTGTTTAAAGAGGCAGATGTGTACAGATTTACTGGTGGGTTGTTGTTTAAAGAGGCAGATGTGTACAGATTTACTGGTGGGTTGTTTAAAGAGGCAGATGTGTACAGATTTACTGGTGGGTTGTTTAAAGAGGCAGATGTGTACAGATTTACTGGTGGGTTGTTGTTTAAAGAGGCAGATGTGTACAGATTTACTGGTGGGTTGTTGTTTAAAGAGGCAGATGTGTACAGATTTACTGGTGGGTTGTTGTTTAAAGAGGCAGATGTGTACAGATTTACTGGTGGGTTGTTGTTTAAAGAGGCAGATGTGTACAGATTTACTGGTGGGTTGTTGTTTAAAGAGGCAGATGTGTACAGATTTACTGGTGGGTCATTTAAAGAGGCTGATGTGTACAGATTTACTGGTGGGTTGTTGTTGAAAGAGGCAGATGTGTACAGATTTACTGGTGGGTTGTCGTTTAAAGAGGCTGATGTGTACAGATTTACTGGGGGGTTGTTGTTTAAAGAGGCAGATGTGTACAGATTTACTGGTGGGTTGTTGTTTAAAGAGGCAGATGTGTACAGATTTACTGGTGGGTTGTTGTTTAAAGAGGCAGATGTGTACAGATTTACTGGTGGGTTGTTGTTTAAAGAGGCAGATGTGTACAGATTTACTGGTGGGTTGTTGTTTAAAGAGGCAGATGTGTACAGATTTACTGGTGGGTTGTTGTTTCACCTTGCAGCATTAAAGCCTCAGTGTACTGTTGTCGTACAGTCTCCCATCAGACTCATTAGATCAATGCCCTCACTGACATCAGGACCAAGTCTTACATCACGTGGGAGGTGTCAAGCATGTTCATTATGCCTCAGACCGAAGCATTCGCTCAGTCATGGTCATGGTCATGGTCATGGTCTTGGTCATGGTCTTGGTCATGGTCTAGGTCACGGTCTAGGTCACGGTCATGGTCTTGGTCTTGGTCATGGTCTTGGTCAAGGTCACGGTCAAGGTCACGGTCTTGGTCAAGGTCACGGTCTTGGCCTTGGTCTTGGTCACGGTCTTGGTCATGATAAAACATTAGAAACCCTCTAAAATCAGCCTTTTGACACATTTAAATAATTACCAATGATTTAGTATTGTCATAAGTCCCAAACATGCAATTGTTGAAATGAACAAAGTCTAGTCTTTGAAAGGCATTTAGAAGTGAAACACATAAGGAAGAGAATTTATGGATGTCAACTTCTTTATTATGAGGAACACGTTTCAGAGTATATACTTACTCCTTCATCAGGTGAATGAATAAGTATATACTCCGAAACGTTGTGTTCCTCATAATAAAGAAGCTGACATCCATAAATTCTCTTCCTTATGAACAAAGTCTACTTCTCATTCATATGAACATATCTGATAACTTTCAAAGCAATTTCTAAAAGCATTGTTCAATTCTTAAAATATAAACATCTTGTAGTCCACAAAGGGCCGTTATTCTGCCGTATCATCTGCCTTAAACTGTAATCGCAAGCTCATAGAAGGGTGAAGACATGAAGCAAATACAATAAATTTCTTTCTGCAAGTGATCTACTATTGTAAACTGAGTGAGTGAGCTAGTGATGGAGTGAGTGAGTGAGTTTGGTTTTACGCCGCTTTTAATAATATTCCAGCAACATCACGGCAGGGGACACCAGAAATGGGTTTCACACATTGTATCCATGTTGGGAATTGAACCTGGGTTTTAGGCGTGACGTGCGAACGCTTTAACCACTAGGCTACCCGACCGCCCCTTGTGTGGACATCATGAGCATGGATCTGTGCAATCAGGATGCGATGACATGCATTAACGAAGACAGCAAACCTGACCACCCCATCCAGTTACCCAGTTATGACAAGCATAGTCGCCTCATACAGCAAGCATGGGTTGCTGAACACCTATTAAACCCCGGATCTTCACATCAGAGGTTCAAACTGTTACAGAGTTGAGTCCAGTGGACGATGTTGTGAAGGATATGTCTGATGTTGGCGACGTAGCTGGGGATGACGGACAGGACAGCGTTAGGGTGGTGTATGATGAGTGCACTCAACACTTCCTGTACAGCAGTGCATGCTGGGATGTAGGAGCTGTAGGTGCTGCCCTCTAGTGGTACGACACGACAACCATGGAGACAGAGAACGGAGGTCTGGCGGGGTACCAATGTCTGAAGGTACAAAAAACAGAAACTTGGTTACACTAAAAACTCCATTAATAAGGAGTGAGCGAGTTAAAAGTAATATCAGAAATATCTCAGCTGTATGAACCTCACATAAATTCCACACATTTGTTGCAAAGAAAATTAGGTGGTTTTTTTTGCATCTGTATGAAGGCCAGTGCTTTCACTAAGGCTCTAAGTCTTGGTTCTCAGGCACTGCCCACATCATCATAAGGTCTGCCGCGCGTTTCGTTTTTATTTCAATTTTCAATTTTTTTTAACAAAATCCTAATACTGTATGAAGATATAACATAACAAAATCCTAATACTTAAAACAAGGCAATCCAATACAGCACGCAGTTACCTCCCTTTACATTCACTCTGCTTTACTGGGCATCTTGTGTTATGGTCACGGCGGCAATAGGAGTTTGTATGCTTGTTTATGTAGGGAGGCCCTTTCCCAGGTTGATGGTACCCACTGTTTAATCGGTCACATACTAGTTTGGACAAGCAAAACTCAGAAATATATCTGTGAGTGTGTAATGAGTGTCTCTCCCATCAGCCTCATTAGATCAGATCCTCCACTGTGGAGTCAGGGAAACCAGTTCACATCACTTGGGAGACAAGTAGCTATCATCATCAGGAAATGCTCTCTCTCATTACCATATTTTTCTTCTTTTTTCGCCTAAGGTTTGAAAATTCTGGTAATAATTATATTATTACTGTATGTTGAAACACATGCTGAATTTAATGCTAAAAACATATTTACAGCTTTTCCATTTTATACCAGATATTGACAAACACAAACTGATGATGTCTTTAAAACTGAACCAATAGATATTGGGTCCCATTGGGGACGATGGCGGTGCAATACGAAGTGATGTTAGTGACCAAATATGCAGACAGGACGTCATTAACCTACCGTGAGTATGAAACCAGAAAGGGCATTCCCAACAGGGTTATCAGCTAAACATATTCAGGGGAATATTTATGGCTTACGCTGTTAATTAAAGTGGGTTTTAAAGCATTCTTAGGACTATCTCCCATCAGCCTCATTAGATCAGATCCTCCACTGTGGAGTCAGGGTAAATAGTTCACATCACCTGGGAGACAAGGACTAGCAGATTTCTTCCTTGACCATTCAGTGAATGTCTTATCTATAGTCTGGAAGGTAATCAAGTGTTGTTTGTTCAATTTATTAACCTACACTGTATGAAGATATGCCATTATTAACCTACACTGTATAAAGATATGACATTATTAACCTACACTGTAGGAAGAGGTGAAGTGAGGTGAGGTGAAATGGGGTTTAACGTTGCGTCCAAGATTATTGCACTTATATAGCGATGTGCATGTACGTGTGTGTGTTTGTGTGGCTGCTTGTACTAGTCCGGACTGATGTCGATTTATAGTGCTAGCTCACTGAGATACCATGCTGCAGTTTAACATGAATACCCCACTCAGACACAGTATACTGACTCCGAGCCGACCAGTCCTTGTTTTAGCCCCTTAATGCCGAGAGCCAGACAGGGTAACAACAAGTACCATCTTTTAACGTCTTTTGGTATGACGCGGCCGGGGATCGAACCCCGGACCTTCCGTTCTCCGGGCGGACGCTCTACCACTAGACCACGGAGGCGGTCCACTGTATGAAGATACGCAATTATTAACCTACACTGTATGAAGGTATAACATTATTAACCTACACTGTATGAAGGTATAACATTATTAACCTACACTGTATGAAGGTATAACATTATTAACCTACACTGTATGAAGGTATAACATTATTAACCTACACTGTATGAAGGTATAACATTATTAACCTACATGTATGAAGGAATAACATTATTAACCTACACTGTATGAAGGAATAACATTATTAACCTACACTGTATGAAGGAATAACATTATTAACCTACACTGTATGAAGGTATAACATTATTAACCTACATGTATGAAGGTAACTGGTATGAAACCAGAAAAGGCATTCCCAGCAGGGTTATCAGCTAAACATATTCAGAGGAATATTTATGGCTTACATTGTTAATTAAAGTGGGTTTTAAAACATTCTTCAGACTATCTCCCATCAGCCTCATTAGATCAGATCCTCCACTGCGGAGTCAGGGTAAATAGTTCACATCACCTGGGAGACAGGGACTAGCAGATTTCTTGTATGATCGAGTGAGTTGGTTTTATGCCCCTTTTAGCAATATTCCAGCAATATCACAGTGGGGGACACCAGCAATGGGCTTCACACATTGTACCCATGTCGGGAATAGACCCGGGTCTTCGACGTGACAAGCGAATGCTTTAACCACTAGGCTACCCGACCGCCCCGAAGTACATAACTAGACATATCAGTTCAGAATTGTTGATCATGTACATTCTGTCTATATTAAGCTAAAATAAATAATAGTCTTGGTTCTCAGGCACCGCCCTCATTATCCTAAAGTGTGCCGCATGTTTCATTTTTATTTCCATTTAAAAAAAATAATTAAATAAGTATTTTACTCATCAAGAAATACATTTATGTAGGGAGGCCCTTTCCCTGGTTGATTGTAAACAACTGTTTATTTGGTTACATACTAGTTTGAAGAAGCTATAAAAAAAACACTGCCTGCCTTCACTATTATCAAAAGCCATTGCCTGAGAACCAATTCTTTTATTATAGGGGGATAAAACGTAACTAACAGTGCATGCGATGTCATGAGTGAGTGAATACGGTTTCACGCCGCTTTTAGCAATATTCCAGCAATATCACAGCACAAATGCATGTGGGGAAATCAAACCCTGGCCTTTAACATGATGAGCAACTACTTTACCCACTGGCCTACCCCACTGGCCTACCCCACCGCCCCCGATGTCATGATGTCACATGACACCAGTGTGAAATAAACATATTGCCAGGCTACCGTCAGTCCTCACAGACTTTAGAGTGAGTGAGTGAGTTGGGCTTATCGCCGCTTTTAACAGTATTCCAGTTATATCATGGCGTGTCAGCTTAATGTGGGAGAAAAGCCTGAAGTGATGCAGGTCTCAGACGTTTACCACTTCGGTGAAACCCACGGGCACGGGTATGGTGCTGACAAATCTAGAAACATAATCGGGGCAAAGCAGGATTCGAACCCACAATCATAGGTTTCTGGCGTGCCCAAGGGACGCAACTCTGCACAGCGAATTGCGGCGCCTTAGACGACTGGGCCACCTGTGCCCCAAACAGACTTTAGAAGCTGCAGGCCACGACTAAACTCTTTAGGCCCTCGTTTAAAAAAACCCTGCAGCTTCTTGTGACAAATAAATCGATATGCAAATTTACTGCAGGCCATAAGGACCACTACAAATGTGAAATAAGGGCCCGACATGAGATCTACCTGCCGCGGGCCTATGGGGCGGTGTTTATTTCGAACACTGCATGACTGGGGAATGTACACTTATTGTTGGCACACGTGCATACACACAGGAGAATGTCTCTCACGATAATCATAACATAACAGGCATGAATGGTGTGGTATGAATAGTAGTCGACTAAATTGTACAAACAATTATCGATAATTAACGATTATCGATATGATATTGTTGTCAATGATAATAACTGACATTAACTAATGTGATGAAACAAAGTTTAGATTGACCGAAACAGACTTGTTACTGTTAAATTACATCAGTTGTCAAAGACGGAAAGCAACTATTTTTGTTATATCTCAAGTGTCCACAAAGTAATCACTGCATAAATGTGTCACTACTCACCAGTGTGAAGTATGTTGATTTCTTTTAAGTGTATTTGCTTAAAGTTACTTCTTTGATATTTATCGTTAATTGATCAATATTTATATCGATAGCCAGACGTACTAAGTTACCTTCTACATAATGATGCTAACTACAATAAATAAACAAGAGTTTGCCACAAAACGTGGCTATATCCACTGCCCCTGTTGCAGAATTTATGACATAAATAAATCTAAACAAACCCTAACCTTTTTTAACCGAGGTGGAACTTGTCATGGAAATTGTAAAAAAAAGATGAGTTTGGAACCTAAGTCGATCTTGTTGCCATGGAAACGTAAAAAATAAAAAATTCTAAAATTTCTCAATAGCAAAAGGGACCAGTTCAGCATGTACCTGACAGACCTGCAAAGTTTGATGAAAAAATATTGGACGGTTTATGAGTTATGCTCCGGAAACGAAACGGGATGGATGGATGGACGGACTGACTTCGTTGGGCGGGGGATAATAATTGAGTCTGGACCAGACAATACAGTGATTGACATCATGAACATCGATCCACGCAATTGAGATCGATGACATGCATCATACTGAAAGCATGGGTTGCTGAAAACCTATTCTAAACATTCTTCAGACTATCTCCCATCAGCCTCATTAGATCAGAGCCTCCATTGTGGAGTCAGGCTAAGGAGTTCACATCACCTGGGAGACAGGTAGGTTATAGATATTTTACAGACCACATACATGGCTATGTATGTAGTACCTAATGCTAACAGCAGCCACATTATTCCACTGAATCTATGGAGGATCTCTTGGTTAGAAAATGTCTTCACTCTCATTTCCAAAGGTGCAAGATCTGATTTGCAGTGGAAATATTTCATATTTATTCATTTTCTCTGCTCTTGCCTGAGGATTATTTCAATATTCTGTTTTATAATATAACTGCAAGCTTAATATAAAACTCAGTAAGCCTTCTTGTAATATTAATGATGCCAGCTATAAATAGTCCACTGTATATATTTAACTGATAACCCAGTTGGGAGTGCCCTTTCTGGTTTCACGCCAGTTATCGTCATACAGTGTAGGTCAATAGTGTCAGTTATCACCAGAAACTGGCTTCCATGGGAGATATCTCTTTGGTGACATCAAGCGATATCTACGTTGTAGTTATTGCTGCAACGAAATTGTATCACAGTGCTTTGCAGACCATTGTGACGTCATTGTTACCATGACATCACAATCAAATGACATCACTAATGGCTCTGCTACTGATGCTGTTAGCAGTACTTTTTACGCTTAAGACACTGCTTATTACTGTCTACAAACTAAAAAAGTTGGAAGAATGATGTTGGATGACAAATAAAATCTCACCGAAGTGTCTTTTGTTAACAAATATATCAACACTCGTTGATAAAAGTGGAAAAACTCCTTGGCAAGCACTCAGAGCTTTTCTACTTTTATCAACTCATGTTGATATATTTGATATACCAACTGAGATACCATGTTGCAGTTTAACATGAATACCCCACTCAGACACAGTATACTGACTCCGAGCCGACCAGTCCTTGTTTTAGCCCCTTAATGCCGAACGCCAGGCAGGGTATCAACAAGTACCATCTTTAAATGTCTTTTCGTATGACGTGGCTGGGAATTGAATCCCAGACCTCCTGCTCACCAGGCAGACGCTCTACCACTAGACCACGGAGGCGGTCTCCAGGCAGACACTCTACTACAAGACCACGGAGGCGGTCTCCAGGCAGACGCTCTACCACTAGACCACAGAGGTGGTCTCCGGGCAGACACTCTACTACAAGACCACGTAGGCGGTAGATTCCATTTGGAACTGCATCAACTGATTTCATGAACTCACATATCCATAGTTCAACATGGCCGTCTGTGAGCGGAGTATCGGCAGAGCCTGGCGTAGGGCGGAGTCGACGGGCAGACCGTGGAGCTGTTCTAGGCTGCTCTGATAGTTCATCAGTATCTACAACACAGGTGGTGGTATGTGGTGAGTCACGACATGAAAGTAGGTCCACATTAATGATAGAGAACACTGAAAAAATAAATCTGATGGAGCTTATTTCTAACACAGGAACATTACTCACAAGGGAAGAACAATCGTCAGTACTAACTTTCCGATATTTTCACATATAGTGAGTGAGTTGGGTTTTTAACGCCGCTTTTAACAGTATTCCATTTATATCACGGCGTGTCAGCTTAATGTGGGAGAAAAGACCGAAGTGATGCAGGTCTCAGACGTTTTGCCACTTCGGTGAAACCCACGAGCACGGGTATGGTGCTGACAAACCTAGAAGCATAATCGGGGCGAACCGGGATTCGAACCCACAATCATAGGTTTCTGGCGTGCCCAAGGGACGCAACTCTGCACAGTGAATCGCGGCGCCTTAGACGACTGGGCCACCCATGCCCCCGTTTTCACATATATTTTTAGAGGTGTCAAAGCTGATTGGTCAGTTGAAGCTAGGGCTGGGATGAGTCCAAATTTACTACCCAGGTACCCTCCACCCTATTACCTGACCCTACCCGGGTACCCTCCACCCTATTACCTGACCCTACCCGGGTACCCTCCACCCTATTACCTGACCCTACCCGGGTACCCTCCACCCTATTACCTGACCCTACCCGGGTACCCTCCACCCTATTACCTGACCCTACCCGGGTACCCACCACCCTATTACCCGACCCTACCCGGGTACCCTCCACCCTATTACCCGACCCTACCCGGGTACCCATTGTAGATATTTAGAGATAGGTACAAACTGTCCGATTTGGAAAAGTTTGACCGTAGCCCTGGCAAAATGTATTTAGATACACGTGTAAAACGATCTGGTCATGCACACACTGAAGTTTACTGCATGGAGTTTTATCTTTATTCAAACATATAAAAGTCGGAAGGAATGGGTGCATTGTCAGAAAGAAAAGGGAACATTAGTGACTTGTAGAGTAACCATCAAGTCCTGGATAATTTTTGTCATAAAACAATATATCACGTGACTAACCACGGGTCCGGGTAGTCCTGTGGGTACTCGAGTCCTACTCAGGACCCACCCGACCCGACCCGACCCGACCCGACCCGACCCGAGTACCCGAGTTACCTGTCCCAGCCCTAGTTGAAGCCATAATATGTCACAGAATTTCATTGCTGAGAAAAATACAATAAGAGGTCATCGATTGTTCATGAAGTCACAAACTGATAACATGACGTCATCTGAACAGCAGGCTGCCTTCACTGAAGTTTCTCTGCAGGGTTCATATTTTTTCTTCATTTACTCTAACAAAATGAGTAAGATGGAAATTCAGAAATCTACTTATGTGTTAAGTGCTTTCTAGTGTAGGAATCAACATGTTTGTATCAGGGAAGCAAGACACTCACATGTTGAGCAGCTACTGTAACCTCCACACTCTGCTCTTCAGTTAAGTGCCCTGCAAGGAGCTTTTCCCAAACTGTCATGGCTGCCAGCATCTTGTCTGCCTGGGTCCACAGCAGGCTTGGACACTGAAACAATGGGAGAAATTATATCTCGGCATAAATACATGAGGTCATCATGCTTGCTTGTGTCAGGATAGCAAATATCCTGTATTAGGAATAAATATTGTATTTTTATCTGTTGGTTTTACGACGGCTGTCTGGAAATAATCAAGTCAGTTTGGTTAAACCCACAAGCATGGGTATGGTGCTGACAAACCAAAAAAACATAATCAGGGCGAAACGGGATTCGAACCCATGATCATAGGTTGATTCCATAGCCAAAGGAACTCTGGACAGGGAATTGCGCCATTAGACGACTGGGCCACCCTAATTGAGTCTGGACCAGACAACCTAGTCATCAATATTGTGAGCCAAGATCCACACTGTTGGGGTAAGATGACAAGCTAGCAGCCAAGTCAGCAAGCCTGACCATCCGATCCATTTGTTCGCCTTGTACCACAGCTTTAGTTGCTGGGGACATCTATCCCAGAATCCCTACAGGTGGCACTGTTATTTCACTTACTGTAGGACCCGTGAAGATCCGGGGTAGAATAGGTCTTTAAGTAACCCATGCTTGCCGTAAATGGTGACTATGCTTATTGTAAGAGGCGACTAACGGGATCGGGTGGTCCGGCTCGCTGACTTGGTTGATGCATGCCATCGATCCCAAAAGCGTGGATCGATGCTCATGATGTCAATCAATGGATTGTCTGGTCCAGACTCGATTATTTACAGACCGCTGTCATAAAGCTGGAATATTGCTGAGTGTGGCGTTAAACAACAAACAAACAAAACTTACTGTAGAGTCCACCAGGTTCGCCAAAATTGTCTTGAAGAGGTCAAGGTCACAGGAAGTAATAACTGAAGCCAGTGTATCTTGGAGGGCAGACATTAAACTGTGACGCTGACTCGAGCCATCTTGCTGTTCCAGGTCAGCGTTACCAGGGGATGGGCTTTTCCGTGTTGATACATGCCCATCAAGGAGTGACTTCACACTTTTGTACAAGTCAGCTTCGTGCACAGGTTTTGATGACATCATCAGTTTATGTTGGTCATGTGACCTGGTGACAGCAGACATGAGCACCTCGTACAGTGTATGTACAGCAGCAGGCGTCAAGACGGACTTGATGTGTTGGTGATGGCTGCATGCCGTCTGGATAAACTCCAGCGAAGACAGGTCACACCCCTGAAAGACAGAAAGAATTACTGTATACAAAGTAATAAGCACCCTGCTCCAATAAGCGCCCACGGCGATATTTGGAAATATATTGGCTTGTGAACAATCCCAATTAGCACCCCTTCCGATTGATCAATGTACACAAGACTTATTTGTTGGCACTTGTGTGCTATATGCACCCTTAATTATGGGCAATTAAATTCTGGAAAAATATATCTGTTGTATATAAACATTTCAGGCTGTCAGCATAAACCACGAATTTATCTTTCAACTGTTTTTTCCACCAAAATATTATTCTAATAAGAGCCCCTATTTCTAATTTTGAGAGCGCCCTGGGCGCTTATTACGTCGAATACAGTATAAAAATTCAGGTCTCCAGACTGAGCATTTAATCAAGTTGGGATGTGTCGTCTCTTCAGGCTAACAATTTTTAAGATATTTATGGTGCTCTAATGTATTTCCAGGCATCATCCAAGATCTAGTGAGTGAGTGAGTGAGTTGGGTTTAACGCCACTTTTAACATTGTTCCAGTTATATCACGGCGTGTCAGCGTAATGTGGGAGGAAAGCCCAAAGTGATGCAGGTCTTAGACGTTTACCACTTCGGTGAAACCCACGAGCAGGGGTATGGTGCTGACAAGCCTAGAAACATAATCGGGGCGAACCGGGATTTGAACCCACAATCATAGGTTTCTGGCGTGCCCAAGGGACGCACCTCTAAACAGCGAATCGCGGCGCCTTAGACGACTGGGCCACCCGTGCCCCCTCATCCAAGATCTAAGATGCTCACGCTGACTACTTACATTCCCTTGCCCAATGTCGTCTGTCAATCTCTTCATGACGAACTCCGTGTTACGAGTGAGATTCTCGTCCATAGACACTGTTTCAACATCTCCCGCGGGCTTTGCGTCTTCACCATCAATCTCCATAGCAACCCCTTCTTTCTCTTTCCTCTTAACCTCCTTTCCAAAGTCCACGCATGATTGGTTGACTACAAATCTGAAGCAGCTGATCAAATAGGAGGAAGGGGAGACAACTGTCTTCTTGCTTGGCACAGTTCTGAGGGTACTGACGATGGTGCTGACGACGGACGACAACTTCACAAAGACACCCCTGTAGCAGTCACGGATTGCTGATGGCAGGTTTTGTTTCTGCAATTGCTGAAACACAAAAGGATAAATGTTGTTTTAAAGGGTCTCATGATCCAGGCTAGTCTGAATTATTCTGTAGAAGAGGCCCCACCACAAGTACTCTGAGGTTCCGTCCACAAATATTCTCAGGCCCCACCCCCAAATATTCTCAGGCCCCATCCCCAAATATTCTCAGGCCCCACCCCCAAATATTCTCAGGCCCCATCCCCAAATATTCTCAGGCCCCACCCCCAAATATTCTCAGGCCCCACCCCCAAATATTCTCAGGCCCCACCCCCAAATATTCTCAGGCCCCATCCCCAAATATTCTCAGGCCCCACCCCCAAATATTCTCAGGCCCCAGCCCCAAATATTCTCAGGCCCCATCCCCAAATATTCTCAGGCCCCATCCCCAAATATTCTCAGGCCCCAGCCCCAAATATTCTCAGGCCCCTATTCTCAGCCCCCACCCCCAAATATTCTCAGGCCCCATCCCCAAATATTCTCAGCCCCCACCCCCAAATATTCTCAGCCCCCACCCCCAAATATTCTCAGGCCCCATCCCCAAATATTCTCAGGCCCCTATTCTCAGCCCCCACCCCCAAATATTCTCAGGCCCCATCCCCAAATATTCTCAGCCCCCACCCCCAAATATTCTCAGCCCCCACCCCCAAATATTCTCAGGCCCCATCCCCAAATATTCTCAGGCCCCACCCCCAAATATTCTCAGGCCCCATCCCCAAATATTCTCAGGCCCCATCCCCAAATATTTCTCAGGACCCATCCCCAAATATTCTCAGGCCCCACCCCCAAATATTCATAGGCACAGACTGCACTTCACTGGTACTTGTTGATATTCATGTTGCACAAATATACACATTGTATAACAGACATCTTGCCTATGAACTCTCCAGTTCTAAATTCAAAACTTGTTGAATGCAATGGTGGCAGACCTACCATAGTGACATGTTTCAGTAGGGCTGAGGCAAGTATGAACTTGGCCTTCTCAAGGTCCGAGGCCTTCTGGATCTTCTTGTGTTGGAGGTGGCCACAGCACAGCTTCAGGTCAGCACACAGCTGGCAGAAAACAGGACCAGATTAAAACAGGTTATGTTCCAGATTAGAACAGGGAGTTATGTTCCAGATTAACAACAGGGAGTTATGTTCCATATTAACAACAGGGAGTTATGTTCCATATTAACAACAGGGAGTCACGTACCAGATTAACAACAGGGAGTTATGTTCCATATTAACTACAGGGAGTCACGTACCAGATTAACAACAGGGAGTTATGTTCCATATTAACAACAGGGAGTTATGTTCCATATTAACAACAGGGAGTTATGTTCCATATTAACAACAGGGAGTCACGTACCAGATTAACAACAGGGAGTTATGTTCCATATTAACAACAGGGAGTTATGTTCCAGATTAACAACAGGGAGTCACGTTCCAGATGAACAACAGGGAGTTATGTTCCAGATTAATAACAGGGAGTTATGTTCCATATTAACAACAGGGAGTTATGTTCCAGATTAACAACAGGGAGTTATGTTCCAGATTAACAACAGGGAGTCACGTTCCAGATGAACAACAGGGAGTTATGTTCCATATTAACAACAGGGAGTTATGTTCCAGATTAACAACAGGGAGTTATGTTCCATATTAACAAAAGGGAGTTATTTTCGAGGAGGACGTGAAATCATCTAATGGCAAGTACATCTGTCGACCCTTACCTTTGTGATGTATGCCTCCATGTTGGTGATGACGAGGAAGTCCCTCACCAGCACCTGACACGTCTTGTCAACCAGTGTCTGTGCAGGAGAACTCGTGGACTGAAACAAACAGCAGAGGTGGAAGTTTCATGCCATGAATAACAAAATGTAGCATCCTAGGGGACGCAAGGAAGGGCAAGCTGATATCTGGCTATCTGGAACACAGGATTAAACGCAACGCACAAATGTGCGTCCAGTATGCAGAAATGTTGAGATTGGACACAAAAAGAATATACTGCGTTCCAAAAGATGCATAATAGTATTCACTGAACCTACAGCCCTTGAAGGTGTTATGGGTGTATGTCTTTTCATCTATCAAACATGACCACTGTCCACATGATCATTGATTCATTCCGGCTCTAAAGTAATTATTTAAACGTACAGTACACTACACCATTACATTACTTTACAGGACCCTCACATTGCCTGCAAGGACCCTTAAAATTAATTTTTGGGGGTCCACTAGCCCCCTACTTTTGTAAGTCAAGGTAAAAACCTTGGAATACATACGTCCGACCCGATTATTTGGAACAGAGCCTGCTCTGACTCTCTGGAACACACGTCTTCCATAACTATCTGGAAAACAGATGTCTATTCAACTATCTGTTCCACAGACGTCTGCTGCACAGAGAACATATTGGCTGACTCACCTGTGTGTCACTACAAAGTGTGGTCAACCATGACAGGAAGACGTCTGCACTGACGATCTGTAGAACAGACGTCTGCTACACTGAGGACATATTGGCCGACTCACCTGTGTGTCACTACAAAGTGTGGTCAACCATGACAGGAAGACGTCTGCCCTGACGATCTGTACCACAGACGTCTGCTACACTGAGGACATATTGGCTGACTCACCTGTGTGTCACTACAAAGCGTGGTCAACCATGACAGGAAGACGTCTGCACTGACGATCTGGAACACAGACGTCTGCTACACTGAGGACATATTGGCGGACTCACCTGTGTGTCACTACAAAGCATGGTCAACCATGACAGGAAGACGTCTGCACTGACGATCTGTACCACAGACGTCTGCTACACTGAGGACATATTGGCTGACTCACCTGTGTGTCACTACAAAGCGTGGTCAACCATGACAGGAAGACGTCTGCCCTGACGATCTGTACCACAGACGTCTGCTACACTGAGGACATATTGGCTGACTCACCTTTGTGTCACTACAAAGCGTGGTCAACCATGACAGGAAGACGTCTGCACTGACGATCTGGAACACAGACGTCTGCTACACTGAGGACATATTGGCCGACTCACCTGTGTGTCACTACAAAGCATGGTCAACCATGACAGGAAGACGTCTGCACTGACGATCTGTACCACAGACGTCTGCTACGCTGAGGACATATTGGCCGACTCACCTGTGTGTCACTACAAAGCGTGGTCAACCATGACAGGAAGACGTCTGCACTGACGATCTGTACCACAGACGTCTGCTACACTGAGGACATATTGGCCGACTCACCTGTGTGTCACTACAAAGCGTGGTCAACCATGACAGGAAGATGTCTGCACTGACGATCTGTACCACAGACGTCTGCTACACTGAGGACATATTGGCTGACTCACCTGTGTGTCACTACAAAGCGTGGTCAACCATGACAGGAAGATGTCTGCACTGACGATCTGGAACACAGACGTCTGCTACGCTGAGGACATATTGGCTGACTCACCTGTGTGTCACTACAAAGCGTGGTCAACCATGACAGGAAGATGTCTGCACTGACGATCTGTACCACAGACGTCTGCTACGCTGAGGACATATTGGCCGACTCACCTGTGTGTCACTACAAAGCGTGGTCAACCATGACAGGAAGACGTCTGCACTGACGATCTGTACCACAGACGTCTGCTACACTGAGGACATATTGGCCGACTCACCTGTGTCACTACAAAGCGTGGTCAACCATGACAGGAAGACGTCTGCACTGACGATCTGTACCACAGACGTCTGCTACACTGAGGACATATTGGCCGACTCACCTGTGTCACTACAAAGCGTGGTCAACCATGACAGGAAGACGTCTGCACTGACGATCTGGAACACAGACGTCTGCTGCACAGAGGACATATTGGCTGACTCACCTGTGTGTCACTACAAAGTGTGGTCAACCATGACAGGAAGACGTCTGCCCTGACGATCTGTACCACAGACGTCTGCTACACTGAGGACATATTGGCCGACTCACCTGTATGTCACTACAAAGCGTGGTCAACCATGACAGGAAGATGTCTGCTACACTGAGGACATATTGCCTGACTCACCTGTGTGTCACTACAAAGTGTGGTCAACCATGACAGGAAGACGTCTGCACTGACGATCTGGAACACAGGCATGGGCCCCACGCAGTCGAGGAGGGTGGTGAGCAGGTGGATGATGGTGGAGTTGTTTGCAGTGCAGGATGCCAGCAGCGTCAGGCCACAGAAGCAGCGGACTCTGTCCGACGGAGACAGGAACTCCAGAGGCAACTTCTCAAGGATCTGAAACAAAACAATCCAGTGATAAACTGATACACGGAGTACGTACAGTGAGTGAGTGAGTGAGTGAGTTGGGTTTAACGCTGCTTTTAACAGTATTACAGTCACATCGCGGCGTGTCAGCTTAATGTGGATGGAAAGCCTGAAGTGATGCAGGTCTCAGACGTTTACCACTTCGGTGAAACCCATGAGCACGGGTATGGTGTTGACAAACCTAGAAACATAATCGGGGCGAACCGGGATTCGAACCCACAATCATAGGTTTCTGGCGTGCCTAAGGGATGCAACTCTGCACAGCGAATCGCGGCGCCTTAGACGACTGGGCCACCTGTGCCCCGAGTACGTACAGCGTGAGGTGTGCTCCACCAATCAACGCACAGGGCACACTTGACTGGAGTGATTGTAGTGATGCAACAGCCATCCCTGAACGGAGACCTGTCAATAAGGAAGTTGTTCTCCTTATTAAGCAGAATTGTTCTACATGAAGGGTTGGCTGGTTGGTTGGTTTGTTGTTTAACGCTGCACTCAGCAATATTCCAGCTATATGACGGCGGTCTGTAAATAATCGAATCTGGACCAGACAATCCAGTGATTGATTTCATGAGCATCGATCCACTTAATTGGGATCGATGACATGCATCAACAAAGTCAGCGAGCCTGACCACCCGATCCCGTTAGTCGCCTTTTACGACAAGCATAGTCGCCTTTTACGGCAAGCATGGGTTGCTGAAGACCTATTCTACCCCGGAATCTCACATGAAGGGAGGAGAGTGAGGGTGGGGCCGGGTGGGGGTTACTGGGAAGATTTTGTAAATGAATAATTTATTCAGAAATCTGACCAAAATGGACAGTTTGCTGGCAGTGGTGAAAAAAAGGGATAACTTGCTGGCAGTGGTGAAAAAATTGGACAGTTTGTTGGCAGTGGCGAAAAAGGCAAGGCAGCGATGTATCTATTCATTTTCACTATTAACACCAAAACATTTATGCTTGGGTATTTTCCACAAAACAAACTATCCATTTTTATCACCACTGCCAACAAACTATCCAATTTATTTTACCACTGCTAACTATCCAATATTGCAGCTGTCCCATCAGATTAGATCAGTTAGTCTCTGCTCCATGTGTGAGTCAGGAGAAAGTGTCTATCATCATGTGGTACACAAGCTAGTTCGTTTGTTGACAGCTGAAGATAATAAACAGGCACATGTAGTAACTGGGAACACACTGGACCTCATCTCGGAAAACATCACCACCCGTGAGTGAGTGAGTGAGTGAGTTAGGTTTTACTCCACTTTTAGCAATATTCCAGCAATATCACAGCGGGGAACACCAGAAATGGGCTTCACATATTGCGGCGTGTCAGCTTAATGTGGGAGGAAAGCCCGAGGTGATGCAGGTCTCAGACGTTTACCTCTTCTGTGAAACCCACGAGCAGGGGCATGGTGCTGACAAACCTAGAAACATAATCGGGGCGAACTGGGATTTGAACCCACAATCATAGGTTTCTGGTGTGCCCAAAGGACGCAACTCTGCACAGCGAATCGCGGTGCCTTACACCACTGGGCCACCCGTGCCCCTTAATATCTAAGAAAAAGTCCACCCCAAGTGCTGAGGTTCGAGCATCATGCTGATGCCAAGTGATGCTACTTTGTCCCATAGGGGAAATTCTTGTTGTAGGACGTGGCACAAACGTGGCTCTCACCTTCAGAAGCTGCATCTGTTGAGGCTGAAGGTCAAGGGGGTCTTCTGTGATGGACAAGGCCTTCGTCACAAGGGAGGCAACTCCTTTCAACTCAGTCAGGTAATCACTGAACAAATTAAAAATGAAACGGTGATACTGTTTTTGCAAAATTTCACTGAAATAACACTAACATTTTATTTCATCTTGTAACAGATGGCTAACATTTTCACGTACTTCAATGTTATGAGTAAGGTATTTGTCCATTTAACCTCACTCCCACAGTACTGACACATATTCTGACATATCTTGATGTTTGTTGTTTAATGCCACACTCCTCACAATTCAAGCTATATGACAGTGGCCTGGACATAATTAAGTCTGGACCAGACGGGGGTTGGGGTTCCCCATCAGATTAGATCAGTTAGTCTCTGCTCCATGTGTGAGTCAGGAGAAAGTGTCTATCATCATGTGGCCTGTTAGCACTTGTGTCGTGAGACTGAAGAGTGATTCTACCACCTGAAACTGGTTTGTTGTTTAACGCCGAACTCAGCAATATTCCAGCTATATGACGGAGGTTTGTAAAAAAAATTAAAAATAATAAAAAATAAATAAAAAAATAATAAAAAAATCTAAAAAAATCCAGCCTGGACCAGACAATCTAGTGATTTATATCATGAGCATCGATTGACACAATAGGGATACGATGACATGCATCAACCAAGTCAGTTAGCCTATCTAACCATGTTTAAAATAGTTAAATACCAAACATCTGTCCCATCAGATTAGATCAGTTAGTCTCTACTCCATGTGTGAGTCAGGAGAAAGTGTCTATCATCATGTGGGAGGGTGCCCTATGTTTAGATAAATACAATACTTCATCCCCAAATATATTTGACGTTGCATATACAACAAGGTGTTGGTTGAGGAAGAGTGCTATATTTCAAGTGTAATTAATGTGAGTTAAACATAAATGAGTGGCAGGATAATTATATTCCATTTGCAATTTCTTAAAAGGAACTTGTGATTCTGAATTCTTAAACATTTGATTATTTAATCCCTTTTTATTTTCATAATGATTAACTTATGAGAGTCCATTCTGGACTTAAACAAGAGTCATCAGGAGATGACATATACCCTGATCAGGTGCAATTCAGAAATGGTTTTGTCTGTTGTTGAACGCCACACTCAGCAATATTCCAGCTATATGACGGCGGTCTGTAAATAATTGAGTCTGGACCAGACAATCCAGTGATTGACATCATGAGCATCGATCCACACAATTGGGATACGATGACATGCATCAACCAAGTCAGCGAGCCTGACCACCCGATCCCGTTAGTCGCCTCTTACGTCAAGCATAGTTGCCTGTTACGGCAAGCAAGGGTTACTGAAGACCTATGTGTATAGTGCTTTTGGGATCAGTTTATGATGTGTTGTGCTAGTGAAGTCAGAAGTCAGCGAGGGAGCTTGGCTACTCATACAACCCCACTTTTGGTTCTTTGCATTGGATACCTTCAGTTCAGAGAAGAAAAACATAATGCTGTTCAGTATTTTTCAATATCCCAAATCATCAATTGAAATATTTGTATCTACTGTCATGATCTATATATCAAGTTTCGTCCAGAAATATTCAACTTCATGAAAACATAAAAAAAACCCATTAAAAATCATAAAAAATAAACAAGCCTATAGTCTACGATGTCATCTATATCCCCCGCCCATTTTAACACACTATTTAACATATTAACTGACCCCACATTTCTCTTAGCCCATGTCAAAATAGCAGCAATGGAAATTCCAAAATACACATTTCAAAAACTCCTTAATATCAAATGGCACAAGTTCAGTATGTGCTTTATATATAGACATGCAATGTTTGGCAAAGAAATATTTCTGGAAATAATGCCCAGTAATACAAATTTCTAAAATTCATAAATAGCAAAAGGCACTTATTCAGCATGTGTCTGATAGATGTGGAAAATTTCATCCGGAATCGAACCCTACCCTTATTGTTTCCCATGTCAAACTTGTTGCCATGAAAACTTAAAAACTAAATTTTTTTAAAAGTGCTAAATAATAAAAGGCACCAGTTCAGTATGTGCCTGGTAGACATGCAAAGTTTTGAAAGAAAGTATTCAACGTTTTTTTTAGTTATGCTACGGAAACGAACACCAACTTGTTGCCATGGAAATGTAAAAAATAAAAATTTCTAAAATTCCTAAATAGCAAAAGGCACCAGTTCAGCATGATTCTGATAGACATGCAAAGTTTCGTAGAGAAATATTTAACGGTTTCTGAGTTATGCTCCGGAATCGATTTCGGGACGCACACGCACACACACGCACGGAACCCATTTCTATGTCCCCCGCCAACCTCGTTGGGGCGGGGGATAATAAATCCCAAATCATCAAAAGGCACCAGATTACCACTAGACTGATCAATACAGCAGCTTTCAACAAGCAAAATTTAACGTTTTTGGAGTTCTGCTCCTGAAACGGAAAACGGGCGGCTGATAGACGGACATGCTGATCGTTACGGACCTGTTCTGATCTGGAATCCCCCAAGGGAGTAATTCCAACAAAAAACGTATAAACATATTCATCATAACTGTACAGCAACATCTTGTTCCCCATCAGATTAGATCAGTTAGTCTCTGCTCCATGTGTGAGTCAGGAGAAAGTGTCTATCATCACCTGGGGAAATGCTGTGTCAGCAGAATACATACCTGTCTGCTTTCTGTGGAGCATCAGGCTTCATGGCACCGAGCTCTGAGAGGCCCTCAATCACCATGGTTACTCCAGGAGACAGCTTTCTCTTTTTCTTTGGACTGGTAACAAAAAATATATGAGCACCATAAAGCACAAAAGCTAATCATTTTCTTGTATTTCCTACTAAACGTCAGAAATTGTCACATAAGTAAACAATGAGGGACGTGTGTTATACAAAATAGTTGTAAAGGTGTTTGATTCAAGTGGTGAGGGGTGTTATCAAATTCTTAAGGTGTTTGACAAAAGTGGATGGAGACGTGTTTCACCAAAGTGGAAAGGAGTTTTACTGAATTGGTAAGGTGTTTTACTAATGTTGTGAGGTGTTTCACTAATTGGTAAGGTGTTTTACTAATGTTGTAAGGTGTTTTACTAATGTTGTAATGTGTTTTACTAATGTTGTAATGTTTTACTGAATTGGTAAGGTGTTTTACAACTGTTGTAAGGTGTTTTACAACTGTTGTAAAGAGTTTTACTAATGTTGTAAGGTGTTTTACTAATGTTTTACTAATGTTGTAAGGTGTTTTACTAATGCTGTAAGGTGTTTTACTAATGTTGTAAGGTGTTTCACTAATGTTGTAAGGTGTTTTACTAATGTTGTAAGGTGTTTTACTAATGTTGTAAGGTGTTTTACTAATGTTGTAAGGTGTTTTACTATGTTTTACTAATGTTGTAAGGTGTTTTACTAATGCTGTAAGGTGTTTCACTAATGTTGTAAGGTGTTTTACTAATGCTGTAAGGTGTTTTACTAATGTTGTAAGGTGTTTTACTAATGTTTTACTAATGTTGTAAGGTGTTTTACTAATGTTGTAAGGTGTTTTACTAATGCTGTAAGGTGTTTTACTAATGTTGTAAGGTGTTTTACTAATGTTGTAAGGTGTAGGACAGGGATGGGTAACTCGGGTACTTGGGTCGGGTGGGAACTGAGTAGGACCCCAGGTACCCACAGGACTACCTGGACCCGTGGACCATGTGATATATTGCTTAATGACAAAAATTATCTAGCACTTCACAGTTACACTACAAGTCACTGATGTTCGCATTTCTTTCTGACTATGTACGCATTACTTCTCTCCTTTATAGGTCTGAATAAAGATGAAGCCTCAGTCAACTTCAGTGTCCACATGACCAGATCGTTTTACACGTGTATCTAAATACGTTTTGTCCAGGGTTATGGTCAAACTATTCCCAATCAGACATTTTGTACCTATCTCTTGAGACCTACAGCGGGTACCCGGGTAGGGTCAGGTCATAGGTGGCTGGGTACCCGGGTAGTAAAATTGGACTCGTCCAAGCACTACATTGTAAGGTGTCCACAACTAGAGTCACAAAGGGCTTCCCTTATACATGAAGCTGATACAATGTGAGTGTGAGTGAGTGAGTGAGTGAGTGAGTGAGTGAGTGAGTGAGTGAGTGAGTGAGTGAGTGAGTGAGTGAGTGAGTGAGTGAGTGAGTGAGTGAGTGAGTGAGTGAGCGAGCGAGCGAGCGAGCGATCATGGTTTTACACCGCTTTTAGCAATATTCCAGCAACATCACAGCGGGGGGCACCAGAAATGGGCTTCACACATTGTACCTACGTGAGGAATTGAACCCTGGCCTTTAGTGTGATGAGCGAACACTTTAACCACTAGGCCACTCCACCGCCTCCAATGTGATATACATGAAGCTGTTCAAAGCCGTGTACGACAACCCACTGACTCACTGAATAAAGGATTTCTTACATACCTTTTCCCAGAACCTTGACTTGGTGTAAGTTGTGGCCACAGTGATGCTATGATACAACACTGCAATCTCCTTGTTTCCATAGTAACTGGTGCCACAAGGAGATTATTGGTGAGAGAGGCTAAATTCAGGCCGCTGAAATAGAAAAAGGACTTGTTGTAAAAAGGTGGGTTGACATGTAGTTGACACAACAGTGTCGTGGCAACAGTGTCATGGCAACAGTTCCATGGCAACCAGTGTCATGGCAAACAAGCATAATCATCAATCCATCACATCCTACATCAGTTGTGTTGCAAGGTGGTCAGCCATCATGGCTTTATCTAGACCTGTCCACATGACGGACAATGCAAAATGTAGGCCATTTAGAGAGTCATCAAAAGTCAGTAAAAATATACTTACTTTCCACTCAAGGGACACAACTCTTACCAGCAAAGGGACACTACTCTAACCATCAAAGGGACACTACTCTAACCACCAAGGTTAGCAGTACTTTTTACACTTAAGACACTGCTTATTATTGTCTACAAACTTAAACAGTTGGAAGAATGATGATGGATGATAAATAAAATCTCACCCTCGTGTCTTTTGATATCGAGTGTTGATATATTTGATATCAATAGACACGAGGGTGAGATTCTCTATATTGTATTTTTTTGGCCCTAGTCTAACCAACAAGGGACAAAACCCAAACCACCAAGGGACACAACTCTACCCCTGCCTCCATGTGAGTTACCTTGTCTTGTCCTGGTCTACGGCTGTGGCCACCATAAACTGGGCTATCTTCTCACAGTGTTCAGTTGACAGGGCCGTGGCGAACACAGGAAGATTAGACACCAGCGTCTGCCAGCTGGACACCAAGCAGTTGTCTTCCCTTATACTACACAGCTGTCAAAATAAAATCACAATATCAGTCGTAGTTCTTGCCTGTGGACATATTCCTTATATCTTTACAGTGATACTACTGGGCTTTAGACAAATATTCTCGATATCACACCTTACTGATACAAATGAATTAAGTGACCATCAAAGTCAAGTTTCCACCCTTGCCAAACTAGGCTGGAATGATGAAGCCATGTTTTGATGGACTAGTGAGTCTATGCATAGTCCAATAAAAATCGTGTAACAAAATCAACATCTGGTTCATAAACTGACTTGCAGATTTCGGTCGATTGCTGGATTTGCAAAGCATGTATTCCTTCACCTTAACGTCAACAGATATTTTCCCAATCTTCATGTCTTAATCGAGGTGCTCACGTGATTTGATGTACATCGCAAAGTAAAACCCGTTTTATCACAATATAGATTTTGATTATCGATCAGATCGTCTTGACTGGGTTCCAACATATTGTTTTATTACAAAATTGATCTTGATTACTGATAAGATTAACTGGGCAACGCGATTGTATTTGAAGCAAATGCAAGTGATATGAGAGATGGAATCTGATTGGTCAATAGGAGGGACATACAAGGGACATAACTCGATTGAGCTCAGAAATTCAGGCCAAGTTCGGCAAGGGTGGAAACTGGACTTTTACAGCCAGTTAACTCCCTTGACGTGGGAAGATGTCTATATCAGTGCTGTCAACATTAATGCTATGTATTTGACATGTTTGAATCAATCATCCCTGTACAGAACTGGCATGGCAGACAGAAGTGCCCATCAGACTCATTAGATCAGACATCCATGTGTCAGGTCATGAAGGCGGTGAACATCACATGGGCTCATCTGTCTACCACCCACTCATCACCCCTCTAGCAAATCGTCACCCCTCTAGCAAATCGTCACCCCTCTAGCAAATCGTCACCCCTCTAGCAAATCACCACTCACCTGCCTGTCCCATGATGCATTGCGGTGATCATCAACCTCTAGCAAATCACCACTCACCTGCCCGTCCCATGATGCACTGCAGTGATCATCAACCTCTAGCAAATCACCACTCACCTGCCCGTCCCATGATGCATTGCGGTGATCATCAACCTCTAGCAAATCACCACTCACCTGTCCGTCCCATGATGCATTGCGGTGATCATCAACCTCTAGCAAATCACCACTCACCTGCCCTTCCCATGATGCATTGCGGTGATCATCAACCCCTAGCAAATCACCACCCACCTGCCTGTCCCATGATGCATTGCGGTGATCATCAACCTCTAGCAAATCACCACCCACCTGCCCGTCCCATGATGCATTGCGGTGATCATCAGTGACGTCTGCTGGTAGGCTGACGATCCTGTCAATGACTGTCTGCAAGTTTCCAGCAGCCTCACTTTGTTCTGGGGAGAACAGCAGGAGAGCCTTCAGCTTCTGGATGCTCAGCAAGTCCTGAAAACAAACATAAGAAAGTGATTAAATTCTCTATTCAATTCCCAGGCTGCATTACGTGTCAAAGAATCCTCCCCTGGACTGGCGTTTTTTCCTCCCCACTCGAACTTCAGGAGGGCTCTAGAAACTCAATGTTATCATGGGGGCATGGGAGGTAACTCCAGGAAGCAGTCATTGGGATACTACTAGTTCAACAACTATATTTATATCAAGAATGCAATCTTCTGAAGTTTTCTTTCCATGGATACCTTGACCTGAAAGCAGCAATATGCATACTGTGATGCAGGCTAAGTAAAGATACGTCCCATCCTTCACTATCCAGGGTATGATAGCTCCATTTTATAATGATGAATACCCAGGGATTTTAATGAGATTGAGTTAGCTTTTTAACAATATTTCATTCACGATGTGTCTCTGTTTCTGAAGGCTATGACTGCCCACCATCAGACTCATTAGATCACAATATCCATGGTGTTGTCATGATCAGGTATAGCACATCACCTGGGAGGCAGAAATAGCAAGTAACTTGGGTTTAAAGCCACTTTTAAACAGCATTTCAGTTATATGAAGGGGTGTCAGTGAGTGAGTGAGTTGGGTTTAACGCCCCTTTTTTAAACATTATTCCAGTTATATCGCGGCGTGTCAGCTTGATGTGGGAGGAAAGCCCGAAGTGATGCAGGTCTCAGACGTTTACCACTTCGCTGCTGCTGTCAAACCTAGAAACATAATCAGGGCGAACCAGGATTCGAACCCACAATCATAGATTTCTGGCGCTCCCAAGGGACGCAACTCTGCACAGCGAATTGCGGCGCCTTAGACAACTGGGCCACCCGTGCCCCCGAGGGGGTGTCAGCTTGATGTGGGAGAAAATCCTGACGTGATGTAAGATGTTTACCACATAATTGAAACCCATTTGGTGCTGACAAACCTAGAACCATGATATGGGTGACTTGCGGCGCCTTAGACAACTGGGCCACCTGAGCCCCCCAAGCATTAAGTATCAACTTGACATAACTCTGTTTATAGGAATGTTGCTTGACAACCTAAGTCTGATATACTGTATCTAATAGGATATTTATTTCCAGGCCATTGAACAAACAAAAAAGAAATATTGACTTTGTTCTGCGACTTCTTCACTCTAATATGTACCTTTAGCCACCTCTCGGAGTTAAGGTAGGGATGAACCAGTTCAAGGTCATGCTGATGGGAAACTGTGTCTGTGCTGAAGGTGATGCCAGCTCTGTACTTCTTGTCATACAGAGCTAGCAACAGTTTCAGCTCCCCCCATGTGTAGCTCAAGAAAAGAGCTGAATCTAAGAGCTCTTCACCCTGAAACAGAAAAAAAAACAGGCGGGTTTTTTTCTTAAAAAGTCTTAAGTTTACAGATCCTCTGAGACCTATTTTTTTCTGATCTTCAACATTGTTTGTTTGTTTAACGCGGCACTCTGGCTCGTCTGGCTCCTAAAATATTCATGTTTAGAAACATCTTGTTCCCCATCAGATTAGATCAGTTAGTCTCTACTCCATGTGTGAGTCAGGAGAAAGTGTCTATCATCACCTGGGACTGGGAGGATCGCATTAATCAGAGCAACTTTAAATTCAACGGTGATAAATTATGATTTGTATTGTATTGTTTGTTGTTTAACGCCACACTCAGCAATATTCCAGCTATAAGACTGCGGTCTGTAAATAATCGAGTCTGGGCCAGACAATCCAGTGATTGACATCATGAGCATCTTTCGACACAATAGGGATACGATGACATGCATCAACATGCTATTCTAACCCGGATCTTCAGGAGTCTGGGGACTTCCCCAGGATCCCCATGGGTGCAACAAGTGATGAGGCGTACCTGCTGACTGCACAGCTCATACAGAGGCTGAAGGACTTCGGTCTCCATCTGGGACATCAGCTGGTGGGCAGTCCGGGCTGTCACCTCTGTGATGGTGTAGTCGGCCATCTTGACCCCACCCAGGTACAGGCGCAGCACTGTTGCCACGCTCCGCAACTTGCTCGACAACCCCACATCTGATGGAAACAGCAGACCGTTAACACAACCCAGTACAAGGAACACAAGTGTGATGGGTTGCCTGGCAACACCGCATCATATGGAAACAGCAGACCGTTAACACAACCCAGTACAAGGAACACAAGTGTGATGGGTTGCCTGGCAACACCGCATCATATGGAAACAGCAGACCGTTAACACAACCCAGTACAAGGAACACAAGTGTGATGGGTTGCCTGGCAACACCGCATCATATGGAAACAGCAGACCGTTAACACAGCCAAGTACAAGGATGGGTTGCCTGGCAACACCGCATCAAATGGAAACAGCAGACCGTTAACACAACCCAGTACAAGGATGGGTTGCCTGGCAACACCGCATCATATGGAAACAGCAGATCGTTAACACAACCCAGTACAAGGATTGGTTGCCTGGCAACACCACTTGAAAGAAATATAAAAGAGTATACAAAATTCTTGGGATTCTTGGGGTCCTTTAGGTTTTCTCCTGTAGTATTTGAGTCTGAGGACCCCTTAATATTTAACTAGCAACATTAGGGCCAAGACAAGGAGTGAGTGAGTGAGTTGGGTTTAACGCAGCTTTTAACAGTATTCCAGTTATATCAGGGCGTGTCAGCTTAATGTGGTGAGAGGTGAAATTGGGTTTAACGTCCATCCAAGATTATTGCACTTATATAGCGACGTGCATGCACGTGTATGTGTGTGTGTGGCTGCTTGTACTAGTCCGGACTGATGCCGATTTATAGTGCTAGCTCACTGAGATACCATGCCGCAGTTTAACATGAATACCCCACTCAGACACAGTATACTGACTCCGAGCCGACCAGTCCTTGTTTTAGCCCCTTAATGCCGAGCGCCAGACAGGGTAACAACAAGTACAATCTTTTAACGTCTTTTTGTATGACGCGGCCCGGGATCGAACCCTGGACCTTCCGCTCTCCGGGCGGACGCTCTACCACAAGACCACGGAGGCGGTCCAGCTTAATGTGGGATGAAAGCCCGAAGTGATGCAGGTCTCAGACGTTTACCACTTCGGAGAAACCCACGAGCATGGGTATGGTGCTGACAAACCTAGAAACATAATCGGGGTGAACCGGGATCATAGGTTTCTGGCGTGCCCAAGGGACGCAACTCTGCACCAAGACAAGGACCTCTTGACTTCACAACACAATTTGAGTGAGTGAGTGAGTGAGTGAGTGAGTGATTGAGTGAGTGAGTATGGGAATCAAACCCAGGTCTTGGCGTGACGAGCGAACGCTTTAACCACACAATTTGAACACTGAAATCCAATACATGGAACACAAGTGGGAATGTGTTGGAACTATCATGGCAGCTAGAAGTAACAGGACCGGGACCATAGAAACCAGTGGTTGATACCATAAGCACCGGTCATGCCATTCCCGCTTCTCTACCATCAGCCTCATTAGATCAGATCCTCCACTGTAGAGTCAGGGAAATGAGTTCACATCACCTGGGAGAGAGGCAATTTTCTTTTGGCTGCAAAATGGGCCAGATCGCTCAAAGGTATTGTTTTCTTTGTTATACATTTCCGTGGAAATACAGATTTTTCGCATAGATTTTTACATTGATCAATAACATGGTACAGACTGTTCTATCTACTGCTCCATAGAACCTCCTGTATTTATTCTTCTGGATCTACATCGCTCTGTTAGTTGTGCCCGTCATACACTACAAGAGTGAGTGAGTGAGTGAGTGAGTGAGTGAGTGAGTGTGCGTGCGTGAGTGAGTGAGTGAGTGAGTGAGAGCGTGTGTGCGTGCGTGAGTGAGCAAGACCGTGCGTGAGTGAGAGCGTGCGTGCGTGCGTGCGTGAGCAAGAGCGTGCATGAGTGAGTGAGTGAGAGCGTGCGTGCGTGCGTGAGTGAGTGAGAGCATGTGTGCGTGCGTGAGTGAGCAAGAGCGTGTGTGAGTGAGTGAGAGCGTGCGTGCGTGAGTGAGTGAGTGAGTGAGCAAGAGCGTGCATGAGTGAGTGAGAGAGTGTGCGTGCGTGAGTGAGTGAGTGAGTGAGCAAGAGCGTGCATGAGTGAGTGAGTGAGTGGGTGGGTGGGTGAGTGGGTGAGTGAGTGAGTGAGTGAGTGAGTGAGTAAGTGAGTGAGTGAGTGAGTGAGTGAGAGCGACGTATTAATGCCAACAGAATGGAGACCTAGTACCCTCGACAACTGAGAATGATACAATGTCTCGCTACTGGACTGAGGACCTCTGCAGAGCAACCTTCACCTTGTGACTTGTCTGTGAGGGGGGTGATGTAGCGTGTCTTCATCTCTTCTACCAGCTTGCCCCAGATGTCGACTGCCGTCGTCTGTGGCAGCCCCTGCACCAGGTCATGGAACCTGCAACATCACAACACTGTGTTACTGAACATAGCTTTAGTATTTATCACATATGCCATCACAACACTGAAGCAACTAGGAAAGTTGGGGGCTAAAACTCACCAGAAGATGACAAATCCCCCCCGGCCCCTACAAATTCGAAATAACAAATAATCTGCCTGTTAAGTCCACTTGATGAAGAATTTCTATCTGATCTGTCTGTCAGAATACAAGAGTAGTTATTGAGCTATCAAAACAATACCATGGAATTGGGATTCGGAAATGTGTATTTCTATGTCAGGAAAAGTCAAATTTGTTTCCATGGAAACAGGGAAAAATCAAATGTTGAAAAATTCCTAAATAGCAAAAAGCACCACTTCTGCTCTTGGTTAATACATGTACAAGGTTTGAATGAAAAGTCTTTCACAGTTTTCAAGTTGTGCTCGAGAAACGACACCTACACCTGAATTGTTTCCATGGAATTCGAGAAAAATATAAATGCCAAAAATCCACAAACAGCAAAAGGCAAAACTTCAGGGTCTGTTTGACATATCTGACAAGTTCTGACAAGAAATTGAACAATTTTTGAGTTGTGCTCCGGAAACGAATTGATTATCGACGGACGGATGGATGGATGGGAGATAAAAATGACAGTGATCATTATTAGCACAACTATGATTTTGAGGCAAGGTGAAACATCACATTTCAGACTATCACACTTCTTTAGTGACGTGCTTGCACCTGAGTGAGGAGTAATGTTGATATCATCTGTAAACAGCAAATTGCATCTAGACTTCCCATCAGATTAGATCAGTTAGTCTCTGCTCCATGTGTGAGTCAGGAGAAAGTGTCTATCATCACCTGGGAGGGTCTATGTATGTCCAGTGTCTGAAATAACCGCTTGCCCGCCTGCCCATGTCTGGTAACTTTTCTGTCGGGCTGCATGAAATTTTCCTATACCTGCCCGACTGTCTGGCAGATAGATAATTTTAAGCCAACTCAGTTTCATCATAAATCCAAGTAAATTCTCAAGTAATTGTTAGCATTATTTCAACCGAATCAAGACACGATTTGTCTCTTATGTTTTAGCGATTTTTCAATATTCCTAATGTCTGAATGCGGGCAGATAACTTGGAAGATGGTCAGCAACGCTTTTGTTCAGATAAATACAGCTCTTCATCACTAAACAGAGCTCCAGATAAGCTGTGTATCTGCGTAAAATACGCATCAGAAATGCGGAAATACGCAGTAAAATAAAATCCAAGCGTATCAAATACGCAATGAACATTACAGATACACTACAAAAATAAAACTTGTGCGTATCATCAAAATATTGAGAAGTAACCCTGCGTATTCGATTAGCAAATCAGCAAATTATTTTGAAATTATAAACGGGCATTCCGTCAACCTTGCCAAACTCCACGATGACAGTTACATCATGATCATTTGCCATCACACTTTCTTGTGGAAGTATCATGGTATTTTTGAGTATAAAGCTCTCTAACCCGCACGACACCAGTTTGTAGGGACTAGATGAATAGTGTTTTTAAATATTTAACTTAAATACCCACATGTGTAAAAACTAGTGGGTAACAGAAATTTGAATACCCAGATAGAATTACTGATACCCAATGATTTTAGAATGCATGGGTAAATTCCCACAACACCAAAAGCTTATCTGGAGCTCTGACTAAATATATTTGTTCAAGCTACCTCTAAACATGCTGTTGAGTGAGTGAGTACAGTTTTACGCCGCCTTTAGCAATATTCCAGCAGTATCATGGCGGGGGACACCAGAAATGGGCTTCACACATTGTACCCATGTCGGGAATCGAACCCGGGTCTTCGGCGTGACGAGCGAACGCTTTAACCACTGGGCTACCCGACCGCCCCCTCACATTCTGTTGAGACAGGGAGAGGGCTATATTTAGAGTGTATGACCACCTCATCTCCACTTACGCCAGCTGTTAAGACAAGCTTGAGTTACAGTAGCCCTCTCAGTTGAAACCGTTTCATGGTGACCTAATTTTATCTACTGCTCACCATATGGCTACCCAAAAGTAAAAGTTACTGGCTGCAATATCTATTTGTGATACGAATAATGTTGACTCACACCGTATTGCAAATCTTGTTTACAAACTTGCGTTTGCAAGGCCAAAGTCTTATGATTAATAATGAACATTTCACATCATGATGTTCTATTATTTAGTCAATACAATTACAGGGGTTCATTAACAGCTAGGGTGTTTCGTAACTTGTCTAGTACAACTGTACCCGTGAAGATCGGGGATAGAATAGGTCTCCAGCAACCCGTAAAAGGCGACTCACGGGATCGGGTGGTCAGGCTCACTGACTAGGTTGATGCATGTCATTGTATCCCAATTGCGTGGACCAATGCTCTTGATGTCAATCACTGGATTGTCTGGTCCAGACTTGATTATTTTCAAACCGCCATCATGTAGCTCTACTATTACTAGTGCGGCATTAAACAACAACAAAAACCAAAAAAAAAAAACCAAAAAAAAAAAAGAAAAAAAGAAGAAAAAAAAGGAAAACCCATCTTTAGACTTCTCTCAGTGAAACTAAAAAAAAAACCTGCCAAAAAGATGTCCTATCTCAGACTCTGTCTGGCACCGTGGAAAAAAAAGATTGGCGCCTAAAAACCAACGTCTGGCTCCTAAAATATTCATGTTTAGAAACATCTTGTTCCCCATCAGATTAGATCAGTTAGTCTCTACTCCATGTGTGAGTCAGGAGAAAGTGTCTATCATCATCTGGGACTGGGAGGATCGCATTCATCAGAGCAATTTTGAAATTCACCGGTGATAAATTATGATTTGTATTGTATTGTTTGTTGTTTAACGCCGCACTCAGCAATATTCCAGCTATATGACTGCGGTCTGTAAATAATCGAGTTTGGACCAGAGATCCATTGATTGATATCATGAGCATCGATCCACGCAATTGGGATTGATGACAAGCATCAACCAAGTCAGCGAGCCTGACCACCCGATCTCGTTAGTCGCCTCTTATGACAAGCAGTCACCTTTTACGGCAAGCCCTGTATGTTTAAGAATGGAAGAACTGTAAATCTTGAAATTAACGCGAGTGTGAGTTAAATGCAAAAAATGTGCGTGGTCTTCGTTTGCATTAATGAAACTTCCCACTGATGTCTCCAAAATGACTATCAACAATGAGACTTTGGATAGCACACACGTTGGATAGCGGAAATACCAACTTGAATATAAACACAAACACTGTTTATTGAGCAGCAGTTGTAACAAGTATATGGCAATGTCATTCAAAGACTAGGAATTACAAAATGGGCATCCGGTGAGTTATCACTGCTGGGGTCAAGAGTTCTACCCACTCGTGTCAAACTAGGCATCATTGACCACTGTTTGATCGGATTAAGGTAAGGATTCCTATCATTACCTGGGGATGGGATGGGGGGAGTGGCATTGATTTTGAGTCGCATTTTTGGCTAGGGGTCAGCAGTCGTATTAATTTGGAGACGCATTAACTTCAAGATTCACAGTATATGTTCTGTTATGTTGGTAAAGACATATCGATGTTGTTACATTCACAGTTGTATAGAAAAGTACCAGTGCCACATTAAAGGTTTCCAAGTTTCATAAGGCTCACCATGGTAATCAAAGATTTTCCAAGAAAATGCAAACACTCCAAAACATGCCTACATGCATCTAGATTTCCCATCAGATTAGATCAGTTAGTCTCTACTCCATGTGTGAGTCAGGAGAAAGTGTCTATCATCACCTGGGCAGATCACAGCTCATCATACGATACTGAATTTGGTGAAAGTCAAATAGCTGATTCTCAGGGGACGATTAATGAAAACAAGTTTATTTTGAGTATGTGTTTAGAAAAAAGGAAATGTTGTAACACTGTGTTGTATTCTCATGTTGGCCGACACTCAGAATCAGGGCCTGGTTTCATGAAGCAATTGACCGCCTCCATGGTCTAGTGGAAGAGCGTCCGCCCGGAGAGCAGAAGGTCTGGGGTTTGATCCCCAGCCGCGTCATACCAAAAGACGTTAAAATATGGTACTTGTTGTTACCCTGTCTGGCGCTCGGCATTAAGGGGCTAAAACAAGGACTGGTCAGCTCGGAGTCAGTATACTGTGTCTGAGTGGGGTATTCATGTTAAACTGCGGCATGGTATCTCAGTGAGCTAGCACTATAAATCGGCATCAGTCTGGATTAGTACAAGCAGCCACACAAACACACGTGCATGCGGGGTGGGAGAGTGAGTGAGTGAGTGAGTGAGTGAGTGAGTGAGTGAGTGAGGGGTAGAGTGAGAGAGTGAGTGAGGGTGGGGTAGAGTGAGTGAGTGAGGGTGGGGTAGAGTGAGTGAGTGAGATAGGGGTGGGGTAGAGTGAGTGAGTGAGTGATGAGTGAGTGAGTGAGGGGTGGGGTAGAGTGAGTGAGTGATGAGTGAGTGAGGGGTGGGGTAGAGTGAGTGAGGGGTGGGGTAGAGTGAGTGAGTGAGATAGGGGTGGGGTGAGTGAGTGAGTGATGAGTGAGTGAGTGAGGGGTGGGGTAGAGTGAGGGGTGGGGTAGAGTGAGGGGTGGGGTAGAGTGAGTGAGTGAGATAGAGGTGGGGGTGAGTGAGTGAGTGAGGGGTGGGGTAGAGTGAGTGAGTGAGTGAGTGAGTGAAACAAGTGAGTAAGTTTGGTTTTACGCAGCTTTTGGAAATATTCCAGTAATATCACTGTGGGGGACACCATAAATTGGCTTCACACATTGTACCCATGTTGGAAATTGAACCCAGGTCTTCGGCGTGACGAGCAAACGATTTAACCATTAGACTAACCAATAGTTGTAAAACTAACACCACTTTGTGAAACAGAGCCGAGAGCAGTGTTTTCATAAACCTGTTGTATCTCTTCCTCTATATTTAAACACAGACTTTCGATAGTCATAAAGCTAAGATCATATGTGAAACAGGGTGCAGGAGTAATAAATACTTGAGTCAATCCTGTGAACACTAAGATATCATTGAAATGTTTTTTATCTTAATACTCCGCATCTATACAATGCAATACTATTCGCTGCAGCGATAAAATGCAATACTTTATGCTGCAGCGATAAAATGCCATACTACATGCTAATATACTATACACTGCAGCGATATGATGCTATACTATATGCCGATATACTATACGCTGGAGCAATATAATGCTATACTATATGCTGATATACTTTACGCTGCAGTGATATAACGCTATACTATATGCCGATATACTATATGCCGACATATACGCTGCAGCGATATGCAATACTTCTTGCTGATAGCTATACCATATGCTGAAGTACTATACGCTGCAGCGATATGCCATGATATATGCCGATATACCGTAAGTCTGCAACACAATGCACCAAAAAAATTAAAAATGTAAACAAAAAACGAAACGTGCAATGAACTTTATGCTGAGGTGGGCACTGCCTGAGAACCATTTTGCTGATATACTATACGATGCAGCAATATAATGCTATACTATATGCCAATATACCATGTGCAGCAGCAATATAATGCTATACTTACCGATCCGTGAAGATTCTTGGACAGACAAGGCTGCTGAGGTTGTGGTTGGTGTCAAAGATGGCGGATGTTATGTATGTGATGAGCTTGGGCATCTGTCTCAGTTTGAAGTACGTGTTGAACAGCTCCGACAGGAAGGGGCCCAGCTGGGAGCTGCTAGATGTCTGTCAAGGGAGATAAATACGGTATCAACTACAGCTGCAGCTGGTACAGCAAGCCTTTTCATTTCTTGGGCCCCTTTCTGGTTAGACTAACTGTTACCCATGGGGGTTCAGGGTTAGAACTGTCGCCATCAACCTATGCTGGTCGTGAGGCGACTATGCCGGTCGTGGGAGGCAAATATGCCAGTGGTGGGAGGCGACTATGCCGGTCGTGGGAGGGGACTATGCTGGTCGTGAGGCGACTATGCCGGTCGTGGGAGGCAAATATGCCAGTGGTGGGAGGCGACTATGCCGGTCGTGGGAGGGGACTATGCTGGTCGTGGGAGGCAAATATGCCAGTGGTGGGAGGCGACTATGCCGGTCGTGGGAGGGGACTATGCCGGTCGTGGGAGGCAAATATGCCAGTGGTGGGAGGCGACTATGCCGGTCGTGGGAGGGGACTATGCTGGTCGTGGGAGGCGACTATGCCGGTCGTGGGAGGCAAATATGCCAGTGGTGGGAGGCGACTATGCCGGTCGTGGGAGGGGACTATGCCGGTCGTGGGAGGCAAATATGCCAGTGGTGGGAGGCGACTATGCCGGTCGTGGGAGGGGACTATGCCGGTCGTGGGAGGCGACTATGCCGGTTGTGGGAGGCAAATATGCCGGTGGTGGGAGGCGACTATGCCGGTGGTGGGAGGCGACTATGCCGGTCGTGGGAGGCGACTTTGCCGGTCGCAGGAGGCGACTATGCCGGTCGTGGGAGGCGACTATGCCGGTCGTGGGAGGCAAATATGCCGGTCGTGGGAGGTGACTATGCTGGTCGTGGGAGGCGACTATGCTGGTCGTGGGAGGCGACTATGCCGGTCGTGGGAGGCAAATATGCCGGTCGTGGGAGGTGACTATGCCTGTCGTGGGAGGGGACTATGCCTGTCGTGGGAGGGGACTATGCCTGTCGTGGGAGGGGACTATGCCTGTCGTGGGAGGGGACTATGCCTGTCGTGGGAGGGGACTATGCCGGTCGTGGGAGGCGACTATGCCTGTCGTGGGAGGGGACTATGCCGGTCGTGGGAGGTGACTATGCTGGTCGTGGGAGGCGACTATGCCGGTCGTGGGAGGCAAATATGCCGGTCGTGGGAGGTGACTATGCTGGTCGTGGGAGGGGACTATGCCGGTCGTGGGAGGGGACTATGCCGGTCGTGGGAGGGGACTATGCCGGTCGTGGGAGGCGACTATGCCTGTCGTGGGAGGGGACTATGCCTGTCGTGGGAGGGGACTATGCCGGTCGTGGGAGGGGACTATGCCTGTCGTGGGAGGCGACTATGCCTGTCGTGGGAGGGGACTATGCCGGTCGTGGGAGGCGACTATGCCGGTCGTGGGAGGCAAATATGCCAGTGGTGGGAGGCGACTATGCCGGTCGTGGGAGGCGACTATGCCGGTCGTGGGAGGCGACTATGCCTGTCGTGGGAGGGGACTATGCCTGTCGTGGGAGGTGACTATGCTGGTCTTGGGAGGCGACTATGCCGGTCGTGGGAGGCAAATATGCCAGTGGTGGGAGGCGACTATGCCGGTCGTGGGAGGCGACTATGCCGGTCGTGGGAGGGGACTATGCCGGTCGTGGGAGGCGACTATGCCGGTCGTGGGAGGGGACTATGCCTGTCGTGGGAGGGGACTATGCCGGTCATGGGAGGAGACTATGCCGGTCGTGGGAGGCGACTATGCCGGTCGTGGGAGGTGACTATGCTGGTCGTGGGAGGCGACTATGCCGGTCGTGGGAGGCAAATATGCCAGTGGTGGGAGGCGACTATGCCGGTCGTGGGAGGCGACTTTGCCGGTCGTGGGAGGCGACTATCCCGGTCGTGGGAGGCGACTATGCCAGTCGTAGTGGTGACTATGCCGATCATGGGAGGGGACTATGCTGGTCGTGGGAGGTGACTGCCGGTTGTGGGAGGCAAATATGCCGGTTGTGGGAGGCGACTATGCTGGTCCTGAGAGGTGACTATGTTGGTCATGAGAGGTGACTATGACGACTGATGCCACGTCCTTGCACCCAAACGGCTTGTGTGTTGCTCACAATATCGACCACTGGACTGCCTGGTCTAGACTCGATTTATTACAGGTGGCCGTCACATAGCTTGAATATTGCTGAGTATGACGTTAAAAAAAAGAAAAAAAAACCTACTGTAAACTATTATCTTGCAGTTAAATGCATATTTTTGCATGATGAACACAAAAGTTCGCATTTGGTAGAATAAATCCAATAATGGGGCTTTTCAGAATTCTGTTTTTCACTTCACATTTTTAGAGTCACTATTTAGAAAACCATTTTTTTTATTGAAATCTCCCTTTTGTGTGAATAAAGAAATACAGTTTGTTTGTTTGTTTGTTGTTTAACGCCGCACTCGGCAATATTCCAGCTATATGACGGCGGTATGTAAATAATCGAGTCTGGACCAGACAACCCAGTGATTAATATCGATCAACTCAATTGGGATCAATGACATGGATCAACCAAGTCAGCAAGTCTGACCACCCGATCCCGTTAGTCGCCTTTTACGACAAGCATTGTCGCCTTTTACGGCAAGCATGGGTTGCTGAAGACCTATTCTATCCCGGAATCTTCACGGGTCAATAAAGAAATACAGATACACATTTAGTGATACCGGAGATTCAAACACATATACGAGAGCTTTATCACGCAATGAATAAATAGGTACAATGTTTACAGTGTGATCCATGAGTTCCGTCATTACGAAAAGGGCAAATATTCAATTCCTGAATATTCTAAAATGTGTCCTGTCAAGACCTTTTGATCCCAGTCCAAACAAATCATATCAAGATGCTCCATCAGATTAGATCAGTTAGTCTCTGCTCCATGTATGAGTCAGGAGAAAGTGTCTATCATCACCTGGGCAGTTAGCCCTTGTGTCGTGGGACTGAAGAGTGATTCTACCACCTGCAACTGGAGGCAGCCGTGAATGAGTGAGTTGTGTTTAACGGCGCTTTTAACAGTATTCCAGTTATATTGCTGCATGTCAGCTTAATGTGGGAGGAAAGCCCGAAGTGATGCAGGTCTCAGACGTTTACCACTTCGGTGAAACCTACGAGCACGGGTATGGTGCTGACAAACCTAGAAACATAATCTGAGCGAACCGGGATTCGAACCCACAATCATAGGTTTCTGGCGTGCCCAAGGGACGCAACTCTGCACAGCGAATCGCGGCACCTTAGACGACTGGGCCACCCGTGCCCCTGTATTTAGTTTACTCCTGATGATAATTGTGGCTTTAGGCTGAGGTGCACTTAAAATAATGAGCTTAATGTTGATGTGGCTAGGTTTTTTCAACACCAGAAACCGGTTCGAATCCCGGTTCTCCCTGATAATGATTCTCTACTCTGTAAGCGAATCGCGGCGCCTTAGACGATTGGGCCACCCGTGCCCCCGGAGGCAGCAGTGAGTGGATAGATCAGTTTGTTTGTTTGAGTGCGGTGTTAAACAACAAACAAAACAAACAGCCATGGCCACAGCCACCACATACGCGCACGCCTTGTTGTGGTCACTTGACCCACCTGGGTGACGGTCAGCCAGCCGTGTGTGAGCACGTGGGACATTCTCGGCTCCAGTATTCCATGATTCATCTGCAGCAAAGTCAAGGCCGTCTCGTACCACGCGTCCTCCCTGGAAGGAGAGTTGGGATGAGACTAAGTGATGATGATGGAGGTACAAATGATATCAGTCCAGTCCCCACCTGATGCCCCTTTAAGTCAAGTCACCTCTTTAAACAAACAAGCACAGAGCTCCAGATAAGCTTTTGGGGTTGTGGGTATTTTACCCATGCATTTTAAAATCATTGGGTATCAGTAATTCTATTTGGGTATTCAAATTTCTGTTACCCACTAGTTTTCACATATGTGGGTATTTAAGTTAAATAATTAAAAACACTATCCATCTAGTCCCTGCAAACTGGAGTCGTGTGGGTTCGAGAGCTTTATAGGACTAAAAAATACCACGATACTTCCACAAGTAAGTGTGATGGCAAATGATCATGATGTAACTGTCATCGTGGAGTTTGGCAAGGTTGACGGAATGCTCGTTTATAATTTTCAAAATAAGTTGCTGATTTGCTAATCGAATACGCCGGGTTACTTCACAATATTTTGATGATACTCACAAGTTTTATTTTTGTAGCGTATCTGTAATGGTATTTGATACGCTTGGATTTTATTTTACTGCATATTTCTGCATTTCTGATGCGTATTTTACGCAGTTACGCAGCTTATCTGGAGCTCTGAAGCATGAGTTACAGGAGACAAAGTTAGACACAGTATCCTCATGGGAGAAGGGAAGACAATATAGTTCAGTGAGTAAAGCATAAAAATATTCATCAATATTATACAGAAATTTGGGTGTAAAATAGACAAACAAAACACTTTTTTTCCCATCAGATTAGATCAGTTAGTCTCTACTCCATGTGTGAGTCAGGAGAAAGTGTCTATCATCACCTGGGAGGGTCTATGTATGTCATTACAGGGCAGTATTCCAGTTATATCACGGCGTGTCAGCTTAATGTGGGAGGAAAGTCTGAAGGGATGCAGACGTTCACGACTTCGGTGAAACCCATGAGCACGGGTATGGTGCTCACAAACCTAGAAACATAATCGGGGCGAACCGGGATTCGAACCCACAATCATAGGTTTCTGGCGTGCCCAAGGGACGCAACTCTGCACAGCGAATCGTGGCACCTTAGACGACTGGGCCACCCGTGCCCCTGTATTTAGTTTACTCCTGATGATAATTGTGGCTTTAGGCTGAGGTGCACTTAAAATAATGAGCTTAATGTTGATGTGGCTAGGTTTTTTCAACACCAGAAACCTATGAATGTTGGTTCGAATCCCGGTTCTCCCTGATAATGTTTCTAGGTTTGTCAGCACCATACCCGTGCTCATGGGTTTCTCCAAAGTGGTAAACGTCTGAGAACTGGATCACTTTGGGCTTTCCTCCTACATTAAGCTCACATGCTGTGATATAACTGGAATACTGTTAAAGCGGTGTTAAACCTAACTCACTCACTCACTAATAAGAGCATGTATATAAGGTCTAATACACTGGAGTGAGTGAGTTTGGTTTTACGCCGCTTTTAGCAATATTCCAGCAATGCCATGGTGGGGGACACTGGAAAATGGGCTTCACACATTGTACCCATGTGGGGAATCAAACTCGAGTCTTAGGCATGACAAGCCAACGCGTTAACCACTAGGCTACCCCACCGCCCCCTAATACACTGGACATTCACGGTTGAAAACAGTGGACCGTGTTGAAAATGTCAAGGTCACATTTGCCTGATTCAGCCAAATCCTAGATGCCCATGGATAGAGTGAGTGAGTGAGTATGGTTTTACGCCGCTTTTAGCAATATTCCAGCAATATCACGGCGGGGGACACCAGGAATGGGCTTCACACATTGTACCCATGTCCGGATTTGAACCCGGGTCTTAGGCGTGAACGAGCAAACGCTTTAACCACTAGGCTACCCGAACTCCCCCCATGGATAGAACACTTACACCGGCATGGAGAGGAGGATTTCGGCCAGCTTCCTGTAGAACTTCAGCTGACTCCCCCCAGCCTCGTTGTCCCTGGCAACATTGTAGACATCAGCGTCCCTGACCTGCTTCAACATGGAGGATGCAGCCCGCATCACCTGCGGTGTCTCCAGCTGCCTACAGGGGGCAGCACTGTCCTCGCCTAAACCAATCAGATTGCAGAGATGCTGCAGCATCTTCTGACACAGGGTCTTGTCGTGCCTGGAAGACAAGGACAACTTCATCACCATGGTTACAGATTCGTTTGTGTCTATGGATTTTTTTAAATTAAATATTTTTTACTAATTAAAAAAAGTAGGGTTGTTGGGCAATATATAAAAAAAAAATTGGGTAAGAAAAAAATGTATACAAATTTCTAACATGCAACATGAATTCCTTCTTTTGAAAACATTCAAGAATATTTCATTTCATTCCACATTTGTGAAATTTGGGGACAGAATCAGAAACATGAAATAAATATAAAAACGTCATATTCCAATGTCATGGGATTTACTACCAGAGTCATAAAATTCAGGACGAAACTAACCACTGGTGGATGTGTGTGCAACATGTCATTTTGTTCATTAACATATAAACTTTGTCACATTTGTTTGTTTTTTAACACCACACACAGCAATATTCCAGCAATATGATGGTGGCTGTAAGGAAACTAGTATACCGTATTCCACGTAATAAGCGCCTCGCTCTAATAAGCGCCCATGGCGGTATTTGCTAATATATTGGCTAGTGAACAATCCCAATTAGCACCCCTTCCGATTGATCGATGTTCACAAGACTTATTTATTCGCGTACAATACGCACTCGTGTCTTATATGCATCCTTAATAATGGGCAATTAAATTCTAGAAAAATATATCTGTCGTACATAATCATTTCAGGCTGTCAGCATAAACCACAAAATTTATCTTTCAACCAAAATAATATTTTAATAAGAGCCCCCTTCACCAAAATAATATTCAAATAAGAGCCCCCTATTTCTAATTTTGAGAGCGCTCTGGACGCTTATTACGTCAAATACTGTAACTGGTACTGTGAGCAGTCGGGGTACGATGACACGCAATCAACCAATGTATTGAGTCAGACCACTCGATTCAGTTTCATTGACTGCAATACACACAAACTTATCTTTTTTCATGCTACATGTGTATGATACATGAAACGTTAACATCTGAAAGCTGAGCCATCAGTCTCGAACAACATTCTTAAGTATCAAACACTCAATAATCAATATAACTGTTTGTCTACCAAGTTATACTTAATCCTGTTTAAAATAGTTAAAGATCCAATATATGTCCCATCAGATTAGATCAGTTAGTCTCTATTCCATGTGTGAGTCAGGAGAAAGTGTCTATCATCACCTGGGACACACAAACTGAAGTCCCCACCCCCCCTAGTTCCATGGACAGACTGATGTCCCCACCCCCCTAGTTCCAGGGACAGACTGATGTCCCCACCCCCCTAGTTCCAGGGACAGACTGATGTCCCCACCCCCCTAGTTCCAGGGACAGACTGATGTCCCAACCCCCCCTAGTTCCAGGGATAGACTGATGTCCCCACCCCCCTAGTTCCAGGGACAGACTGATGTCCCCTCCCCCCTAGTTCCAGGGATAGACTGATGTCCCCTCCCCCCTAGTTCCATGGACAGACTGATGTCCCCTCCCCCCTAGTTCCATGGACAGACTGATGTCCCCACCCCCCTAGTTCCAGGGACAGACTGATGTCCCCACCCCCCTAGTTCCAGGGACAGACTGATGTCCCCACCCCCCTAGTTCCAGGGACAGACTGATGTCCCAACCCCCCCTAGTTCCAGGGATAGACTGATGTCCCCACCCCCCTAGTTCCAGGGACAGACTGATGTCCCCTCCCCCCTAGTTCCAGGGATAGACTGATGTCCCCTCCCCCCTAGTTCCATGGACAGACTGATGTCCCCTCCCCCCTAGTTCCATGGACAGACTGATGTCCCCACCCCCCTAGTTCCAGGGACAGACTGATGTCCCCACCCCCCTAGTTCCAAGGACAGACTGATCCCCCCCCCCACTAGTTACAGGGTCTGATACTCACACATTGAGGAAGGCTGCCAGGAACCGTGGCAGGAATCCTGAAACAACTGCAGACCACTGACACGACACTTTCACTAGGTTCTCTGGCGTCTGAAATAATACACACATTAAAGTTTCATAATGTATTCTTCAAAATCCGTTTAAAAATTTCCTAAAAAAAATCCCATTGGCTCAAATTTAAAGGCAACAGAAAAGACGAAATGAACCTTGATGTCAATTTAACATGAATACCTCACTCAGACACAGTATACTGACTCCGAGCCAACCAGTCCTTGTTTTAGCCTCTTAATGCCGAGCGCCAGACAGGGTAGCAACAAGAACCATCTTTTAACGTCTTTTGGTATGACGCGGCCAGGGATCGACCCTGGACCTTCCGCTCTCCGGGCGGACGCTCTACCACTAGACCACGGAGGCGGTTCAGGTGAGACAAGTGAGTGAATATGGTTTTACGCCGCGTTTAGCAATGTTCAAGCAATATCACGGCGGGGGACACCAGAAATGGGCTTCACACATTGTACCCATGTCGGGAATCGAACCCGGGTCTTCGGCATGACGAGTGAACGCTTTAACCACTAGGCTACCCAACCGCCCCTCAGTTGAGACAAAAAACAGCAACCCTTCAAATAGGATCTCTGTCAATATTTGCCTACCTTTCCCTGTAACAGGTTTTTCAATGTGCCAAACAGATTTTCTAGTGGTCTGCAACCTTCACTGCCAGTTTTGTCACCTCCCTTCCCAGCATTCAGGTATCTGCGGTACATTTCTCTGTGAGAGCTGCAATTAATGGTGAAGAAAGTCAATGGCTGATGGATATTTGTACCCATCAAAGTGCTATTTATATATAAATGCAGTAATGTGTTTGTCTGCAGGGTTTGCTGACCTCACTAGCATGAAACACATCATATTCTGACCTCACTAGCATGATACATATCGTATTCTGATCTCAATAGCAAGATAATATCATATGCTTTACTAGCGTGCGACACATCATATTGCCCTCTCTTGCATGTTAAACATCATATTCTGACCTCACTAGCATGATAAAGTTCACATTCTGATCTCAAAAGCAATATACACAAAGTATTCTGACCCTATTAGCGTGATACACATCATATTCTGACCTCACTACAGAGGTCGATTTAACTGCTGGCCTGTTGGCCCATGGCCAGTTGAAATTACAAAGGGCTTGCCAAAACAAAGTAGATGGCCCATCTGGCTTGTCAAAATTTCACCCCTTCTCTGTGTATATTTAATTTTTGTGGTCACCACCATTTAGTTGTAGGCCAGTTAGTTTGGAGAAGGGCCAGTATCTTTTAATATGAGCAAACCCTCCTGGCTACAGACCCGTGAAGAATAGGTCTTCAGCAACCCATGCTTGCCGTAAAAGGCGACTATGCTTGTCGTAAAAGGTGACTAACAGGATTGGGTGGTCAGGCTCGCTGACTTGGTTGATGCATGTCATTGATCCCAATTGCGTGGATCGATGCTCATGATATCAATCACTGGATTGTCTGGTCCAGACTTGATTAAGTACAGACCGCCGTCATATAGCTGGAATATTGCTGAGTGCGGCGTTAAACAACAAACCAATCAACCAACCCTCTTGGCTACATACAAATTTGTTACCCCTTCACTAGCATCATACATCTCAGATGGTCCCTGCACTACTCATAACCATCGACCACCGTTCTAGTTCTCAAGCATGTTGCGCATTTTGCACTGAATTCCATACTGGAAGTTTCAAGGACACATTCACCTCCCACGGGTTATATTTGTTTTATTGGTTATATCTGCAACTCTGCCACTACCTGTTGAAGAGGGCTGTAAAGAGGCACTGGTGTAGGTCTTCTTGGAGGGATTTGGTGGAGGAGTCATCACCACGGCAACCAGTTACTTGATGGCAGAAAAGCATCAATGGAACCAACAATTTGTCAATTGTTGTCTGCAATACCTGTGATGAGAAAAAGGGGGCTTGTCATGACATACAGTTACTCTAAGCTTAATTAATTCAATGAATCCCGGTCATGATGTACTCTTACGGTTAATTAATTCAATGAATCCCGGTCATGACGTATTCTAAGCTTAATTAATTCAATGAATCCCGGTCATGACGTACTCTAAGCTTAATTAATTCAATGAATCCCGGTCATGACATACTCTTAGCTTAATTAATTCAATGAATCCCGGTCATGACGTACTCTAAGCTTAATTAATTCAATGAATCCCGGTCATGACGTACTCTAAGCTGAATTAATTCAATGAATCCCGGTACCAAGTAGGTATAGATGGTGATTTTCTAGTTTGAAACAAAACATTGTGACTGAGTGAAGAAAAAAATAAACAGTCTGAGCTTTCATTGTACATGATATCTGGACACAAATGTGTTAAAATTTACATTCAGGGTGGTTGTGTTGTCTGTTGGTATATGCTGGTATGACTTGGATGGAATACAGGGTGATTGTGGGGACTCACCTGTCTGTGATTGTGGTGTGCGGCCTGGGCTGTGATATATGCTGGTATGACATGGGTGGAATACAGGGTGCTTGTGGGGACTCACCTGTCTGTGATTGTGGTGAGCGGCCTCAGCCGTGGTATATGCTGGTATGACATGGGCCAGGATGGAATACAGGGTGGTTGTGGGGACTCACCTGTCTGTGATTGTGGTGAGCGGCCTGGGCTGCGGTATATGCTGGTATGACATGGTCCAGGATGGAATACAGGGTGGTTGTGGGGACTCACCTGTCTGTGATTGTGGTGAGCGGCCTGGGCTGCGGTATATGCTGGTATGACATGGTCCAGGATGGAATACAGGGTGGTTGTGTCTCCGTTATCCTCCAGTGCACACAGCTGGCACACACTGCACAAGAGGCTGGCCTGAACAAGAAATATACATGTCATACTCTTTAGTGAGTGAGTGAGTTGGGTTTAATGCCGCTTTTAAGATTATTCCAGTTATATCACGGCGTGTCAGCTTAATGTGGGAGGAAAACCCGAAGTGATGCAGGTCTCCGACGTTTACCACTTCAGTGAAACCCACGAGCACGGGTATGCTGCTGACAAACCTAGAAACATAATTGGGGCGAACCGGGATTCGAACCCACAATCATAGGTTTCTGGCGTGCCCAAGGGACGCAACTCTACACAGCGAATCGCGGCGCCTTAGACGACTGGGCCACCCGTTCGCCCTACTCGTTAGTACTAGAGGTTAATAGTCTCCTGGGGTTCATAGAACAAAACACAATATTCATGATACATATATATATTTTCCGTAAACACCCGTACCGAGTGGGTTATTCTATTTATTACCCATATTCATATTAAAGAAGTTTCAGGGAAAAAAAAACTGTTGCCGATCAAAAATCAGCTATTTTGTATGAATCTGCATGTGAAAATACACTGCCCACTCACTCCAATCGCATTACTCAGTTAACGTGTTGTTACATGTGGAAAATATTGTTCTGTTAAAAAACTTTAGAGAACACATTATTACAGTCATATTTTTGTCTGATTTACACAGCGTACACTATCTAGCATCGATAATAGAAGACAAGTCTAAAAAAGGGTTCCTCAGGTTTTTTAATCAAGGTTTGTTTTGACAAGATCTCGTCACAGACAGTCAAAGCTGCCGTGCACCATAGCAGAGACATGCATTTCACACCACTGAGAACAGGAAACATGGAAAACTCTGTCAGCTAAAGTTCATTTCAAGGTGTCAATAGTGGTACTAGGTAGTGGTTGCTGTAAATAATGGTGAGCTGTGTCATCTACTGATCACTTCACACAAAATTTCCCCAAAATTAATTTAAACAATATTGAATGAAATTTTGACTAAAATTGATAAAATTACAACGGTAAGTCCAGGCATAGAATGAACACTTTATAACCAGATAAAGTAACAACAGGATTACTGAAACCTACGTTATCAACACACCACAAAACTAAAATAATAGTCACTTCCCGTAATACAACGTCACCAGAAAGTCTATAAACTATTCATTATATAATCAAAAGAAATAGAAGTAAATGCACCAACAGGAAGTGACGTCAGCAGAAGGAACGTATTTCTTCTGCTGATAATTATTATTTTTGTGGTGTGTACTAACTACTGATTAATTGCGTACTTCAGTACAGATTTGTTGACATGGTTTTTCCGGAAGTGTCCGGTGTTACGTGTTCATGGTAATGTCTACTAGTTGGGGAGTGAGTGAGTTGGGTTTTAACGCCGCTTTTAACAGTATTCCAGTTATATCACGGCGTGTCAGCTTGATGTGGGAGGGAAGCCCCAAGTGATGCAGGTCTCAGACGTTTACCACTTCAGTGAAACCCACGAGCACGGGTTTGGTGCTGACAAACCTAGAAACATAATCAGGCGAACCGGGATTCGAACCCACCATCATAGGTTTCAGGGGTGCCAAAGGGACGCAACTCTGCACAGCGAATCCATGCCCCCTACCAGTTGGGAAAAAACCATCATTATCATTTTATGGCTTTAATTATGAAAACCCCCTCCCCTCAGCTGTGTATTTTGGAAATAGGGTGTGCACCATGTCGGGAAACAAACCCAGGCCTTTAGCATGACAAATGAGCACTTTATCCACGAGGCTACCCAACCTACCCCAAATAAGGCTGAATACTTACCAGGGTGTCATACTTGGCTGTGAGGATGTACGACAGGTGGGTGGAGGTGACGACGACGTGACAACTACCCACCACGTGTCTCATCAGCTGCTTGTCCCCGGGCTGCAGCACGCATCGCTGGAGAGCATCCACGATCACCTGGGACGGAGGAGGGTTTAATTGATTCAAAGGTGTGGTGCAATTGGGTTTAGTGAGTGAGTGAGTGAGTATGGGTTTACACCGCTTTTAGCAATATTCCAGGAATATCACGGCGGCGTGAGTGAGTGAGTATGGTTTTACACCACTTTTAGCAATATTCCAGCAATATCACGGCTGGGGGCACCAGAAATGGGCTTCACACATTGTACCCATGTCGGGAATCGAACCCAGGTCTTTGACGTGATGAGCAAACGTCTTACCACTCGGCTACTCTACCACCCCCAAATGTTGAATGAGGGATTTGGGTAAAACAATGCTTTAGACAGTATTCCAACCCAGAATCTCTGCAGGGATCACTCACCTGTCCGAGAGAAGGTTTGACCAGGATGCTTTTCCCACCCTCCTCTGAACATCCCCGGCTGTGGAGGATGCTGTACAGACATTGCCACACCCACGCAACATCGTCATCCGTGATCTGGTACCTGGCGCAAAAATAGGTACAATGTTCAGTGAAAACTTGTTAACTTCAATCTCTCAACATATAGTGAGTGATTTTTGTTTGTTTGTTGTTTAACGCCGCACTCAGCAATATTACAGCTACATGACGGCGGTCTGTAAAATATTCGAGTCTGGACCAGACAATCCAGTGATTAATATCATGAGCATCGATCTACGCAATTGGGATCAATGACATGCATCAACCAAGTCAGCGGGCATGACCACCCGATCCCGTTAGTCGCCTTTTACAACAAGCATAGTCACCTTTTACGGCTAGTATAGTGAGTGAGTTAGTTGGGTGGGTGTAATGCAGCTTTGAACAGTATTCTACATGTTCTAGTTATCTCCTGGCATGTCAACTTAATGTAGGAGGATCACCTGAAGTGATGCAGGTGTTATACGTTTACCTCTTTGGTGCTGACAAACCTAGAAACAATCAGGGCCAATCAGGAATTGAACCCATAATAACATGGGTCTTCCGCAACCCATGGTTGTCGTAAGAGGCGACTAACTGGACAAGCTGGTCAGGCTTGCTGACTTGGTTGATGCATGTCATTGTATCCAATTGCATGGATCGATGCTCATGACATCAATCCCTGGATTGTCAAGTCCAGACTTGATTATTTACAGACTGCGGTCATATAGCTGCATGTGGCGTCAAACAACAAACAAGGTGGTGAGGTGAAAATGGGGTTTAACGTCGCGTCCAAGATTATTGCACTTATATAGCGACGTGCATGCACGTGTGTGGCTGCTTGTACTAGTCCGGACTGATGCCAATTTATAGTGCTAGCACACTGAGATACCATACCGCAGTTTAACATGAATTCCCCACTCAGACACAGTGTACTGACTCCGAGCCGACCAGTCCTTGTTTTAGCCCCTTAATGCTGATCGCCAGACAGGGTAACAACAAGTACCATCTTTTAACGTCTTTTGGTATGACGCGGCTGGGGATCGAACCCTGGACCTTCCGCTCTCCGGGCGGACGCTCTACCACTTGACCACGGAGGCTAAACAAACAAACAAACCAAACTAGAACACAGTTAGGGCTAGAGCGGGATTTGACCCCACAACCATGTATTTCTTGCCTGAGGTACAACTCTGCACCGCGGCTCATGGTGCCTGAGACAACTGGGTCTCCCATGGCCCTTAATCTATGTGTGACTTGTAGCTATTGTAAATTCTTGAATCTCCTGGGCTAGAGTGAGTGAGTATGGTTTTACGCCGCTTTTAGCAATATTCCAGCAATATCACGGCGGGGGACACCAGAAAATGGGCTTCAACATTGTATCCGAGTCTTCGGCGTGATGAGCCAACGCTTGAACCACTAGGCTACCCCACTGCCCTCCTGGGCTAGAGTGAGTGAGTGAGTATGGTTTTACGCCGCTTTTAGCAATATTCCAGCAATATCATGGCGGGGGACACCAGAAATGGGATTCACACATTGTACCTATGTCGGGAATTGAACCCGGGTCTTCGGCGTGACGAGCGAACGCTTTAACCACTAGGCTACCAGACCACCCTCCTGGGCTAGATATGACTGAAAGGTATCTCACTTCTTCCTGTTGACGATAAGCCCAGCCACCACATCGATAAGGACGGAGTGCTTGTTGGGGATGTAGACAAGGTTGGAGCACCAGGCGAAGTGAACAAGTTTCAGGCGGTCTTGCAGTCTGCAGGTCTTGTCCTTGATTTTGTTGAACAAACCTGAAAATAAAATTATTTTTTTTGTTAAACGCACTTAGCAATATTCAAGCTATATGAGGGCTGTCTGTAAATAATGAAGTCGGGACCAGGCAATCCAGTGACCTAGGGTAGCTGTACTCTTCTTCTTACTCGGAATCTTCAAATTACTCATTACTCATTCAAGATATTTATATATGCAGTGACAGAAATCCAAGGGGCGTCATTCAGTTTAGCTCCTATAAATATTTCAATCTGGGCACCATCAAAATATTAAAATCAGCCTTTTTATAATACATGGACCCCCTTGACTTTCATGCTTAATTTTGAACACTGATATGCTTTTTTTTCAAAACTAATTACAATTTTACCACAAACAAAATCAGTCTTTAATGCTCCCATTCTCTAACAAAATGTCAAATTTTCCCTTGAGTCAAAGACGAATCTCAAAATTTAAGCGAAAATTTTTCCAACGTTGTGAACTAAAAACCATTTTTATTCAGGATAAGAGCGATTGCTGTCTAATCCACTACTAAATGCAACTCTCACAATAACACATGATGTTACCGTGTGTGCAGTTTGTGTTGAAAGGAATCCAATTTAAAAATAATAAGTTAAAATACAAAATACGTGTCCGCGGTGAAACATGTCATTTACACATCATGTTACAAGAATTAACTATCACAAGAGTGAGTTTGCAACTGATCATCTAGAAAGGGAAAGGAAGTATGCATAATCTGTATCTAAACATTATATTCCCTAAATATACCATGCAGTTGCTTGGTCCACGTGGGACACGTGTTTGGTTGGTCATTCTTTAAAAACATGTTATTCTATCGATTAAGTGAATCTGACGTCTCAAAATCGATGAAAGTAGAAGCGTCAACGTTACAAAATTTGAACTGGATATGTAAAATAGATATTTTGAAACCATGTGCCTAAATATATATGAAGATTTCAGATCTAGCCCCGTACCTGTGTAGGACGCCATATTGGAAGGGTTATTCATTTAGAGTTACATCCCCTGAATCGGTGACCTCGCGGTCTCCACGCCTAAATAAGTATGCACACTTTATCAAAGGAGAGGCCCAGCATGATTAACTTAAAACTAATATAAGTCCACATAAAAAAACCCTTCAAACTGATAAAACTTATTGTCTATTAAATTTTCATTAATATTGCACGCAGTGTTTCTAAAATTAGGGAATTGGTTCTGTTAAACCACAGGACCATTTAACTAATAATAACAATAAATAAAAAATCATTGGCCTCGTCTGCGAGTTTTTTTTGTTGCTATTATTAGTTACATGGTCCTGTGGTTAAACCTTGTATGTTGAAGGTTTCATTAAACAATTCAATTTTTTGGCACACTGTATCTGATTTTCTCTGCAAATGAAAAACGGAATTGGTCCTCTTTTGTGAGAAAGGATGTATAACCAAAGCTTCACGAGGAATAAAAGCCTAGTTGGGGTAGCCCAGTGGTTAAAGCGTTCGCTCGTCACGCCGAAGACCCGGGTTCGAATCCCCACCTGGGTACATTGTGTGAAGCCCATTTCTGGTGTCCCCCGTCGTGATATTGATGGAACATTGCTAAAAGTTGCGTAAAACCATATTCACTCACTCAAAACGGTAGAACGATCAATAACTTTCAGATACTTGTACATGTGCATTTTAGCGATTCTCAATGCTGATTGGTCATTTGAAGCGATGTGACGTCACAGTCCTTCTTTGTAGAGAGAAAATGCGATATGACGTCATCCATTGTTCAAGCTGTCATAATTAAATTTTCGTTGTGTTCATGGAAATTCCTGCATTCTGATTAGCTGAATTGGTCACGTGTTATTGCATTCATTTCCCAATGAATGTAAAAAATTAAGCCACGCCCACCGCGGCGCACTACTTTTATTACTTCGGAATGTCGGGGAATCCGAATATTACAGTCGAGGGAATTCCCTTTCTGCTCATGTGTATCGTCATGCACAGGACATTTAGCGACTTTCATGCATATTCATTGTCCAAACTACCCTTTGAAACCGAAGGCCGAGAATGAATGAAACAGCAAACGTGCAGGCTCGCTCGCCTGTTTTTTTCTCGCTCGCCCCGGTTCAACTTTCATGTCTTCGGGTTTCATTTATAACTAGCATTTCTCCAACTGTGATTTACCGTAATCAGGGAAGTAATGTTTGAATCACGCAGTAAATGACCATGTTATTTGAAACTGCCGCCTTCTCTCGGACATATTTCTTCCGGTTCGTTACAGTCTGACTGTTGCAGTTCTTTTCGCCTCTTGCCTTAATTGACAGGTCAAATGAACATTGTTTAAATCCCACTCTCCGTTGATTGGCTACTGACTGTGTAGGCGTGTCAAGTTATGTGCATAAATTAAACGATCACCTGATTCATGTCACGCCACTGTATGTATTCCTACACCTGGAATGTTTATCAATCTCGTCATTTTTGTCTGTTTTGATATATGCAACTGTTTTGGGTTAAACTATTGTAGATAAAACATGTTTTACGTTGTCGAATTTAATTATAAGCATTGACTGTGTATTTTTTTCGGTTCATTGAGGTATGAATCGAAAAGCCGATGTGCAAACTTTTGTAAGAATCCGCTACATATCGGCTTTTCGATTCATACCTCAATGAACCGAAAAAAATACACAGTCAATCCTTAAATAATTAAATTTTCGTTGTGTTCATTGAAATTCCTGTATTCTGATTAGCTGAATTGGTCACGTGTTATTGCATTCATTTCCCAATGAATGTAAAAAATTAAGCCACGCCCACCGCGGCGCACTACTTTTATTACTTCGGAATGTCGGGGAATCCGAATATTACAGTCGAGGGAATTCCCTTTCTGCTCATGTGTATCGTCATGCACAGGACATTTAGCGACTTTCATGCATATTCATTGTCCAAACTACCCTTTGAAACCGAAGGCCGAGAATGAATGAAACAGCAAACGTGCAGGCTCGCTCGCCTGTTTTTTTCTCGCTCGCCCCGGTTCAACTTTCATGTCTTCGGGTTTCATTTATAACTAGCATTTCTCCAACTGTGATTTACCGTAATCAGGGAAGTAATGTTTGAATCACGCAGTAAATGACCATGTTATTTGAAACTGCCGCCTTCTCTCGGACATATTTCTTCCGGTTCGTTACAGTCTGACTGTTGCAGTTCTTTTCGCCTCTTGCCTTAATTGACAGGTCAAATGAACATTGTTTAAATCCCACTCTCCGTTGATTGGCTACTGACTGTGTAGGCGTGTCAAGTTATGTGCATAAATTAAACGATCACCTGATTCATGTCACGCCACTGTATGTATTCCTACACCTGGAATGTTTATCAATCTCGTCATTTTTGTCTGTTTTGATATATGCAACTGTTTTGGGTTAAACTATTGTAGATAAAACATGTTTTACGTTGTCGAATTTAATTATAAGCATTGACTGTGTATTTTTTTCGGTTCATTGAGGTATGAATCGAAAAGCCGATGTGCAAACTTTTGTAAGAATCCGCTACATATCGGCTTTTCGATTCATACCTCAATGAACCGAAAAAAATACACAGTCAATCCTTAAATAATTAAATTTTCGTTGTGTTCATTGAAATTCCTGTATTCTGATTAGCTGAATTGGTCACGTGTTATTGCATTCATTTCCCAATGAATGTAAAAAATTAAGCCACGCCCACCGAGGCGCACTACTTTTTATGTCGGGGAATCCCAATATTACAGCCGAGGGAATTCCCTTTCTGCTCACGTGTATCGTCATGCACAGGACATTTAGCGACTTTCATGCATATTCATTGTCCAAACAAACCTTTGAAACCGAAGGCCGAGAATGAATGAAACAGCAAACGTGCAGGCTCGCTCACCTGTTTTTTTCCCGCTCGCCTCGGTTCCACAACTTTCATGTCTTCGGGTTTCCTTTCTAACTAACATTTTTCCAACTGTGTTTTACCGTAATCTGGGAAGTAATGTTTGAATCTGGCGGTAACTGACCATGTAATTTGAAACAGCCGCCTTCTCCCGGACATATTTCTTCCAGTTCGTTACAGTCTGACTGTTGCAGTTCTTTTCGCCTCTTGTCTTAACTGACAGGTCCAATGAACATTGTTTTGATCTGCTCTCCGTTGATTGGCTACTCACAGTGAAGGCGTGTCAATTTATGTGCATGAATTAAACAATCACCTGATTCATGTCACGCCACAGTATGTGTTCCTACACCTGGAATGTTTATCAACGTCGTAATTTGTGTCTGTTTTTATATATACAACTGTTTTTGGTTAAACTATTGTAGATAAAACATGTTTTATGATGTCGAATTTAATTATAAGCATTGACTGTGTATTTTTTTCGGTTCATTGAGGTATGAATCGAAAAACCAATGTGCAAACTTTTGTAATAATCCGCTACGCGGATTCATACAGTTTGCACATTGGTTTTTCGATTCATACCTCAATGAACCGAAAAAAATACACAGTCAATCCTTAAATAAATGATTACAGGGTTACGTCATATGGATAAAAGGCTGCCTTCAGTGAAGTTTCATCCCTCACGCGGAAAAGATAATCATCCACGCTAACATCGTTTAACACTTCGTCAACCATATTGGGACAGCGTGCATTCTACAGATAGTTACAACTATCACAAATTGTGCTTATAATCTCTGTTGACTAAAATCTCTAATTTAAGGAACACGGGTGGCCCAGTCGTCTAAGGCGCCGCGATTCGCTGTGCAGAGTTGCGTCCCGTGGACATGCCACAAACCTATGATTGTGGGTTCGAATCCCGGTTCGCCCTGATTATGTTTCTAGGTTTGTCAGCACCATACCCGTGCTCGTGAGTTTCACCGAAGTGGTAAACGTCTGAGAGCTGCATCACTTTGGGCTTTCTTCCCACATTAAACTGACACGCCGTGATATGACTGGAATACTGTTAAAAGCGGCGTTAAACCGAACTCACTCACTCTAATTTAAAGATCTCTAAAAGATGTGCGATTGAGATTCCCGGATTCCCGCATTTACTGGAAACAGGCAAGGCACGAGTTACTGTTATTCGTTTAAGATTTGGTACACATTTCAGATTGACGTGGAAGTGTCATGATGGTGCTTTGCGCTTTTATCAGCAATATCCCTCTGGTCTGATGTTACACTAAGTCAGCCAGGCCACCAAAAGCCTTTTCTCCATATCCGCCTTTTCTTCACTTCTGGGGCGGTCGGGTAGCCTACTGGTTAAAGCCTTCGCTCGTCACGCCGAAGATTCCCCACATTGGGACAACGTGTGAAGCCCATTTCTGGTGTCCCCCGCCGTGATATTGCTGGAATATTGCCAAAAGCGGCGTAAAACCATATTCACTCACTCACTCACTTCACCACAAAGTGGCTTACCCGATACAAAACACCGTTGTCCTTCACATTAATCTAATCTATATAGGACATCTGAATTAGGCTAGATTACAATGTGTCAAGGTCAAGGTTGTTCTGGATCCTGAAAAGGGATTAAAACGATTTAGAGTGAGTGAGTGAGTTGGGTTTAACGCCGCTTTTAACAGTATTACAGTTATATCGCGGCGTGTCAGCTTAATGTGGGAGGAAAGCCCGAAGTGATGCAGGTCTTAGACGTTTACCACTTCGGTGAAACCCACGAGCACGGGTATGCTGCTGACAAACCTAGAAACATAATTGGGGCGAACCGGGATTCGAACCCACAATCATAGGTTTCTGGCGTGCCCAAGGGACGCAACCCTACACAGCGAATCGCGGCGCCTTAGACGACTTGACCACCCGTGCCCCATTTTGATAGTTATCAAGGTAACTTATGGACTGAGTTGGATATTTAATCTAATTTAAGCAATATGTTAAGAAGATCAAGGCAACAATCTCATCCATAATACTGTGTGTACACATCTATAGAGAAAACTGATCCCCATGTCGAGACGGGCGCTTTAGCTCTCCTGGTAGCATATCAGATTTTTTGTTTGTTTGTTGTTTAACGCCGCACTCAGCAGTATTCCAGCTATATGACGGCGGTCTGTAAATAATCGAGTCTGGACCAGACAATCCAGTGATTGGCATCATGAGCATCCATCTACGCAATTGGAATGCGATGACATGCATCAACCAAGTCAGCGAGCCTGCCCACCCGATCCCGTTAGTCGCCTCTTTCGACGAGCATTGTCGCCTTTTACGGCAAGTATGGGTTGCTGAAGACCTATTCTACCCCGGATCTTAACGGGTCGGTAGCGTATCAGAGACGTTGCAGATGTGTTACTTTCCGCAAATATAAGTCCCAAAGCTCCACACAGCGACGTTTGATTGCACAATCAGCGGAGTCGTCTAAGGGGCTAAGATTCTCTTGGCTTATTAGGCCGCTGGAAACCTTGGACCATGTGTTCATATCTCAGAGTCGCCCTGATAATGTTTCTAGGTTTGCTAGCACCATACTTCTGCCTGTGATAAACGTCTGAGACCTGCATCACTTCGGGCTGGCCTCCCACATCAAGTTATATAACTAGCATAGCCACGGACCTATCCTTTTACGGCAAGAATGGGTTGCTGAAGGACTATTCTAACCCGGATCTTCACGGGTCTCCAGCATTAAAAGGGAGGGGTCCAAAGTATCAAAAAGGGAGGGGTCCAAAATAACAAAATCCTCTCTCAGATACTTTTACTGCCTTCAACATACTACATTTGGTTTTCAAAAAGTGGGTGGTGGTGGTGGACCGAACCCTCTCTCGTTCATCTTCCCGAGGCAAGTGAGTTAACTGACTATAAAAGTCCAGTTTCCACCCTTGCCGAACTAGGCTGGTATTATGGAGTTACATTTAGGCTGGACTAACGAGTCTATGCATAGTCCAATCAAAATCTTGCACCAAAATCGAAATCCGGTTCGTAAAGTGTCATGAAAATTTCGGTCGACTGCAGGATTTGTAAAGCATGTGCACCGCTAACTAGTTGTCAACAGATATTTTCTAAAGCTTTTCATGCTTTTAATCAAGGTGCTCACGTGATTTAATTCATTTCGCGATGTAAGACTCGTTTTATCACAATATAGATCTTGATTATCAATCAGATCGTCTTGACTGGGCGCCACCGTTTTGTTTGAAGCAAATGCAAGTGATACGAGAGGTTGAATCTGATTGGTCAATAGGAGAGGCATAGAAAGGACATAACCCGTAATAGCCACTGGTGGCGCTACGATCGAGCCCAGTAATTCCAGCCTAGTTCGGCAAGGATGGAAACTGGACTCAGTCAACTCCCTTGCCTCAGGAAGATGATCTATGCCAAGAATATACAATAGAAATGTTTAAGCCGATACATCAACACCACCCACCTACCCACCACCACCGTCACTGCCACATTGGGCCCGTGAACATCCGGGGTAGAATAGGTCTTCAGCAACCCATGCTTGCCGTAAAAGGCGACTATGCTTGTCGTAAAAGGCGACTAACGGGATCGGGTGGTCAGGCTCGCTGACTTGGTTGATGCATGTCATTGATCCCAATTGCGTGGAACGATGCTCATGGTATCAATCACTGGATTGTCTGGTCCAGACTGGATTATTTACAGACCGCCGTCATATAGCTGGAATATTGCTGAGTGCGGCGTTAAACAACAAACCAACCAACCAATCCTTATAGTTACATGGTGTGTATGCATTCGGAACAAACCAGTGGCACTCAACAAAACTCACTCGTATTTGAAAAACATATTTTGTTAGTTTTAATTATATTTATTTGGCAAATGGGAACTTGTTTCGGTGTACCTGTTATTCAGCCAGTACCACATATACAGGGAGTGATATAACTGTTCTTGGCCCTGAACACGCACAAATAACCATATTAACACAACTCTGAAGTACACACAGTGTCGCCTTTCAGACGCTCTGTTCATCACGTGACATCCGTCAGGCTCCATAGCCCTTTTGCTGCAGCCCACTTAGTATCTGTTTGCGGGTCAGAGGCAGATTACATACATCAAATATCAGACATTAAAAACTCCCCGCCAAACTGATGTAACGCACGATATGCGTACATTGCACTTATGTATCGCGTTTTAATGTATCTAACCTAGGGGGCATGGGTGGCCCAGTCGCTGTGCAGAGTTGCGTCCCTTGGACACGCCAAAAACCTATGATTGTGGGTTCGAATCCCGGTTCGCCCCGATTATGTTTCTAGGTTTGTCAGCACCATACCCGTGCTCGTGGGTTTCACTGAAGTGGTAAACGTCTGAGACCTGCATCACTTCGGGCTTTCCTCCCACATTAAGCTGACACGCCGTGATATAACTGGAATAATGTTAAAAGCGACGTTAAACCTAACTCACTCACTCACTCACTGTATCTTACCTGGACACCGTTCCACAAAGCGATCCTAGCTACGACTATCGTAAGCCAGTGTTAAAAGTATGGGAGTTACGACCATCTTAGCGCTAAGATTGCTTTGTGGAACGGGGCCTTTGACGACTTGTCCTAAGGCATATGACCCGTGAAGATTCCGGGGTAGAATAGGTCTTCAGCAACCCATACTTGCCGTAAAAGGTGACTATGCTTGTCGTAAAAGGCGACTAACGGGATCGGGTGGTCAGGCTCGCTGACTTGGTTGATGCATGTCATCAATCCCAATTGCATGGATCGATGATATTAATCACTGGGTTGTCTTGTCCAGACTCGATTAGTTACAGACCGCCTTCATATAGCTGGAATATTGCTGAGTGCGGCGTTAAACAACAAACCAACCAACCAACCTAAGACATGTTTTATACATTGTCCTACAAACGTGAAGATCCGGGTTAGAATTGGTCTACAGCAACTCAAGCTTGTCGTAAGAGGTGACTTACGGCTTTACTGACTTGGTTGATGATGTCATCTTATCCCAATTCCGTATATTGGTGCTCATGATGTTAATCACTGGATTGCCTGGTCCAGACTCGATTATTTACAGACCGCTAAAAAACAACGCTTAGACAAGGTCGTCTCATTACATTTATTGCACTACGCCATGGGTCCAAATCTGCTCCTGTTATCAACAGAGAATTCCGTTGAAAACAGGGAGGCGAATTTCAACAGCTACCGTGAAAACCTCCTCTATGCAGCCCGCCTGAAATCAAGGCATCCTGTGAGTGAGTGGGTGAGTATGGTTTTACGCCGCTTTTAGCAATATTCCAGCAATATCACGTTGGGGGACACCAGAAATGGGCTTCACACATTGTACCCATGTCGGGATTCGAACCCGGGTCTTCGGCGTGACGAGCAACCGCTTTAACCACTAGGCTACCCCACCGCTCAGGCATCCTGTGAAGCATTTTACCCTAACAGCTTACCACAGGCGGCAAAGATTGGGATGGACTGTGTGTCAATCGCATTACACCATGTTTACAGACGAATCAAGGTTTTGCCTTCGATTCACAGATAAGATGGCAGAAAACTTTGTTGGCGACGTAACGGCGAGCGGTATGGAAGTTTTGACCATGATCGGTATGGGGTCGGTAGTGTCATGCTGGGGGCGGTATCACACATGACAGGCGAACTTATTTGATTATTGTGAATGGACATTTGACTGACCAGCGTTATGTTAACGTAAGTATGCGCCCTGTCGTTTTTGCCATTCTCTAATGAATTATCTGCAGAAACTTTGAATTACAAGATGACATTGCCAGATCACATCGTGCCCAGATCGTCACCGATCAGCTGCGACGAGGACCGACCCTGTGTCTGGTCAATACAATAGTGGTTATCTTGTATATTCCGTGAAAACGTAGGTTATAACTCTCGATACTGTCTGGTCAATACAATAGTGGTTATCTTGTATATTCCGGGAGAACGTAGGTTATAACTCTCACTACAGTTTATAATCACTGATAACTACGTACAATAGGGGTTATCTTGTATATACCGGGAGAATGTGAGCTATAACTCTACTGTCTATAATCGCTGACTGGTTAATACATTGGTCATATGTCCACATATGTCCATACTGTGGACTAGAACTAGAATTGATAACTAGCCAGGGAGGGAGGGTGTGGCACGTGGTCTCACTTGTTCCCTGGTGCCTCGGAGAATCTCAATCAAACTTCAACTTCCAAGTTTCGTTTATACCCATACAAACTAGGCCATCTATAAGCCATTCCAGAATGTTCTTTTTATCAGTTTTAACATTTTTAATCGAGAATACGTCAAAATTTGTTTCAAAGAGTAGTCGCCTGTTTGAAATTAGTTCCGTAAAGCATGAGAAAGCTGCCTTCTGATTGGCTAATGTCGACTTTTGTCAGACATTCCATTGGTCGATCAGAGTTCGCGAAAGGTCGGTCTGACGTGACCCGTAATGGGATGCCATGATCCATGAATCGAACCTGGTCCTTCAGCGTCACGATCTTGTGCTTGGCCCACTGGTCTCCCCCACATCCCCTTTCCACCAAAAGAACAACACAACTCAGATATGTTAAAAAAACAATATGAATTTTATTCAACAACATTGTACCAGTCTCTGTACACACCTGCCTTGACCTCCATTGTTAAAGTGAAGGTCGTGTAAGCTAGCAGAATTGCCCTGGACTGTTGAACATATGAGTTGCAGGATTCCACAGGTTATCATCACGTGTTATCATCACGTGACACCATCACGTAATACCATCACGTGATATCTGTACAGACAGGTACAGGCTGGTAGTATTCCATTGACTTGAACTAATCACTCTTATCCATCCCTTCTGTACACATGGATTCTCCGAATTAGGCTGGGCCTGCTTTTTAACCTCGCTTATCCATACTCTTTGTCACTCCCAGAAGCCCTGCTCTTGCTATACAAATATAAAAGCCTCCTACCTCTTACTTAGGCTGGGCCTGCTTTTTAACCTCGGTTATCCATACTCTTCTTCACTCCCAGAAGTCCTGCTCTTGCTATACAAATATAAAGGCTTGGCCTGCCCAATTAACTTCACTTATCCATACTCTTCATGTCACAGCATCCCTGGCTTTGCTATAAATATATAAAGGGGCTTCCGCCTCCCACTTGTTTGAGTCATTTGCCCTTACCCTTCATAGTAGGCCAGTCTTAAAGGGGGACTCACATCTGAACGTAGCTGGGCCTGCCTAATTAACGCTAAAGACCGTATCTTGTAGCTCAGTTCACACAACCCTTTTGAAGTGTTAAATATCTACAATTTTTGCTATAACATGTAAATACTAGACACATCTACACAGTTTTATATTCATCTGCATCCTCATTAAGCACTAAAAGTTAAATATTCAACTAAAACAATTATAAAAAATCTAGGACAAGCGTATAAACTAACAACTCCTGCTCTAAAAGACTCTCAAAACTGGCCCGCAATGTACACACATACAAGTATCAAGTCAATGGAAACACAAACAGCCAATATTAAACATTGGAAAATATCATCTATCATCCGTTGGAGTATGCGGAGAGAATATGCACATACCTAATCTAAGGCATAATGCAGACATATCGAAGCAAAGCCAAAGCCGAAGCCGACAAAGCCAGGCAGGGCAACAATAAGTTTCCTTTGTACTGGACACAAACATTCGAAAAAAACAAACATCCATATATTATATGAAACTACTTCATCGCATATATAGCTTTTGTTTGGGTTTTGTGTCTGTGCCCTTCGCCTGGCATAAACTTCGTCTGGTGCTGTTATTAAACAGGAAGGACTCTTCATCACTCTTTCGCAGTGCTTATATTTTTCACTTCAAGAGTTTTTTCATAATTATTCTCGTGAAATTGCAAATCTTTTAAAAAGAAAAACATCATATATATTATCAACAAAATCTGAACGGGTATCAATGACCTAAACATAGCACTAAAGTTTGACTGAAAAATCCACTTTTGTTAAAATGTTAAAATTACATTATTAAGTCACGACCTTATTGACACTGGAACCCTCATCCAGTGAACACTTTCTAACGTATAAATAATTGCACAGAGGATCCTTACACCTTTAACTATTGCTAATTAGCAGTTAGGAAAATAGTGTCGAATAAAAGTTTTCATCAACATCACTAAAAACATACAGAAAAAACCACTTCACCGTCCTGCGGTTAAGCAATTAATTAATATCATAATTCATACTTTTGATGTGAATGACAATGAAGTGTCGCCAAGAGGCTTCCAGCAGCGTCCTTCCAACCAGGCCATGACAAATAAATTGCTTGTTTCTTGGACTGACTGCTTGTTTTATACAAGTTTTGGTTATTTCTTTATATCAGGAGTGCTTCTTGATTTAATGGCTGCAAAACCTCTGCAAAATACATGATGAGTGAGTGAGTTGGGTTTAACGCCGCTTTTAACAGTATTCCAGTTATATCACGGCGTATCAGCTTAATGTGGGAGGAAAGCCCCAAGTGATGCAGGTCTCGGACGTTTACCACTTTGGTGAAACCCACGAGCACGGGTATGGTGCTGACAAACCTAGAAACATAATCGGGGCGAACCGGGATTTGAACCCACAATCATAGGTTTCTGACGTGCCCAAGGGACGCAACTCTGCACAGCAAATTGCGGCGCCTTAGACGACTGGGCCACCCGTGCCCCCAAATACATGTTAAGTCAGGAAAAATGATAACAGGAACTGTCTTTCCCTCATTATTGAAATCTAATCTTTGTCACCCGTAATTAATATTTAATGTTCCCCATCCCATTATTTATAAAGAACAATTATTTTCAAACAAACGAATCCAAAAAGCAAGTAATTACTCCCTCCGTAAGGCCATCCACCTATCTACGTGTGAGAGCGTTACGTTACGTCATTTCACTTGTTGTGCCCAAATATGGAAGGACACTACCCTACGTGGCATCATCATGATCATCCAATCAAAATATTCCACATCATCAAAGGTGTTGTATTATCTACAGCATAATGTCAAGGGCACGAACGTTGTCCACTAAAACACAGACCAACTAAGGGGGATAACTACTGTTGCAACTAAGGGAGATAACTGATGTTATGATTTGATGGAAGTAATATGAGGTAAAATTCTTGCCATTTCAGAGTCACTATTAACAAACAGTCAATCTCATTAAAATCAGATCTTAGTTCTCGCTATTGCTAAACAAAGATCTGAGGACATCCCATTACGGGTCACGTCAGAACGACCTTTCATCCAACCAATCAGAGCGTCGCTTACCAGATCATGAAAGCGACATTTGGAATGTGTTTTTTAATCATGCAACCTTGAATTCCGGGGTATTTCGAGGGGCATTTACGTGTTTTATGATTATACCCATACAAACTAGGCCATCTATAAGCCATTCCAGAATGTTCTTTTTATCAGTTTTAACATTTTTAATCGAGAATACGTCAAAATATGTTTCGAATCGTAGTCGCCAGTTTGAAACTAGTGTTGTAAAGCTTGAGAAAGCTGCCTTATGATTGACTAATGTCGATTTCTTGTCAGTCATTTCATTGGTCGGTCAAAGTTTGCGAAAGGTCGTTCTGACGTGACCCGTAATGGGATGTTCTGAGATCTTTGTTTAGCGGTAGCGAGAACGAAGATCTGATTTTAATGAGATTGACAAACAGTTCATTTATTATCAAACACAACAAGCAGGATGTACATGGCTCCGTCAGGAATATCTTTCCGCTATATATACCTCCTCCGATCTGTTTCTCAGATGAAACAACAATATGTTGGGAAGAAACACATTTCAAATCACGGGACAGTGATATCAACAATCTTGTTTTCCTCCAGCCAATTCGTCTGACAGTTATTATGATGATGACCAACTTATTTCCCTGTGTTATAACTGAATACATATTAAAACAATTAACTGCTACAGATGGCCTAAAAACAATGGGTAATCAAAATAACAATTATTAAAAAAAAAAAAAAAAAAAAAATTCTTGGGATCAATGGTTTGTAAAAGTGCTGTCCCTGTAGGTTTCTTTACCTCAGCATCAGTCCTCCGGACATGCTTTAGCTCAACAGTAGGTGTCCAGCCAGCCTTGTTTATAAGTCCAAAGCTGTCATTTCATTTTCATAATTAAAAATATAACCAAGACTTCTTGTAGTAGTGTATTCATTGGAAAGCCCATTTTTTAACCTTTCAAACAAATACCTACAAATGCGACTAATTTATTTTAATCCAATAAAAACAAAATATTTCAATATGTAACAAGAAATATAGAGGTTATAATGGGAGCACTGCTACTAGTATCACCAGTACACTGATAAACTCATTCTGGCTACATTCTCAACCCAAGCTCACAGTGTTATAGATATATATATATATATATCAAAAGAATACTAAAACAATGAAATAGCACAAGACTTAGAGGAGCTGTGTCAAAATTGAAAAAATGCTTTTGACACAGCCCCCAATAGAATTATCACAAATAGCACTTAAACCAAGTCTACCAGCAGAGCAGAGCAAGACAGGTAGTGTTGAACAGCCTCATTTTGAAGATATTCGGCAGTGTCAGGCACAACATCAACGGATGCCATATCAAAGGGTCTCAACACTTGATGCAATCATAATTTGTATTATTAAATTGTTTTGTGCCTCGAAAATATTATTTGCTTTTAACAGAGGCAAAAAATCTCCTTCCAAAAGCAAAGCCAAAAACATTTGCATAAAAAAATGGATTAAATGAGAAATGTTGATTTATTTGTGAATTGTATTCCTGCCAATATCTTCAGAAATGTTGAAACATTTTCCCCAAATACACGCTAAGCACATGTAAATTATCCTCTAACAACATCATGATGGTTGATTGAGGGACGATTCCGACCTTCAGTACAAGGCATTGACATAACAAGGCAGGTTAAAGAGTCTTCAGAACTAACAATTTCACATCAAATGTTTCATTTCCAACATTCTGCATAAAATCAATTAAAACTGTGAAATTTCAACATAAGAATAATTTTATGCAGTTGCCATGACAATTGAAAAACTCACATTTCTCAGAATGTAGCCTTTTATTTGTAGTTCAGTGAGGGTCCGAACTGAGGGGTTTTACTTAAAAATAATATTACGAAATATTCTCCATGTCATAGTAAATACTTATTTAACTACATATAAATATTTGCGATGCATGAAAAAAAACCAAAAAACATTTTCAGCAAAATTCTCCACATGGTTAATGATTTCCCCCTCCTCGCAAGCCTCACTGAGAAAACAGTTAAATATCGTTTGCTACAGATTGAGATTCCCAGCATTTTGCCCATCTAGTTACGCTCTCTCACATACAAAAAAACAGGGAATATGTAAAAAGAGGGATCCACTATTTTGTGCCAACAACCACCGCGTACCACTTTTCTCAACAACAGTGGTAGTTGGGTAACGTGTTCGTTCACAAGACTTCAAAACATCACATGTCACCACAACAAAAGTGAAAAGTGTTTTTACATTTTCAAAAACTAAAATAAATTTTATTTGAAGAAGAATATTGACCATGATTTATCCTGCGATACATGGACGAATGAATACAATGTTGAAAAAGAATCTCCTGTCCGTCCTTTTTTTGTTTCCCTCTTTTTTTATAAACCCTTGGTAAATATACAGCATACTCCTGAGTAAGTAGTAGTTCTCTTGAGATCCATAGTGTATTCTAGCCAATCAGTGTCTCTCTTGCAAAACAGGCAGTAAATGTGACCAATCACATCCTCTGGCACTACTACAAACCAGCACTGCATGTTGGGATACTCACAGTGGAACTGCTGATGGCTAGGCTTCAAACCACATACACCACATCACCGTGAGGTGTCACAATATTTATGACAACAGTTCATGAATAGTTGATTAATTCAAAATCAAGCAGATTTCATAAATAGGCATCCAGATTTTGTGAGAATATTCAACTATATATCACAAAAGCATCTCCACATAGTGTTTTTCCAAAATGGCTGACATCCAACATGGCCGACATCCAACTTGGCCTCTTGTCCCAGCTCTTCCTCACTCCCAACTGGCCTACATTAAAACTGACCACAACATGTGGGGATTCAGTCCACCACGCATCAAACTGAGGCTCAGAATGTCAAATTGAGGCTCAAAAGGTCACATGATCACTATGAGGTCATGTGATCTTTAATGTCTTCATGACTTCAGATCATGTGATGGTATTAAAAAAACTTGACTTTCTACAGAGTAATATTTGTATAATATTTTCCAGAAAACAAGTCTCATAAGAAAAATGAAAATCCCTGGTGAGGGGTTCTTGAAAAACAATAGTGTATGTCAACGGTACCTCACAGAAACACATTCTGCTACCACAGTTCCTGCAGTCCCACCAATAAATACGCCTACCTCAGAGTACAGGACGTCTCAGACTAGTACCACAAGTTATCCTTACCAAATAGGTTCTCCATTCAAGAACGACTTGGTTCAAAAAACAAAATGGCCATCCATCAAGCACATGACTACTTCAAACACAGCTTGATGAAACAAAATAATCCAAATCGTCTATTCGGTCACATTTTCCTTCATCAAGCACATTTCATTTCCCAGTGCATTGTGGGAGAATCACACACATACGAAACAAGCTTCCATGAAGTGCTGTCTTGAGCATAGTGTTTATATGGTACTCTCCACCTCCAAGCGTAGCGTTTCCGTGATTGGCATTTCCTCTGGAAGTCGGGCAGGCTGTTTGTTCAACTCCCAATTTTTAAGGCGTCGTAGCGGGATTCCCAGAAGGCCAGAGAGAGCAAGAAGCGAGCCAGCCAAATAGAAGCAGACATCTACACTCTTCATGGAATCCAAAAGAGTACCTGTTGAGCAGAAGGTCAAGGTCATAGAGAGGTCAGGTCACGTAATTGTGTATCACATAAAGTCACCTTTGATAGACAGCATATGTGGTATATAGGGAGGTTTGGAAAAAATCTCATGAAACAATGAAACAAAATGAAACATATATATCTGAGGTTCCTGAATGACTTGTCAGATGAAACATTCTTTAGTTTCCTCAATGACGATTCAGATGAAACAATTAAAGTTTCCTCAAAGTCTTATCAGTTAAAAATTCAAGGCTGCAAGTTTTTTTGTTTTATGGCCATGTTTGAGTGGAAGTATAAACATAAGAGTGAGTGAGTGAGTGAGTTGGGTTTAACGCCGCTTTTAACATTATTCCAGTTATATCACGGCGTGTCAGCTTAATGTGGGAGGAAAGCCCTAAGTGATGCAGGTCTCGGACGTTTACCACTTCGGTGAAACCCATGAGCACGGGTATGGTGCTGACACACCTAGAAACATAATCAGGGAGACCTGGGATTCGAACCCACAATCATAGGTTTCTGGCGTGCCCAAGAGACGCAACTCTGCACAGCGAATAGCAGTGCCTTAGACAACGGGGCCACCGTGCCCCCATAAACATGAAAACTAGTGAGCATGCTGTATAAATCCTCATAGAATGTACCCTGTTTTTTTACGGCCATACCTCCATATACACAAATGTCAACAAAAATATCAACACACAATTTTTTTTAAGAAATCAGTAACTATGTTCTGCACAATAGTGAATGAGTGAGTGAGTTTGGTTTTACGCCGCTTTTAGCAATATTCCAGCAACATCAGAGCGGGGGACACCAGAAATGGGCTTCACACATTGTACCCATGTCTGGAATCGAACCCGGGTCTTCGGCTTGACGAGCGAACGCTTTAACCACTAGGCTACCCGACCGCCCCTTCTGCACAATAATCCAACACAAGCCCCACCCATTCTATATTTAGACATTCAGGATACATCGTCCATTAGTGGGCGTGGCCTTTTTTATTTTGGTTCATGGAAACATAAATGCCAAATAAATCACTTGGTTAACCAATCAAATGCCACGAAATACTTGCGATATATTGATTGTGCGTGACCCTCGACTCACCTGCAAGTGGAGGTCCTGCCATGGATGCCACGCCCTGAAACAGCATGAGGATGCCAAAGGACTTGGAGAGCTGGTCAAGGCCCAGGAGGTCTACGAGGAGGATGGACCTCAGGGACACAAACACCGCTGTCAAGACAAAATGTGAACGTGAGAAATAGTTTGCATTTGAGCAAGGGAAATTGCAATCCATCAAACCTCAGACGATTTGAAGCAATGAATACCAAAAGATGTTAAAAGATGGTACATATTGTTTCTCTGCCTCGTTCTCGGCATTAAGGGGACAAAACAAGGACTAAGCAGTTCAGAGTAGGTACAATGTCTGAGTAGGGTATTCATGTTAAAATATGGCATTGTATCTCAGTGACCTAGCACAATGAAACTGTCCGGACAATACAAGCAACCACACACACTCATGCACGTGCATGCACATCGTTATATAAGTGCAATCATCTTGAATGCGACATTAAACCCTCTCCAATGACAATCAGGGACCAATGCCAACTAGGAATCCTTGTTGGAATACAGTCTCTTATTTCCAGGGACCAAATCTGTTTTAAGAGTGCCAAAGGCACCGCTACAACCAAAATATCCCCCTATGTCTCCATTGCATTAAGTTCCCAGTAAAGGCGCAAATACGTGAACAAAACTACATTTCTATTTTTGATTTCTATTTTTCTTGCATCCTATTAAACAGTGAGTGAGTGAGTGAGTATGGTTTTACGCCGCTTTTAGCAATATTCCAGCAATATCACGGCGGGGGACACCAGACATGGGCTTCACACATTGTACCCATGTCGGGAATCGAACCCGGGTCTTCGGCGTGACGAGCGAACGCTTTAACCACTAGGCTACCCGACTGCCCCTCCTATTAAACAAATTATTTTCTGAAGAGACATTATTTAATGCGTTTTTAATAACAATGCAATTTTATGTTCTTTTTTTTCAGGCCATTGACCTTAATGTTTTCATAAAAAAAAAAATGAAATAAAAAAAAAAAAAATGGGAACGTCTAACCAGACATTGTGAACTCACCAACACACAACCCGAAGGTGGTGCCATAGATGGCCAGGGAAACGTAGGAGTGGCAGAGCGGTACCATCAGCGTTGCAATCCCTGCGATGACGAGTGCGATGTTGTTGAGATGGAGCGGGTCCGCCCATGGTCGGTCCGCAATCCAGCCGCTGATGATGCGTCCGAGGGTGTTGGTGATGCCGATGACGGTCAAGATCAGCGCACCCTCTGTTTTACTAATGTTCTCCTTCTCGGCCTTGTCCTTCAGGAAGAAGAACGGGATAAAGAAAGCTGGAAAAGAAAAACTTGGATTAATTATATTTCCTCAACACATTGAGAAGTCATTGTATATCTGCCCCACCTTTCTAACTGATGGCAGAGGTCAGTCCGATAAAATAGTTTTCTCAACTTACTAAACAAGCAGAAAAAATCACCTTATTTGGAAAGCATATTCACCAAGTATTATTGAGCAAATCTATGTCAAAAAGTGAGCTGGACAATCACAACTCTCGTACATTGTTTATACACACATATATATTGTTCATACAGTCTTATAATTGTTCATAAAGGCCGTAGTTAACTTTTTTTGACAGGGGGGGGCAAATATTTGTACAAGTATCACTTATCACCAACTTGATAAAACTGTTTTCTATATAAAAAAAAAATTCAGGGGGGGGGGGGGGGGGGGGGGGGGGCCCGGCTGTCTAAGGCACTGTTCATACAGTCTTATAATATTGTTCATAATTCTTATACATGGTACATAAAGTTATACATTGTTCAGTGTTAGACAATGTTCCCACATACTGATACATTTTGTTTGTTTGATATGTTTGTTTGTTATTTAACATGTTTAACGCTGCACTCTGCAATATTCAAGCTATATGACGGCGGTCTGTCAATAATCAAGTCTGGACCAGACAATCCAGTTATTTACATCATACATCATCCAAGTCAGTGAGCCTGACCACCCAATCCCATTAGTCGCCTTTTACGACAAGCATAGTCGCCTTTTACAACAAGAATGTGTTGCTGAAGACCAATTCTAGACCGGATCTTTACACGTTGTTTTCATAGAAAGGAGGTGAAGTTGACAACAGACTAAGAAACTCATTTGATGTCAGACTGAAGTATTGAGGATGCTGTGACATCAGTCAAGATTACCAGAAACTACAGATGGATTGACTGATTGCTGCCATATTAGTTTGGGAAGAGGCGGACACATCAGTACAGATAAACATAGCAGGTGTGAGTGGGTGGCCACAATGACATACTGCAGGGGAGGACTGGACCACCCTAGCCCAGCGTTATAACACAGGTATACACTAGGGGAGGACTGGACCACCCGAGCCCTGTGTTATAACACAGAGGTATACACTAGGGGAGGACTGGACCACCCGAGCCCTGTGTTATAACACAGAGGTATACACTAGGGGAGGACTGGACCACCCAAGCCCCGCATTATAACACAGAGGTATACACTATGGGAGGACTGGACCACCCGAGCCCTGCGTTATAACACAGAGGTATACACTAGGGGAGGACTGGACCACCCAAGCCCTGTGTTATAACACAGAGGTATACACTATGGGAGGACTGGACCACCCGAGCCCTGCGTTATAACACTTAGGAATACAGTAGGGCAGGACTGGACCACCCGAGCCCTGCGTTATAACACAGAGGTATACACTAGGGGAAGACTGGACCACCCGAGCCCTGCGTTTAAACACCTAGGAATACACTAGGGCAGGACTGGACCACCCAAGCCCTGCATTATGACATGAATGAATACAGTAGGAGAAATGAGCTGAGGACTTACCCAACATGCTGAGAATACTGGCAAATACTAAGAGTGCAAACATAGGGCTCTTCAGCAAATGGAAGTCAAACATCTCCTTGAGAAGGTAGAAGACTTTCCTCAACGTGGACTGCTTCTCCTCATACTGATCGATAGTCTGCACACTATACTGCGGTATGCTCATCACACTCCCAGACACAATACTCGAAGGATGCATGTTCCCTGAACTCGCATACGCAATGGAGCGTGACGACGAGGACCTGTACGCTCGGTGACGTGACCGTGTGGTCGGTGGGGTCGGCACGACCTGGATGCTTATCACACTGGCGCCCATTGGCGGACAGTTCACCGATTTCATGCTCTGCGTACAAGAATTTAAATCGGAGTCTTGTGACGACCTCCTCATCGCCCCCGGGATGATGTCACAGCTCTTGGCGGTGAGGATGAACTCGGGGGTCATATTGCAGCCACTGTCGCTGCTGGTGGACAGGGAAGACTGAGACATGTTTTTGGCACTGGGTCGGTAAATCGGGCTGATGGGTTGGGAGCCTGCACAGTTGCCGTTGGACACATGGTGGTCTATCTTAATACTCGGGATCACCAGGCTCTGCTTACTCTTGTCCAAACTCTTGGTGCTGAAACCTAGCGACTCCTTGAATCGAGCGATGAAGGAGTTGTTCCGCTTCGCCTCGAAGAATGAAGGGTCAATCTTGATGAGGCGGTTGTCTTTAGTAATAATACAGTTATCCAAGGACCCATTGGAGATGGTTCTCTGTCTTTTCTTTTCCTCGATCAGGGCTTTCATGATCGACCCGCGTTGAATCTCAACCATACGTCTGGGCACTCTCTGAGGGGTTTTGTCAAGGGGCCGGAAGAGCGCCCCGCACACAACACAGTTCAGGACGACCCCGGCGAGGATTGTCAGCCCCCCCTGCCATCGGTACTCCTCCACCAGGTAGTTGACAAACGGAGCAAAGATGGACGTCCCGACGCCAGATCCACACACTGCGATGCCTGTTGCAAATGCACGCTTCTTATCGAACCAGAATCCTACGGTCACTATCGCGGGAAGGTAGATCATGCCGAACCCAATACCTGAAACACAAGTGAGACAGTGATTCATAAGTGAGGTGAGGTGAGGTGAAATGGGGTTTAACGTCGCTTCCAAAATTATTGCACTTATATAGCGACATGCATGTACGTGTGTGTGTTTGTGTGGCTGCTTGTACTAGTCCGGACTGATGCCGATTTATAGTGCTAGCTCACTGAGATACCATGCCGCAGTTTAACATGAATATCCAACTCAGACACAGATTACTGACTCCGAGCCGACCAGTCCTTGTTTTAGCCCCTTAATGCCGAGCGCCAGACAGGGTAACAACAAGTACCATCTTTTAACATCTTTTGGTATGACGCGATTCATGAGTGAAATACAGACAGGCCTCACAGTTTATTTTTCCCTAAGGAGCCATTGGCTCCTAACAATTGTTTTCAGGGAGCCAATGTGAAATTCAAGAAACCAGGTGAAAACTTAAGGAGCAAAACAAGATTATAGTCAGCAATGTATAATGCTGTTAAAGCATAGCTAATCTGCCTGACTGCAGCAATACCGCTTCCTATGTTCAGTGCAACAAGCTTTCTTGTTGTTGAAAAGTACTTGACAAGATTATCAATAAATTTTTACCATACAATTCCCATGTTGATTGTTAGATTTTTTTAAATGTAATTTTAGTTCAGTGGATAAGTATTTATTAATGTATTGTATTTCTGTACTATGCACTCAGGAATATCAGGTCCATGGCTGTATTTTCCCCATAGCCAAGTGGTGACTCCTTTTTTCTAAGTGGAAATTTCACTTGCCATGGCGACCAATTAAATTATTATGATAAAACTATCCATCATATGATAAAACTATCCATCAAATGATAAAACTATCCATCATATGATAAAACTATCCATCAAATGATAAAACTATCCATCATATGATAAAACTATCCATCATATGATAAAACTATCCATCAAATGATAAAACTATCCATCAAATGATGATAAAACTATCCATCAAATGATAAAACTATCCATCATATGATAAAACTATCCATCAAATGATAAAACTATCCATCAAATGATAAAACTATCCATCATATGATAAAATTCTGCCTATCATTTTGCACATCCTCTGATCGGATTGATGGACAACACACAAATTCACCTTCCAATCCAGGAGGTGATGGTGCAATAATTTTTAATTCATTATAGATGGAAGATCGAAAACAATCGTTCGGGACCGACCCAGACAGCCAACTCACCTCCCATGATTCCGAGTGTTACGATCATCATCTGGATGCTGCTTGCCTGGGTGCTGAGGAGGAAGGCAGATGTTGCGATGAGGCTGCCCATGATGGTGACCTTCCGACAGCCATATTTAGAGGCCAGGGCGCTAACCAGAGGACCTGTTGGGGGCAAGGAACAGGTTAATAGTTTCTGTATGATGATACTACTTTCTGGCAACTAGTGGTGCTACTCAGTTAACTGAAGAGAATTGTTTTAATCATTATTCTTTCACTCACTCTTTAAACATATCTGTATATTATTTATCAATCCTTGGGAAAAATGATATTTTTGTTGGTCATTTAGGTTTGTTTGTTATCAATCTTTTTGCGTGTGCGTGTGTGGTGTGCGTGAGTGTGCCTGTGGTCTGTGCGAGTGTGTATATGGTGCGTGAGTGTGTATGTGAATGTGTGCATGAGGTGTGTGTGTGCCCATGTGTGTGGGAGTGTGTATGTGCCTGTGCAGGTGTGTATGTGCATGTGGTGTGTGTGTGTGCGTGCATGTGTGTAAGTGGTCTGTGTGTGTATGTGTGTCTCTGTGTCTGCGGTGTGTGCGTGTGTCTGCAGTGTGCAAGTGTGCGTAAGCGAGTGTATGTGTGTGTGTGTGTGCGGTGTGTGAGTGTCTATGTGGTGTATGTGTGTGTGTGTGCACGGTGAGTGTGTGTGTGTGTGCGTGCGTGTGTGTGTGTGCGTGTGTGTGTGTGTGCATGCGCGCGGCGTTTGTGTGCGCGTGTGTGTGAGTGTGCACATTTTGACTTACCCACAGTGAGGTAGCACCCTGCCAACAGGGAGGGTATAAGGGCTGCCTGGGCATGGTTACAATTGAACTGTTCCATCAGCTGATGTTCAAAGGTGGCGATGGTGAAGCAGATGCCGTCAACGATGATGTTGCACAGCAGAGAGGCAAGGACAACCATCCACCCCCATCCTCCATCGGGAGGGCCACTGCCCCTAGGGGGCGCTGGAAGCTCCTCCTCCTCACATTTCTTGTCCTTACAACAGCAGTCATCATTGGAGTCGATTGCTCGTGTCATTATCACAAATGCCGCTTGTTTAGATCATGGTACGCCCTGGAAAAGAATGAAATGGTTGGTAATTTATTGACAATTATTTAGTTTAGAATTAACGTGGGGGGATTCCAGGTAAGAATAAACAGCCCCAGCTCCCTTAGCTTGCCATGGTGGCAATCACTGGATTGTCTGTTCCAGACTCGATTATTTACAGACTGCTGTCATATAGCAGTATTGCTGAGTGTGTCGATCAACAACAAGTGACAATATTTCATAAAAAAAAAAAAAATCCCCCCCCTGTCCCAAAAAAACAACGAGTGAGCTGGTTGGTACCGTTTTGTGGAGCAGTCAAATGTTCAACTAAATTGAACTAAATAATGGGGTCTGGACCAGACAAACATGAAACTACAGAGGTTTAGTTGGCAATTACAACAAGCCAAGGTTACTGGACACCCTTTACGTCCCTGCATCTCCTGAGGCATGCCACAACACAGCGTATTTCCCATAGGGGGATGGGGATCCGCCCTTGATACTGACACACGTGACAATCGGAGATAACGGAACTGAATCATTGAATCTATTCATTTTTCTAAAGCACGTTTCTTTGATAAAATACACCACCATCCAGCCAAAGATGTTTGTTTGTTTGTTGTTTAACGCCACACTCAGCAATATTCCAGCTATATGACGGCGGTCAGTAAATAATCGAGTTTGGACCAGACAACCCAGTGATTGCACAATATGCTGCAATTGTTCAATGCCCTGTGTCCGCGAAACAATAGCTAAGTCGGTGAACGCGACACATCAGCTGTTGCCAATCTGTCCGAGGTCAGCAAACAACGAAACTTAACTCTGTAGATCAATCATTATCTACTTAAGCCAAGGAGCCTTCAGAGGGTCTGTTGCCTTCAACCATCAAGAACTACTGGCGACAGCTGAATAGCCACGAGAATTTATATCATTTTGTTTAGCTACCTTTGTGTTGGTCAGAATTGACATGATATACTGTGAGTGAGTGAGTGAGTGAGTATGGTTTTACGCCGCTTTAAGCAATATTCCTGCAATATCACGGAGGGGGACACCAGAAATGGGCTTCACACAATGTACCCATGTCGGGAATCGAACCCAGGTCTTCGGCGTGACAAGCGAACGCTTTAACTACTTGGCTACCCGACCGCCCTCATGATATACAGTCTACGGAAATTCTCGGTCACACGCGTTGAAAGGATTAAATATTCTGTGTGTCCAAGACCTGAGCAATATGTCGTGGAAGCAAGTTTCATTCAAGGACACAAGGACACAAGGACACAAGGACACACTGCCAACCCCCATCCTATGATTGGCACCCAACAGTCATCATATACCCTTAGACTAAAATCTAGTCTCTGAAATGAACATATCGTACATAAAAAAAACATTTGTTCAGTTATCTTAATAAAAATATAATAAAAAGGAGCCCAGTGACTCTCTTCATTTTCAGATACTGCAGTGATCTAGACTTGCCAAACATTATAGACTTGCATGGGCTTTATTTGATATATATTTGTATCAGGGTCTGTAAGACAGACTAATATACCCTGATCATTAAGCAGAGACAAAGCCTCAGTTTCAAACACAGCACAAATAACAAAAACTACATGTAGCAGGGCGTTGAGTTATCCCACAGATGACATCCTCACCTAGTCAGCTTGCTGAAGGGGTTAACCTCTTTGGTCTTATACTACACAATATCCTTCTTGACTCTAAAAAAAAAAAAAAAATCCCTATGCTGATTTCAGATTTGTGGAATAGAGCTAGCTTGAGCTGGCTAGATTTGCTTTTGTATGCATTTCTAGATTATTATTTTTTCATAAAATTAATATATTCCAAAGTCATGGTGCAGGACTAAGGGACCTGTTACAACCTGGGGTCCCCATGGTCAAAATCATGAGGAAAAACAGCCAGTACAGAAATGACTTTCAATTTGCCATTGAAATACCTCACATGCATCTTCCCGCGAACTTGATGGACAAACACTTACCTCCTTCAAATGTCTTCAATGATAAGTGC